TTAATAGTTCTCTCTGCATTGAACACATTTTAATGACCAAATGAGCAGCGTGTTGCCTGCTCATTTGTTTTCTTGCATGTATTGGTTTTTTGTTTTTTCCCAACATGTGCCTTTAGTAAAAAATTCTTATATTAAAAGAAGATGGAAATGGCCTCCCATCTCATTGTACATAGCAACTTGCATTTGAAGTATGTGTGAAGTAAAATAATTTATTTGAAAATAATAAAGCATACCTCAAACATGCATTGTGAAAAATGTCAAAACCTTTTTGTTGTTTTTATTTATAGCCTGTACCACATTTAAATGGCAAATGTTGATCCAAACTGCATTAGAAACAGGCTTATTTGCAATATAACAAAACAGTTTCAAAATACACAAAAACTAGTTGTATTAACTAATTATTGCTAAAAAAAATAAAAGTCATTTGGTGGTCATTAAAATGTGTTCAGTGTTTGCAAATTGAGGATGATTAATTTCATAAATCACGACACACTGCTCTCCCCTACATAACTATTATTTTAAAGTATTATTTTTACCAAAAAATAACAACCAAAAACTCCATATGGGAAGACAAAGCAGCACCACCGTATATGCCTAATTTTTCAGACCAGAAAATTTGATTTTATCGTCGTTTTGGATTGGAGGAAAAGCTGATGTGGCCATGAGAATCAAACTAGCAGTGATGGGCAAAGAGAGACTTTGTGAAACAACGAAACATTTAAAGCTGAAGGTGTATCCAGGTTTCCCAAATATCTGAAATCAATTTCCACAGTGACACCTACTGGCCAGTTTTGCTGTGTGAAACAATGACACACACAAGTTAAGTCAAAGTAAACTTTATTGTCATCTCTGCTGTATCCAGTGCAGCATACAGAGAGGATGATTGACAGATGTTTTGGAGAAGCACCAAACAATGAGACTGTTAAAGAAAACGAACTGTGACTGTAATGAAAATGTGCATCAGAAATACTATTTTCTCCCGCTATTAGAGGCTGTTTCAGTCGCTTAGTAATTCAGTTGCACAAACACTGCTATATGTTTTGTGATAGAAAAAAAAAAACAGTATTTCAGCTGTTAACTCCCGAACTTTGCAATCCTCAAAGAAATGGTTAACTGAAGCTTTCTGGTAGTTTCGTTAGGTTTGTTCCTCACACTGTTAAATAAAACTAGAAGCTGCCCTGTTGTTTTATTTTTTTGGTTTTATTGGTTTGGTCACAGTTTCTTCAAAGATAAATATTTAAATAGACAAGACTACATTTGCTTTCCTTCTAAATAACTGTTATGTTATGGTATGCTTATTCTGACCAATTACAACAGTCCATTTCACACTGGTCAATTCCTTTTTAAATCTGAATGGTGCAGAAGTGGCTCATCGGAGGATAAAGAAGCCTCCCCTCACCTTATTTGTCATTTCTGGTGCCGCGGATGCTGTAGGCCTACCTTGTGACGGGATGACGTCTGACTCAGTCTGAGTTTCAGGTTTTGATTTCACCTACCTTTGTTTGTGAGACATTTACAACACATGTGTCAGTGAGAATTAAAAAAGGAGGTGTATGTGAAGGTTAATGTGTCTTTTCTTGTATTGTCTTTAGGCTTTCACACTTTTTTCCAACAGTTTCTGGCTCAAGATGAAGTCGCTTAATGCAGCAAAATATTTTATATTTTCTGTTGAAAGTCGAGAAAAAGAGAATAGATGGGATAAAGAGCTGAAAATGATTTCCTGCTTTATTTTGCTCTTTGATAGCACAGCAGGTTTCTATTACAGTAACTTAATGAATGTGCCGCTCTCGCTCTCTCCGCTGATCTGAGTTCGTTCCGCTCACCCAGCAGTTCGCTTCTTTTTCTCATTTGTACTAATTTGTGTAATTAAGTGGGCGGAAAGTCCACACTAGTTTTCACAACACGGCAAAAATGATAACGACACAGTTATTTACCCTTATGCATGCGCGTGTGCAAACAGTTGAGATGGTATTAAAACGTGAATTCAGTCATTCATGTCAAGGTAAGTCATCTGCTGAATGTGTGGCTAAACGCACCAAAATCTGCGTTTAGCACCACGTCGCCACACGGTCACGTGATGCGGGTGTTTGACTCACACTTGGAAGTAGTGTTTAGAAACATCGGCGCTTAAGTAGCTCGACACACTGCAGAAACGTCAGCATCGAGTGTCTCATCCCAACGTACTACTGCAAAAAATAAATAAATACATAATAAAATAACCGCAGAAGGCGTTTCAACCAACAGACGTTAATTGGCATTTCATCAAGCAAGAGGTACGTTATTGATTTATTGTCTTTACAATACTCTTTTGTATTTATAAAGAGAAATCCATTGCAACGTGTCATTAAAGTCATACCCTTGTCTTCTAGATTCCTGTGTGACAGAAATGGCAAATCCAGCCAATTTCACCTATGGTAACTTCAGCTATGACGATTACTACGAGGATGAAATCTGTGATAAGAGTGGAGTGGTGATATTTGGATCCTTTGCCATTCCGATTTTCTCTGTTGTGATCATACTGAGCCTGGTCGGAAACATTCTTGTCCTCATAATCCTGGCTTTGTATGAAAATCTTAAATCTCTGACCAACATTTTCATCCTCAACTTGGCCGTCTCTGACCTCGTCTTCACCGTCGGTCTTCCTTTCTGGGCCATTTACCACGTCCAGGGATGGGTGTTTTCTGAAATTCTCTGCAAAGTTGTGACTTTTATCTTCTTCACTGGGTTTTACAGCAGCATTCTCTTCCTGACCATCATGACCATCTACAGATACCTGGCTGTGGTCCATCCTCTGTCTGATCTCAGCACACCGAAACACTCCATCGGGGTGTTTCTGTCTGTCCTGATTTGGATAATCAGCACTGGAGCAGCCATGCCCTCCCTCCTCTTCAGCTCGATCACCAAGGTTTACCACAAAAATAATTACTCACAGGGCTGTGAATATATTGATCCACTGTGGGAAACCGTTGGTGTCATCCAACAGAATGGTTTCTTCCTAGTTGCTTTTGCAGTCATGACTTTTTGCTTCATAATAATTGTGAGAATCACAAGAACAAGATCTCACACGAGCAACAAAGCAGTCAAATTAGTCTTCTGCAGAGTTGCTCTATTCTTCAGTGCCTGGGTGGCGTACAATGTTGTAATCTTTTTGAGGGTCTTGCCTGCTCATGTGGTCCCGTCATTAGTTGAATGTGAAGCAAGCACCGAGCTTGACTATGCATTCTACGCTTGCAGGCTGATTGCTTTCTCCCACTGTTGCCTGAATCCCATCTGTTATGCATTTGTTGATGTGAAGTTTAGGAGTCATTTAAAGTTATTGCAGGTTAGAATGGAAAACCTCATATCACGTAGAACAATGTACTAGCTACTCAGTTGGTTTTCTTGCATATGTTAATTGCCCTGTGCCTTTAGTAAAATTGCATATCTCATATCAAATTTATCTAATTACAAAAAAAAATAGGAACTGCTCCATGTGTCATATGTTGCACCCGGCAATCAATTTCAAGGCTTTTATCGTGTGTGTGTGCGTGTGTCACACAGTGTGAAGTAATTATTTGACCCTATGTTGTTTTTATGATGTGGGGTTTATTAGTAAACTTAGTTATTGCATTTTGTATCCTTGTGTTTTGTTTCTTAGTGAAATTTCCGACTCATATCTCCCCAGTTAAGACAATGAGGTGCAGTTGCCCAGAAACTTTTTATATGACCGATGGTCATGTAGAAACATCTTTTCTGTAAAAAACAAAAAACAAAAACCGTTTGAATAGACATTATATAAAGTGAAAAACAATAATCTGCTGGCATACCATGAAAAGCACACAACAATTGGACAGAAAGGGTCATGAATCGCTGTGTGACAGGCAGGAGATTGGACCCAAATGCTGGACTCATGGACAATGAAGGAGTGAACTAAAGAAGGCAGCTTTATTGAGGCTGCAAAAACTCAGGGGATGTAGTAGCAGCTTTGAAACTGAATCTCAGGCCATGACAGGACTAAAATACACAGTGGGGTGATCAAACAGGACACAGAAAGGAAACACAGCTGGGACTAATTGCTCAGGATGAGACAAGGGAAGCAACACAGAATACAGACACGTACCTTCAAAGTAAAACAGGAAGCACACCAACAGAACTTACAGACTCAGAGACCCGATACTGACACAGTACACAGGGAACACAAGGACAGGGATAACTTAGACAGGAGACATGGGACCAGTGCAGGCACAGAGACACAGACACTAAACAGAGGGAGCACAGAAACCAGAAGCTAAGTAATAGCAATTCCGAATAAGAATTTATCCATAACATAAGACACTCTTAATCCAAACAAAAACACTGATTCAACAGACTCAGGACCATGACACAAAGTGAGGTTGAGTCAACATTAGCTTTTCATTTGGTATTGTTATAATTTGTGATCTCATACTAATTTACCATGAAACAGTTTACGTTATTTCATGTTTAACCAATATAATTCTTTATTTTAATCATATATTTTTTTTTATCATATATATATACATAATATATTCTGTTATTATATCTGCTAAACCACTATCCACAAATATCTGTATTTTCTCAGTATTACAAAATTGTAAGACGATGGCCAAAATATCCTTTAGCTTGATGAGCTGAATCTCAGAGTCTAGGAAAAGTCAATATAATAGCACTGAAGTGGAAGTGATCTCAGCACTTTGTGGAGTCAAGTACGCATTCCTTTCTCAGGTCCAGGAAGTCTGTGGTATACAGTTAACCTTTGAAAGGTGATGCATCTCAGGTTTTGCAGACTTCCTGTTCAAAAGAGTGTGAAAAAAAGAGTCTTAAAAAGACTGTTGTTGTTGTAGCACTACAGTTATTTTACTGTATTTTCCTCCACAGAAAAAATAAATACATTTGCCACATCATCACACAGAACATTTTTTGATATCCGAAAAATACTTTTCATTTTCACCATAGAGAGGTAAAGCATTCAGCACATTTACTTCTTGTCCCTGAAAATAAACTGGCATCCAACCTATTGGTGACACATGGAAGAAATAAAGTGATTCTACATATTTTTGTGTGAGACAGACAATACGTGTGTCGGTTCAGACTCTAGAAATGTAGGAACACGTGAATGTAACCATCAAATGTTTACATATACCTTAGTTTGTTCTTTTGTTTGTTTTTACAGACATAATTTCATTACAACTGTACATCGCTGAGGCAGCTCATCAAAATGTCAAAAGGTAAATTAAAATGAGTGTGATGAAGCCGAGGGTTAGAGTTAGTCCTGAAATCCTGTGTAGGTCAGTCAATTATATCTATGACTTTAGAATAATAAATAAAATTACACAGATTTCCCTCAAATGATATCTAACTTTCCAGAAATATTCATTGATACACACAAAAAACAGAGAGTTTAGTGGCGTGTTTAACTAATGCATTAGACTACCAGTCATAAAAACAAGAAAACACAAATATTTTAGAAATCTGTAGCAAAAAAACTTGTTTAAAACTGAAAACTGTAAATAACAAACTTTTTAAACCCAAATCTGAGCCTGATCATTGGACTTCTCTTAGAAATCAGAAATGATTCAAAAACTATTTCTTTTCCTGTTTAGACTTAGACACCAATTTAACCTGGTGAGCTGAGGTGTAATGCGAAGAATGATTAGGTATGTCTCTGAAGCACATGTATATGACTATATCCACTCACTTGATGAAGTTGGAGCTTGTTGGTTTCCCCCGCCACACACACACCCACATACATACATGGCATAACATGGCAACTAGCAAGTAGTTAGATATTTATATGTACTGTTTCGTTTTATCAGTAAAAAGGATTTGACAAATACACAAAACAGATCTACTGTTACAAAACCAAGAGCTTTTGTTCACTAAAACAGTAAAGGACTTTTAATTTGAAAATGAATATGAAGAAATACAAAGGGGCGGATATAATCATCACCTCAAGACATCTGGTGAGTGGGTCCATAGTGTAATGTTTAGCTCACTTAACTAACAAGTGAACGATCCACGGTTTGAGAATGGAAGGTGAGACAGATGGTTGTATTGTAACATTACGCCTGTGCTGCCCCAGCAGCTGTTGTAGTTTTGTGGTGATGCTATAACCTAATAATAAAGCAAATAATATAATTAAACAAATATCAAGATTCCATCCATCCATCCTGGAGCCCTGAATTGGGTTCATTTTTCTTATGAGAGAAAATGAGTAAACCCAAAGTTTACATTTTCAAAATGTATTAATATAAAGGTTCAAGCTAATAACAGCACCGTGTCTCCTCCTTTGTTCAGCATGCCAAAAGGAAAAAGAGCACCGTACCCAAGCAGTAAACACTTTTATTATGAGACACAGAAACAGAATAGTAATATGAATGGTTAAAAGTCATGGTTCAGACTTGGCTTCTCCCCTTATTTGGAGCTGGGTCCGGCCCTTGGGTCATCTTAAATCTCCTGGAGCGGACATCTCCCTGTAATCAGAACAAAAACGACTCCTCCCTACTTTTGCAGTTTCTATGGAGATGTTTTCCTCTTGGCTGGCCTTTACCAAACACCTTAAATATCCTGTACCTTGCTGTGCCATCTACAGCGCAGCGCAGGAAGCATCCCCCAAACATTCCTAAGGCGGGGGCTTGTGTTGTATGGGTGTGGCATTTTGTTTCAAGACTATTCTACAGGGTGGGTCATTTATATGGATACACCGTAATAACATGGGAATGGTTGGTGATATTAAAGTCCTGTTTGTGGCACATTAGTATATGTGAGGGGGCAAACTCCTCAAGATGGGTGGTGACCATGGTGGCCATTTAGAAGTCGGCCATCTTGGATACAACTTTTGTTTTTTCAATAGGAAGAGGGCCATGTGACACATCAAACTTATTGGTAATGTCACAAGAAAAACAATGGTGTGCTTGGTTTCAACGTAACTTTATTCTTTCATGAGTTATTTACAAGTTTCTGACCACTTATAAAATGTGTTCAATGTGCTGCCCATTGTGTTGGATTGTCAATGCAACCCTCTTCTCCCACTCTTCACACACTGATAGCAACACCGCAGGAGAAATGCCAGCACAGGCATCCAGTATCCGTAGTTTCAGGTGCTGCACATCTCGTATCTTCACACCATAGACAATTGCCTTCAGATGACCCCAAAGATAAAAGTCTAAGGGGGTCAGATCGGGAGACCTTGGGGGCCATTCAACTGGCCCACGACGACCAATCCACTTTCCAGGAAACTGTTCATCTAGGAATGCTCGGACCTGGCACCCATAATGTGGTGGTGCACCATCTTGCTGGAAAAACTCAGGGAACGTGCCAGCTTCAGTGCATAAAGAGGGAAACACATCATCATGTAGCAATTTCAAATATCCAGTGGCCTTGAGGTTTCCATTGATGAAGAATGGACCCACTATCGTTGTGCCCCATATACCACACCAAACCATCACTTTTGTTGTTCCAACAGTCTTGGAGGGATCCATCCAATGTGGGTTAGTGTCAGACCAATAGCGGTGGTTTTGTTTGTTAACTTCACCATTCACATAAAAGTTTGCCTCATCACTGAACAAAATCTTCTGCGTGAACTGAGGGTCCTGTTCCAATTTTTGTTTTGCCCATTCTGCAAAATCTGGGTCATCCTCGTTGAGATGCTGCAGCAGCTGGAGTTTGTAAGGGTGCCATTTGTGAGTAGCTAATATCCGCGCGAAGGGATGTTCGACTAATGCCACTCTCCAGTGACATGCGGCGAGTGCTACGCTGTGGGCTCTTGCTGAATGAAGCTAGGACAGCCACTGATGTTTCTTCATTAGTGACAGTTTTCTTGCGTCCACATTTTGGCAAATCCAACACTGAACCAGTTTCACAAACTTAGCAAGCAGTTTGCTAACTGTAGCATGGGAGATGGGTGGTCTCGTAGGGTGTCTTGCATTGAAATCTGCTGCAATGACCCGGTTACTGCGTTCACCAGATATCAACACAATTTCGATCCGCTCCTCACGTGTTAACCTCTTCGACATGTCAATGGCTGTGAACAAAGAGAAACTTGTAAGTAACTCATGAAAGAATAAAGTATAATACATATTTGTGTAATAAAAGATACAATATTAATGTGTGATTAAAAAAGATGTGGCAATTATGGAATATAAAATAATGAGATATATAAGCATCAAAGATAAAAAAAAAAATTAGATAAAAATATAGAAACAGATAACTATTCATCCTTAAATAAGTATCATCAATTAACCTAATCCCACGCATGTCTCAGACTCTGGGAAGAAGCCACAGTTGAAGCTTATAAAGTTGGGGAAACCTGCAGTCTGCTGAGACTGAATAAGTCTCTTGAATGAGTAACAAAACATTTCTCCCACTAAAAACACTAATGTTTTCTCTGCAACACAATAAAATAACCTATTTTGCTGAAAAAAATATTCACTTTTATTGTTAAAATGACACGCACAACACCTGCAATGTTGTTGTTGCTGCAGAGCTCATTTGTCGTGTTCAAAGGTGACACCTGGTGGAAGTTGAGCAGAAACAAGACATTTTAAAATAAAATGGTAACCCTTGAGGCTAGCTTACATGATTTTTTTTAAAGTAATTATTTTGCCAGAAGCATGTCTTGCATGTAAAGTATAATTAATTATTAATAATGCCAAAGTGAAAGAACATGATAAACATACAGAAATGTAAAAAAGGATAATATAGAAAACAGGAAAGCTTTGTTGCACTCAAGGGACACATGAAGTTTGAATATACTGTTGGAGCTCTGACAGGAGATTTGTTACAACTTGTTATATATTAAATATTAGATAGTAAGTCAAAATAATAGGAAATTTTGTGTGCATGGGTGTCGCTAAAATAACTGTTTTAATGGGGAAATTACCAACATCTTGTTATGCTATCACAAAGAGGGACAAACTCTGAAGGGCCTACAGAACTGGGATGGTGATCATGAAGGACAATGAGAACCTTCTCACAGAACTTTGATCTAAAAGGAATTTTTGCCTGATTTGAGGAAGACTGACTCATCATTTACAATTCAAGCAGTGGTTGCACTAAAGTCTAACAGTACAGTCAAAGTCCATTTCAAATATTCACAGTAGCCTTAAAGGTTATAGTCGAGACCCTGGAATGCTTTAATATAGTTTTAAAAATATGATCACCAGATCAGTATCGGTTTCATGTTTATTTAGTCCTAACTTAGCTTTCATTTCCCCACATACTGAATAATGAGATGCTGTGATGGGTTTTATTGTTGTTGTTTTGAATGTGTATATGTATGAATCTGGGTTGATATGATTTGACTGATTTGTCTATGGCTTGGTGAACAGAAGACAATTTTCCATTGATGTGGAAACCACAACCACAGACTGATGAACTACTTGGGAGTGATTATAAGGAAAACACGAACCCTTAACAACTAAAATGAAAAAGAAAAGTATATAATATCAGGATTAAATGTCAACAGTGGGATTTTTGGTTTTCATCATTTTCCGTTGTTAAGATGCTCACAAGATGTGATACAAAGCTCTCTAAGGTTAAAAATTAGAAAAATGTTTGAGCATCTTCTTCAGACTCGTTGAAAGTTTCATTTGAGTAAGTACTCAATAGATGCTTTAAAGAAACTGGGTGAAAAGATTCCATAATTATGGGGTTTGGGAGATCACAGTTGAAGGGGCTATCTAAGGGAGTAAAATGTCCTGTCAGGCTACTGATCTTATCTTGAAAAAAGCTTAAAAAGTCATTGCAAGTTGGAGACGAGATGATGTTTTTCACTGTATCGAAGAGAACCTTAGGGTTTCTTTTTCCTACTGCAGGTTGTTTAGAGAAATAAGTGGCTCTTGCATCTTTCACTATGTCGTTAAAGGTAGATAATAGTTCTTTCAAGTGGAGCTTATAAACCTCAAGTTTTGTGGCTTTCCACTGGTGCTCAGTTTTACAGCAAATTAACCTAAAGCTGCGGATAGCTTCTGTGAACCAGGGTGGGGATTTAACAGTGCCACCTTTCCTGATTTCAAGAATTTTTAGACATTGTGAACTGAAGGAGGCCACATGCTGTTCCATATCATCAGTTTCAGGTAGATTATTATCAAATAATTCCAAATTCTTCCACCACAGAGTCAGTAATTAGTCGTAAATGCTTCACATGAACAAAGGGCACACAGGAAATAGAAACATATTTTTATTTTCCTTCTTTCTCTTCAGATCACAGATAAAGTAGACATCAAACAAAAGACGTTTATGATCGCTTATAAAAATGTCCTCACGACAGACTGGTCTGATATCCAGAGCCGGTGACAGAATCAGATGATTCTGTGAATCTGATTCTGTCACTAAATTAAATTTAATAATATTTATTCTATCATAAACTGTCATTGACGTGGAAATTAAAATCCCCTAGCAGCAGGATTCTTTCCAGCTTGATGGTGGACAATAAAAAGTCCCCAAACTCCACAAAGAAAATCCTAGCTAATCCAAGTGGTCTATAGATTAATATCAGATAGAAGAGGTTAGTGCTATTAGTCTTCTTCATCTGAATATCAAATTAGTTAAAAGAAGGGGTCTTCACTAGATGACATGTTTAAGGAGTTTCTAGCTATAACAGCCAGCCCATCTCTATGTCCTGAAAGTCACAGTGTGGTTAGACAAACACTTATAACTCAAGTATTAATAAATGGTGTAAACAGGAAGTGGAGCGCTCACTCACAAGTTTCATCCACATGAAACTACAGCATGTGCTGCAAACTGAAACCTTTGTTTATGTCTGTGGTCCATTTGGTGACTCACTCAGTTAAACTCTGCCAAGATACAGAGATGCATTTATCAACTGCTTAGAAAATGATTAAACTTGCTGTAACTTCCTGTTCTTAGAGCCGTACTAATGCTCTTCTAGCAGCTACAATGTATATCTTCATTTGGACACATTTAAATAAAAGTAAAGAAATATTCATATTTGGTGTCAAACCTAATTTTAATGTTATCGATACAAAACAGTGTCTGTAAACATAATCTTGAAATGGACTTTTGAACTGTCAGGTTTCTTAAGAAGTGAGTCGTAACTCCTGCTTAGTAAATGATTGACTTCTTATGTGCTGAATAGATGTCAAGTCCTCGTTTCACAGCTGGAGACTTTAATTTTTAGTAAAGATAAGTTACACCCAGTGGATGCTTTATTGGAGTCCTTGCTGTCTTAATTCTTTGTGAAACATACTGAACAAGGTGCGTGTAACAGAGACTTTGGTTCATATTAACATCATAGCCTCACGCAGTTGCTACACATTTGTCGTGATCTAAATCTCCCATTTCATCACATCCCCCAAAAAATAAATGAGTAAAATTTGAATTACAAGTTTGCAGCTCTCAGTATATTTAGATATCAATCTAAACATTTGTGAATGTTTTTTCTGTAACTGTAAATTTAAAACACAAGTGTGTGAAGATGAAAACTGAAAGTGAAATTTTAAAAATAAAGTTCACTTTTTCCACACATTCTCACATTTACAACATTTTTACCTTCACAAAGGTTCTCTAGTGGATCTAGATTTCTGTTTAAAAGACACTTTAACTGCATAAAAGTATTTCCAGGAATAACACAAATTATGGCACTGCATCTGGCTATCTTGAAAATTAAATATTCATTGCAACTAAATTATTTAGAGAAAAAATATTAATGGCTTTTTCAGGCAGAGGTTTGATTGTGACACTCTGTGACAGTATTTAGCTCTGTATTTGTAGCATATATGAGAAAACGAGGTCACTTCTGTTTGTAAGAGAACTGCAGGTTGTGCCCATATGGAAAAGATATATATAAATCTTATAAAGTTTGTATCTGTCTTGTGTGAAACTTGTATGAAAAGCATATAAGTGTGAAAACAGATATAAGATCCCTTGAAAAATTATATAATGAAACTTGTATGTTTAGGATACTTACTAAAACAATGCATGAAAGTAATGCGAAAGTGGCCACTTTCATGAGTAAATCATGTAAGCCTTATATGATTTACTCATGAAAGTGGCCACTTTCATGAGTAATCACATATAAGTTTTTACTATTTCTTTTCCGTATGGGTGACATCAACTCAAACAGACATGGAAAGTCGCAGCATCAACAACAATGGTATGTTGTGTCATCGCAGCTCATAGCTTCACCTCGAAACACTGCAGCAGGTTGTGGCATCACCCTAAAGAGCAATGGGATCATCCCCAAACGTAATGGTACCAATTTAAACACCCGTGGTATCATCTACAAATGCAGCGGCATGACCTCCACAGGCATCACCCACAAAATGTTGAGGATGTCATATCCACAGTCAGAAATGCCAAGGGATGTCACCCCCAAACACCGAGGCATGTTGTAGCATTTGAAGGCACCATCTCAAGTCGCAGCTCAGTGTTCATTATGATCTCGACACACCCTTTCCAAAGAAATTCGACTGCACAATAATCACTTTTGATTGACCACTATTATGCTTCCACATCACAAACAAAATGCAATCTGTGTGTTTTTCTGCCCTTTGTTCATGTTTTACCACATCTTGAAAAATACCTTTAGAGCAGCGGTCCCCAACCCCCAGGCCTCGGACCGGTACCGGTCCGTGAGTCGTTTGGTACCGGGCCGCGAGAGTTGAGGCTCAGGTGTGAAATGTCTGGTTTTCAGGGTTTTTATCGGTTTTCAGCGTTATTTTGTTATCGTTTTTATCGTTTACTCGGTTTTCCTGGGTCTTTTCATGTGTGTTATGAATAAATCTTCTTTTTTCGGTACCGGTACTAGTTTTATTTTGTTGTATTTATCCGCGACACCTTAAAGGCCGGTCCGTGAAAATATTGTCGGGCATAAACCGGTCCGTGGCGCAAAAAAGGTTGGAGACCACTGCTTTAGATGGGTTATGATTTAAAGCACTGCTGTATTCCTGAAAATGCTTCGGTGTATGTTTGGGTCGTTATAAAGGAAATTTCATGCCAAACATTTTTTGATGTTTCTTTTTGTTTGTTCTTTCTTTCTTCTTGTGGATTAACTTTAAACGGGACGGCTGCTTGATCTGAGGTGTGGATCGAGAAGCTTCATGTACCTCAGATTGAAACCTGTATGGTCCTGTCTTTGTTCATGATTAACTATGAGTCACACTGATAATCATAATTTGGCTGACTCACATCTACAATGACAACATTTACATAGCTCAGATCCTTCATAATTTTCTGATTGGTTGTAGTACAATAGCACAATATATATGGACCCTAGACCAGTAGGGTCCACTAAAGACAATGGGACTGAATAACGTCAATCCAAAGCCTTACGCATAACAGTGTATCTGCTCACTGAGCCAGATTAATTGAACTAGTGATATGGATGTTGACACACACAGAGGAAGTAAGAGACTAGGAAAATAATCCAGGATATGTCTTTCATTTCACAAGTGAAGGGAAATGTGTTTTGTTTATCACAATGTTCCAGCTTCCTCAATTACAGCTGTAGCACCGCCCACTAACACACATTGCAACAACTGTAACTGGAGGGTGGACTCATTTCTTCTGAGACATTTGCAGGGTTTCTTCTATTTCTCTTAGAGGGACTTTCAAAGAGGAGATATTTTTCTTTGTCAACTCAGATGTTCCGGTTTATTTTGATTCTCTTAGCTTTTTGATTCACATTATTAGATGTGGTGTGCAAACATTTACTTTAAGGTAAGAGACTGTTCTTATTCAGTTGTTTTTGTCAGTCTGTGTTTAATATTTGCCAGAGAAATGTTGAAATCCTTTTCAAGTTTAATGGATAAAACTGAGAGCTCTCTAAAACGGCTTTTCCCCCCCTAATAGTTTTCCTAGAGAAATCCACATACACCTCATGCTGGCTCTGTCCACCAAAACTGCATTTGTAATCAAACAGTAGTTAAAAGGCGAAAAAGTTTTAACCTAACATTTATGTGCAGCAATGTGTCGGCTGCTCAATACTCGCAAATCTATGAATGACAATGACATTATACTCTCAAGCATCTTTAAAGCAAACATTTTCAGTGTAATCTGCCACTAGAAGTCTACATGCTGGAAGTATATGAATACTTGCAGAAGTAAATAAATATTTAGAGTGCCAATGGATGACCTGGGTATCACTGTGGTATTTATTTGACAGATGTGGATGTGGATTCTGATTAGTCTTAACATCATCTCAAAGCTGCATGGGTATTCAGGGGGTTACTTCCCAGAAGCATGTGACTCAATGTTACCCGATCATAATGGTGCAGCTCCTCAAACCACAAAACCCCCCTTCATGGTTGAATATGTGCCCGGCAGCTATCCTGGAGAGCCTGTTACAGGTACAGGGAACACTGTAGTTTTTATTTTGTTAAATTTGTTTATCACAGCAATGTCTGGTGTAATTATAATTTACATTTTTTTTTACAAGTTATTACAATCTCTCTTCATTCTCTTTTCCCAAATCTTTGCTCGGATGAATTTTTGAAACAATTTTCAAGTTTTGCTCAAGAGCGAGGAATCCACATATTTTAGAGGGTTTATGTTAGAGGCTCGAGAGGTTGCAGATGAAACACGTCTTACTGGAAGATTTGTTCTACTTGAGCCTGATAGGACTCGACTCCTGACATGCGGTGTTTTGGAAGTAAGTAGTTGGAATTTGATTTATTGTTTTCATTTTTTGTAAATCTGAAGCTCTCTTATGTTTTGCCACTCTTCTCAGGATTCAGCTGTTAGTCACACAGTTAATCACAGAAGAACTTTGATCCGAGTTAACTGGACTGCGACAGAAGCAGAGCAGGACATCATGTTCAGGTGACTTTAAAATTTCTGATATTCTATGGCTGACGTCCACGGTGAAAATCGAACCTGACCTGCTTCAGATTTCTGTAATATTACAGTGCAACAGAAAATGAATTATATCAGCATTCATTCCCTTCTAACATATTTCAGAGCAACATTTCTTCAGCAAAGGGCAAAATTCTGGGAAAATGTGAATATCATCTTACCTCAGCGCACTACTACTACAACTACTACACCGGAAACAGCTACTACACCGGAAACAGCTACTACACCGGAAACAGCTACTACACCGGAAACAGTTACTACACAAACAGCTACACACGAAACAGCTACTACACCAAGCACCACAAAGGGCAACACCGAACAAGCTACCTACAGCGAACACATACTACACCGGAAACAATACTACACCGGAAACAGCTACTACACCGGAAACAACTACTACACCAAGCACCACAAAGGGCAACACCAACATAGAAGAAGTAAGAACCCACAGGTGGATTTGATTTTGTGACACTGTACACAAAGTGACTCATTAACCTTGCAAGAGCTTTTTTTGACAACACTGCTCCCTGTTTCTGATTTACTTTCAGCATGCAGGTATTGCACTGATGTGTTTTGATTGTGTTTTGGTGGCAGAGATGAAAGTAAGTAGCATATTTAACGATACTCAAGACACGCACTAAATGCTATTCAGCCCCACCTTAAAAGAACAAGAAGAAATGTAATTGTGTTCTACTTCATGTCTTGTTAGGTAATATCCAATATAGGCAAAGTCTTACTGGCCAGTGAGGCTGTTTTTCATCATATAAATAAGGTAAGAGCTGGGGGCCTTTGGTGCTCACAGTGTTTTATTTTCTTCTTGTCCTGCATCTTTGTATTGCTTCCAAGAATTCTTTGAGTATGTAGTTAGTTTGAAAGCCGGGGGTTCACGGGGTGCTGGAACTTACCCCTGCTTTCATAGGGTAAAATATGGATTTTCAGGGCTTTCAAGGCTGTCTAACTTATTATATGCACTGTTGTTTTTATTTAAATTTTGTAGGTGTGTAAGGTAGCAGGCAACGTCCTCTGTGTGGCTGTTGAAATCTCATCCCTGATCTTGTTTAGTATCAGTGATTCCTCCAAGGTGAGAACAACTGGTGGTGTAAAACACGTCTCAATAACAACATCTGTTTCATTTTTCCCACATGTATTTTTAATGTGTGTGTTTATGTATTTTTTAGGTCATCTTCTTTGCTCTTGTGTGTGTGATGATAGTGATTAATTTCACTGGAATAGTAATTTTGTCTCTGGGGATTAGAAGTGGTCCTGAAAGGTACGTTTAACTTCACTTTGCATGTGTAAACATATCAACTGACATTTGTGCAAAATGTTTATTTCATTTTTCACGTTCTCTTCAAGAAGGAAGATTTGTGAATACGCTGCCAATGTTTGTTTTGTTATCCATAATATATTTACAAGTAAGAAAATTCTTATACTTGTAAATTTAAGAGTATTAACTTTACACCTTCAAAAAAGAGTTTGGACTTTTTTGTGGAAGTAGTTGCCACTGCCTTTACATTGCTCTGATATTATTTCCATGTTTGTTTTGGGCCAGTTGCTGTCATATTTCTTGGTGTTATGGAGAATCAGTGCGGAAATAATGTGAGGGACTCTTGGCTTCTGAAAGTGATGATTGCTTTCACAGTATGGGATTTCCTGAATGTAATCTGGATTGTCATTTTGAGCAGTGAAAAACGAGGTGAATGCCTTGTGCCTGTCTGAATATAAGAATCTGCATCAGATACAGCATCAAATCTAATGAGGAATAATAATATTCGTATTTTTCTGTTACAGGGCATTTAGGAATGAGCGAGAGAAACGAGCAGCAAGTTCATGTCTGTTTTTCTCATTTCCAGAGGAGACTCAGAGATGTTGTTGTTAATATTGTGTCAGTAATCCTCTTCGCTGGAGCCATTTCTTTTTCTATAGCCATCATTGTTGGTATATTTACTTGTCAGAAACAATAGTTTTGTGGTTTGTTTGAATCACAATCAGATTTCTCTTATAGTTTATATATAGTATGGTTACATCACACTGATCATATCACACTGTTTACCTGCTGCTTCCTCATTTAATGCAAGTAATGCTTGAGGGTCTTATTTATTGTATCTCGTAATTTTTCAATACACCAGGCAGACTACACGGACTGCATATTGCTTTAGCACACTACAGGGGCGATTCTAGGATCAGAGCTTTGGGGGTGCTGAGCACCCAGAGAGCTGCCCAGCCAGGCAAGATAATCTTTACTCGTCACAGTGAGACGTCTTCCCCGTCTCTGTTAGTCCCTGCATCCCTAAATGTCTCCAGTTGTCCCGAGTTCTCTCTGACTGTCTCCTTGGTGCATTTAAACCCCTGTTCCTCCCTGTCCTCGTCGACTGTTGTCCTCGTCTCTGTTATCAGTCATCATAATTTTACCATCTCTGTGCAAGTCTGCAAATTTCTTTATTAAATCATGAAATTCTTAAATTCATCAAGTCTCTCTGTGGCTGGGTCCTCGTCACAAAACATGACATCACTGTTTTGTACATTTTAACTCAATTTAATCCCCACATTTGTAAAAGCAAAGCAAAACACTTTTTTGAAATGTCTGTAACAAATCTGATAAAGGTTATTTAAATGCTGCAAAAGAAGAATGGATTGGAATAAAAAAAAAAATATCCTAACTTTAATTACTGGGAGAATAATGAAGATGCTCACAGAGGCGGAGCCAGACATTTGAAACACCCGGGGCTTAGCCCTAAAGGGTAGTATGCATGTGGGATTTTTTTTTTTTTGGGGGGGGGTTAGAAATGACTGAAAGATTAATGGCTCTGTTTTGAGTTTTGTTCAAAAAAGAATGACTTCATATAGGGAAAAATATATATCACATGTGCAGGACACCTTAAACTAGTTTTTTAATTAAGCAGCAAGGCAGAACAAAGTCGGGGCATCAAGACACGAGGACTAAACCCCAATTCAACCAGACCCAGAACTGATCCAGAATTAAAACAGGACTACAACAGTTCAAAATCAGGACTACTGAGGACTTAACCAAGACAGAACCAGAATCAGAACTAGATGATAGTAGCACTAAAAATCATCATAGACCTGCACTACACTTATTTTTTAATTCTACCAAAGTCCAATATTTAGATTGAGAAAAGTTTATATAATTATTTAGCCTTGTTGTGCAAACAAGCCTGCATAACTTAATATAGAATTTGAAAAATAGCAAACCTAAAAAGAAACACTAGGTACGAGATACATGAGGACCTGTGATACGGTGATACTTTTGGAAACAACCATTTGATTAACATGTGTGTCTCACCTGCTCTTGTTCATCTCTGTTCTGTCCTCATTCTCCTCTCTCTCTCCCTCTCTGTTCCTCTCTCTCGCTCTTTGTGCTGACAATCATCAAAATACAGTTAACCAGATATTTACAAACTCTTCAGATCAAAACACAAACACTTTTTTAATTGTAACATCAAATCAGACTAAATGTTTATTTTTTTTAGATTGATAAATATAAAAAACATATTTGTTAACTTTAAGAGTAAAGAGAGAAACTGTCTGTATTTCTTAATTGCAAATGGCACCAAATTGTATTCAAATTGAGCCACACTTATGGAGCTCCACAGTTCTTTTCCTGGTGTTTTGGTTGACATCTCTTGATTGTTCCCATGTCACAGAAACAGGCTCTGTGTTTTGCCTTATATGCATCCACAGCTGTGCCACCAATTTACTCACATGGACTCTACTAACCTATCAGAAGCTTCTTCAGCTCAGAATGGAATCGTCTGGAGTTTTCTTATTAATTAACAATAAACTTAGTGTATATGTACTCCTAAATTTGATGAAAGTGATAAAAATAGACAGTCTCTCTCTCTTTATTCTGACATTTAACTAATTCAAAAGATATTTCAATATTTATCTAAAACAAAAGTTTACTCTAAATTGATGTTGTACAGTAAAAGTTATGTTTTCTCCCTAAAGTGTAAATATCTGGTTACAAATGTGAATATCCTGCTGTGTACTGAAATCCTCTTGTTTTGCATAGAAATATACTGAACAACATACAAAGCATAATATATAAAATAACATTTACCTGAGTTTTTTCTTTGAAAGAACCCTCTAATGTCCATTCTTATATTTCAGTACATAACTGAAACCGATTTAGTCGGGGAGGGTAAGAACTGAAAATATGAAATAAACACACGTAAGCTAAGACTCTCTAAAAAAAAGCATTTGTTCGGCTTTTCATTTCGCCATTTGTTGATTCACTTGAAGAGCAAGTAACGTAATATTGGTCAAGTGATCAGTTTGATATCAATCTTTCGTGATGCACCGTCATATTTACATTATTTGTACAGTACGAATGATTTGCTTTGGTACCTGGTCAAACTTAAGCTCTCCTTAGTATGGCTGGCTCCGTTTCTCCAACAGCGCACTCACAGGCAGCAGCTGCCCCGCCCCCTCGCTCAGTCGCTTAGTGCCTGAGCTCGGATCATACCAATATCAGGGGGGATTCACGCACAGTCGTAAATTCCCACAGTGTGCACTATGTGCTTCGAATATTGTGTGTACTTTTTGTTTTATACAGTTGTCAGCCAGGCATCTAACTATGAAAAAATTACACTCCAAAAGACCCCGGGCTTCTGACAAAACAACCCGGGCTTAAGCCCAGTAAGCCACCCCCACGCTCCGCCCCTGGGCTTGACATCACACAGGACCTGTCACACAAACACTCTGAAGATGCTCAAGAACTTCTACTCACCATCCAGAGCCAAAGTGACCTTCCCAACACTGCATATCACATCACTGTACATGGACTCAATAACAAAATAATGTATTTCAATAATTTTTTTACTGTTCACTGTAAATCTGCACACTGCTGATTTGCAAACCTTTTTAATTTCCATATTTAATTTGAGGTCATTCTTGTATTTTTAATGGTCGAGAATTGCACAGCAGTAAGCGTTTCACTGCATGTTGTACTGTGTATGATTGACAGGTTTGAAGGAGGGGTCGGGTGTATCCTTCGTGGTCCACCATATCCCAGAATTCATAGCGCGGCTCAGCCAATTCCAGTTTCCAACAATGGCGGCAGCTACTTAGTTTTAATATTACTCTGTCTGGATCACAAAAAAACCTCTTACGATATTTTCAGGCCAGAATGTAGCTGTGTAAACTTCAAATAAATGCTCTTTTCATCAAGACCACTTGAGGAAGTGGAAGTGGAGCACTCACTCACAAGTTTCGTCCCCATGAAACTACAGCATGAGCTGCAAACTGATGTCTCATGATTCAGCAGTAAAATGTCTTTTCTTTTGTGGTATTTCACTTTGAGTTCAAAACAATAAACCCACTGCTGTGTAAAAGGTAGCCTTTGTTTATGTCTGTGGTCCATTTGGTGACTCACTCAGTTAAACTCGGCCAAGATACAGAGATGCATTTATCAACTGCTTAGAAAATGATTAAACTTGCTGTAACTTCCTGTTCTTAGAGCCGTACTAATGCTCTTCTAGCAGCTACAATGTATATCTTCATCTGGACACATTTTAATAAATGTAAAAACATATTCATACTTGGTGTCAAACCTAATTTTAATGTTATCAATACAAAACATGGTGTCTGTAAACATAATCTTGAAATGGACTTTTGAACTGTCAGGTTTCTTAAGAAGTGAGTCGTAACTCCTGCTTAGTAAATGATTGACTTCTTATGTGCTGAATAGATGTCAAGTCCTCGTTTCACAGCTGGAGACTTTAATTTTTAGTAAACAGAAGGACAGGTTACACCCAGTGATGCTTTATTAGAGTCCTTGCTGTCTTAATTCTTTGTGATTTTGGTCCATATTAACATCATAGCCTCACGCAGTTGCTACACATTTATCATAATCTAAATTTCATTTCATCACATCCCCCCAAATATTTAATTTGAATTACCAGTTTGCAGCTCTCGGTATATTTGTGTAGATATCAATCTAAACATTTGTGGATGTTTTTTCTGTAACTGTAAATTTAAAACACAAGTGTGTGAAGATGAAATCTGAAAGTTCACTTTCCCCCCACACATTCTTGCATTTAGAACATTTTTACCTTCAAAGTCCTGGACTGGATCAGGATTTGGTAACTGTGGAGGCAATCTGAGTACAGTAAACAAGTTTGAGGTTAACTGAGCTTTGTTACATGGTGTGTTGTGTTTTTTAATGCAGATGGCTACATTGTGGTCATAAACAGATGGACATGATCAGTTACAACACTCAGGTAGACTGTGGCATTTAAACAATGCTCAACAAGTGTTAAGACTCTAAAATATGCCAAGAATTATGTCGCCACCAACACCTTGACCGTTGAGAGAAAGAAGGATGGATCCATGCTCGCACGTTGTCTATACCAAATTCTGACCCTACTGTCACAACATTACAATACACTCATCAGACCAGGCACCATTTTTACAGTCTAGTTGTCTGGTTTTGCTGAGCCTGTAAGAACTGTAGCCTCAGTTTCATATTTGTAGCTAACAGTAGTAGCCTAGCTCATTATTAACATAAACAATTAGACAATTCACTCCTCTATGTATCAAAATTATCTTTATTGATAATATTCAGGTGTTTATGAGTGCTCAGAATAACAAGAGGAATGAGATGTATGACAGGAAACAGCACAAACAAGTTCACATGTTGTCATGTGCGCTAGTATAAATGACTGGAGAAAGTTTTTACTCTAATTAAATACAGTGTATTCTTCATATGTGTTTAAGGCACAGTCTGGGACGAGCTAATCAGTATTTATCCAAAATATTTTTTACAGATATAAACCACATTGCGAGTAGCTCACAATGTGAAGTGACAACATGTTCAAAAGACCATTTAATATCAAATCCACACATATACACAGCTTTAAAAAAATACCTCAATCCAGGAAACATGACACAAATATACATATTTAGAAAAAAGCAAAGAATATAAAATATTCACCTTAAAAAGCTGTTGCTCAAAAAGACAGACACTTAAGTCAAAACCAAGCATTTCCAGCACTCACACAAAAAATAAAGAATTAAATGAAGTTACCTGGTTGTCTTGGACAGCAGAATAAAAGATGAAATATGAATTTTCACTGAAAACAAAACTTTTTTTCTTTTTTTTTTTAGTTCCAGTAAAGAAAAGCTGAGGATGATGAAAAAAATGAGATGGTCATTAAAAGCTGCTGAGAAACGATGCAGGCTTTAACAGGCAACAAAAAAATTAAACAGCTCAGTCAGTCTGTGTTTCGTAGATTGCATGCACATGAGAAAAGATTATCGCCACACTTGTGAAGTGGAATGATGGTGTAACACTGTAACCTCTTTTAACATGCATGCATGAGTAAAAACTGTTTAAATTTTTGTGCAGTCGAACCAAATCATATGCGTTTGACTTCAATTTAAGTACAATGTAATCTCTGAGAGAAAGAATAACACAATTATCGAATGATGTGTGCTGTGAATTATCACAGCACACATCATACTTCTACGTTTCTCCTTTCTCGTAGCTCCTTGTACAGTGCAAAGAAGAATCAGGCAGCTTGGTTTTTTTAGCATCCTTTCTTCTCCACCTCAGACACCACAGGCAGGACAAGATGGGAGATGCGACTCCACAGACCACCAAACTTATCATTATTCATTATATTATAAGTTTTGCCACTGGTGTCCACCAGCCTCTCCTTAAGATAGTCTTGCACCATCTCTTCCACCTCTTTTAAACCCTTTTCCTTCGGGATCTCATCTTGAGGCAGCAGCACAGAAAACAACAAGAAAACCCGCTTATATGCGGCATTCTCGTGGTCGCAGTAGCGATAAAAAATGAGAGTGGAGCCTGGAGGCAGCTCTTCCAAACGATGAATGATGGCCACAGGTTTTTCTCCCTCAAACGCTGCTTGCAGCTGACTGTCAATGTCTAACTTCACCTTATCACTGTCCTGGCCTGCTTTGCTTTTTCCATCAATGTTAAGGAAAGAGGCATTGAGGGCAGATGAGAAGGAAGCAGCCAGACCCCGAGCAAGGCACTGCAGTGTCCTCTCAGCCTTCTGGCCTGCAGTGAAAATCAGACTGACTGGCTCAGAGGGATGGGCTGCTTTAAGGTGCTTCTCCAGGTGGATTTTGCTCAACTTCCACAACTCAGGCCGCTGACTGGGGAACTGAGTCTGAAGATCAGACAATTGATCAGCAAACCTTTCTGGCTTCACAGCCCTGGATGACTGCCCTCCACCACGTGTCATGTCTTGGAGTAAAGGGACGATCTTGTATATCAGCAATGTCCCGATCACAAATAGTACCAGGAGAACTAACAGGAGAACTACCAGGCGAACTAAACCCCACAAACACCACGTGAACCCTTTAATAACACAGAAACAAAAGAACACACATAGTTAATAAATAATGTTTAAAAAGCATCATCAGGTCTAAAGATAATAATTAAAATGACTTACTTACCTCTAGAGGAATTTCTGGGGCGTGTCTTGGTAGCAACAGGTTTCTGTTTGTCTTTTAATAAAAGAAAACATGATTATATTAATGCACAGATGTCACCACTATAGCAGGTGTTGCAGAGAGAGAATACTGAGATAAAGCAGCAATACCAGATTCTTTGGAATGAATAGTCTCTTTTCTTGGAACGTTATTCACACGTCTCGGATGCACACTTGGGGTAAGGTGGTTAACTTTGGATAAATCTGAAGATGAGGCTGAATTTAGAAAAGAAAACATCTTTTCAAAGATCAAATCATCACGCAGACGCTCAACCTTTCTATACAGAATATGAGCAGCACAATACCAGCGCTCTGGGCTTTGAGCATCATCGTCCTCTTGTAGTCTGCCACGCTGGACGGCTTGAGAGCCGGTGAATGATGTCTGTTCACTGTCGCGCTGATCTGTGCGACAGGCTTGGTGGGGGGTGCAGGTGCAGGTGCTTTAGGTGCTGGTGTTGCTGAAACTAAACAAAATAGGTTAGGTCAAATAACTTGCACTATAATTTAACACTCTGAATGTCAAGGAAGATGGAGCATTTTTCTACCTTTCTTGGATTTCATCAAGTTGGGATCCTCAGTCTTAAGACTGGGTCTGTAGAGCTCATCAAGCACTACACGGGGATTTAAGTTCCTATCTCCGAGAGCATCTGTGTTAAGCAGAAGATTTTTAAGATAAAATCCTAATAAAGTCATAAAAGAAAAGTAACTTAACACAAAGTGTATTTGTATATTATTATATGGCTTATATAGTGAAAATAAAGTATTGGTCCAAGATGTTTGCCTTTGTTTTTATTTTAACTTTTTTTTATTTAAATGTGATGCATTCTCAATCATCCAGTTAAGTAAATCTCCAAAGTCTGATTCTGTTCATCTGGACGTAGCGTTTTCAGAGGGAGAATCTCCAATCTCAGCTGACTGCAGGTTTCCCCAACCTTATAAACAGTACATTTGCATAGTCATAGTTTCAGTCATTTAGCAAATGTACTGTGTAGAAGATTTTGGAACAGGTTGATGAACAGAATCAGTCTTTGGACATTTAAATGTGGTGTTTTGATAACTTAATTCAGTCCTGTTTTATTTACACTTTATACAGCCTCCCTATGTTTTAAGTTACTGTATTATCCATTTGTTCTTTACATTAAATAAAAATAAATTAAAAGGGAATATTATCTAATCTCTATGATTTATTTCATAATGAATGTTCACTAGTTGTAGTACAAACCTTTGTGTATGTTTGGCAGATCAGTGACTTTAAAGGAATCCCGTTCAATATCCATTTCCTGGTCTTCATTTTTATGAATGTCTCCAGATGATTCCTCAACATCCATCTTACTTTCAGCGCTCTCGTCAAACACTGCTTCTTCAGCATCCAGTCGGCTCTTCTTGCTAGGGGACTCTGTTAGGTAATAAATAATAGACACGGATTGTTTGTTTTTTAACAGTGCCTTGAACAGTGAGGGTAACTAAGGGTAATCAGCCATTAAAATTAGGCTAATACTTAATTCCAGCAACTAACCTCCATCTTCAAAGTCAGGCTCCCCATCTTTGGTACCATTAACTGATGTAGGAGCATCAGCAGTGTCAGCTTGTGCTTTTTTTCTTTTGGTCCTCTTTATAGGCTGCCTAGGAGTTGCCTCAAAACTCGACCCTTTGGAAGACAGGATTAGAAATGAGTATATCACATGGACAGCTCAGGATAAGTTATTTAGAGAAATAGAGAGGCAAGGCTGAGATAGTTTGGACAAGTGCAGAGGAAGGATAGTGAATATACTGGGCAAAGGAGGTTGAAAATGCAAATGCCAGGCAGGAGGAAAAGAGGAACACAAAAGAAGAGATTCCTGGATGATGTGAAGGAGGACATGCAGAGCTAGGGACAGGGTGAAAAAGACGGAGATGATCCCCTGTGGGGACCGCTGACAGGAGCAGCCAAAAGAAGAAAAAACCCTGAAACAGAACTGGTGTCCAGCCAGCCTCCATTTTGCTTTGTGTTCCCTATGTATTCTAGTATTATGGCAAGAGACGCAGAAACCTGATTTCAAAATAAAAACCACCTTCAAGTAAATGTAGCTTCAACATTAACTCTCATTTCAAAATAAAAGCATTCGAAACCTAATTGCAAAATAAAAGCTTCGAGTTAATTTGCAGATATGTTAAGTACATAATAACAAATATCATTTAGTCTTGTTTACACACTCTAATGTTACATCCAAATGACACACCCCTGTACTCCAGTAGCGCCCCGTCAATGCCATCTTATTTTGGATTTCACAGTAAAAGCCTGTAAATTTTCATTTTTGAACTACTCTGTCATTGACTTCAGAATGCTCTTAAAAGGAAAACTCATATTTCCACAGACTAGTTGCACTCAAAATCAAGTCAGTCCAACTTTGCTTTTCACAGTTTGCCCATATATCAGTGTGTTTAGCGGCTTAATGAAACGTTGATCCCTGTCACTGACCGCCAGTGCTAAAAGCGAAAGTCAGTTTGTGATTTTAATTTCGCTGCTGCTGTAAACTGTTTCGAGACACAGCGCTAAAAACCAAACCCCACACACACCACCACAAAAAATCCCTCACATAGATAATGGCTAATATGTAGCAAAGCATTTCAATGTAAGGAGATAACTCATTGGTTTTAAAGTTGTGCCTGAACTCGTACCAGGAACTGAAACATTAAGTTGATTTTAATACAGATTCCTATCTGAGGATCATTTACACCGGTGAAGCCTGCTAACATTAGCCAAAGCACCGATCCAAATCTGATTTTCTTTTAAACTTGTGAGTATGAGGGAGCTAATTCCGATGGCTAAGCTAGTTAATTGACATACCACTCGAACAGTGCTCACCTTTACCTGACATCCGTCGTGTCGATCTAGTCATGGGTCGAGAGAGCTTATCTTCAGAGTCTCTGGTATCCATTTGTAACTCAAATTCAATTGAGCGATGCCAAACAACTTCAACTAAACAATGCGACGTAGCATCGCGCGCACAAACAAGCTACAATCACTGGACTTCCCTGTAGCTGGGGGGACATTTCTTGACAGGACACCGTTGCCGCCCGGAAAATAGTGCAACGTTTAGTTATCTCGATAGAAACAAAGGCACTGTTAAACGTTCCGCTTCAGAATTTAGTCTGCTATGAGTGCCACACAAGCTAACTGAAAGCTAAGGAAGCGTATGATCTACGGCGATATGATCCGTGACATATTTGGTATGGAGGAGTAATCAGAAAAGCGTATCGTTATGACTTTTGAGTTACACGAAGGCATTTTTTTTTTACAATAACACCCAAGTAATGCTTTGGTAACTGTTGGCTAAATTAGCATCACTCTGGCTGGGCTAGCTTAGTTATCTTTTGTCACTTAAATAGCTAGTTCTCTTTAATTATGGTTACCAACAATTTACGTTTCGTGCATGTCATTAGAGCTTAGTTCCCGGCGAGTAGTTATTTCTCTCGCAATAATTTATACTAGCTTTTCTTCGGCTTGCTTACTGTCACCTCGCAGCAAGTTCAGTTTCGATTTAGTAGCAAAACATTATTTAGCAAATCCACGAAAGCACAGCCACAAATTAATACTTCCAAACTGCAATGTACATATTTCCTTTTTATTTAGTGACAGTTTGAAAAGTTGAGGAGCGTAATGGTTGTTCTCGTTCTTCTTTAACTTTAGCGAGACTGCCTTTGAGCTTGGCTCTGTTGACATGCCCGTAAGCAGATTTACAATATTTGTTTGGACCTTTGAACATGTGACGACAAACTGTAACTCGTGGCTTCGCATAAAAAAGAAAAACATGTAATGTTTATTTGTTTTATTCACGCTTGAACCATCCAGTGAACCCTAAGTGAAGAAAAGGAAGACCATCTACCTAAAGACATGGAAAAGGAAGTCCCCAGTCCGAACGCAGCAGGTAAAATTCTAATATTTCTACGTTGCTCAGCCAGTGTTTGCTGTTTGGTGGTCGACTCGCTGCATTGTTAAAGCAGTACAGACATAACTAATGTTTATCTCTATTTCAAGAAATACTGAACACATGTACGGTTAATATTTGGCATTTACTTCAGTTATAGCATGTTTCTGAACTAAAATGTTATTTGTTTCTCGTGATGAAATGTAAATAAATACAAAAAAATCAGTTATAACCAAGATCTGTATAGAACAAATATGTCTTGAACATGTTTATCACTATTAAGTTTTACTTTTTTGAACCTTTTGAAAAGATTGAGAGAGAGAGAGAGAGTAAGCATTGTAAGGATAGCACATATATTTATTGCACCAATGTAAAATAATTAATGAAAATTCAAACATGTGTTTTTTGCAGAAAGGGTGCAAAATAAGGTACAATGTTGTAATGAAGAACATGTTCCTGGTGAGGACAGCCCACCGATGGAGGAGAAAAGCGAAGATAGTGAAGCTGATGTTATAAATCGTGGTGACTGCAAAAAAGAGACAATAAAAAAAGAGAAATTAGCCACAACAGAAGGGACTGCTTCAGGTCAGTGTTTCTGTCCAAGTGTTACAGCACATAATTCAGATATTAGTCAACAATCAGTTATATTATATACCCCACTTTGGAACAGTTAAACTGTTTTTATTTCGTTAGATGAAAGTCGCGTCACAACGAACGAACCATCAGAATTAACTTTACAAATCCCAAATGACAAAGCGAATGACCAGGGCGATGAACCGGAAAATGAAAACATCTCAGCCACGAACAAGTCAGATAATAAATTTGGAGATGGTGAGTCAGAACTTTTTGGAACATCACGGATTAGAATTTGTTCCTTAAACTTTTTGCTTCAGTCTGCTAACTTTCTATGACTCCACGAGGAAACTGGAAGTGTGTAAGTTGTTTTTTCTTTTCTTTACCATCTTTTATTTGTGTAAACTTGTTTTTTCCCCGTGAACAATTTTTCAGCTTCAGAGGAAAGACAGGCTAAACCTGAGAGCCCAACACAGCAGTTAGATGACCACGGTAATAATGTTGAAAACATCGGTCCTACCACTCCAGAGGCTTCAGGTCAGTGTTTCTGTCCAAGTGTTACAGCACATAATTCAGATATTAGTCAACAGTCAGTTATATTATATACCCCACTTTGGAACATCATCAACCAGCATTGTTTGTCTTAGTTATTAGTCATTTGTAAGTTTTGTTACTGCTGTGCTCCTAAAATGGCCATATTCATTTTACAAACCTTGTTATAGACATAAGTCTTGAGCCACCCCTCATTTTTCCTCCTTTCTTTTTTCTTCCAAGGAGGCAGACTTTATTGTTAAATAGCAATGACAGAGCTTTCCGGGCTTTCTGAAGGAGTTTTAAAACGTTTCTTTGGACACCGAGTGCTTTTTCACTCATTTTCAAGGATGAGCCGCTGTTGTAACAGACAACAAAGAACTGATTTTGAATTGTATTTTAGGATCTTTGTTACTTTGCTAAAAATATATAATTTTTTCCACCTGAGCTCTAAAATATGCTAAAGATGGGCATTTTGCACTAAAACAGGTGATTCCCAAAGAAGTGTTGAGATCAAACTTGGCATACTCAGCATGGTGTGTAGTGTGTTCTTGTAAAACAGAGGAAGGTGAAGAAGTGGAAGACAAAAGAAGAAAAAGCAGGACTCTGTCTTCCTGTGTTCCAACAGATCACAGCTTTTCTTTTTGTTGCTGCTGGACTTAGAACAGATTTTCAATGATCAGGATGATTTTTATCCCTCAGCCATAAAAAGCTAATGGGGTATCATCCTCACCCTGCCAGGTGGGCGGGGCTAGCACCCAGGTTTTTGAATGTGATAACGAGAATGAGGCGACATAGGATTTTGGAATTCGTACCATAGGTGCATCTAATAAAACCTTGGATGAGTTTGAATCCCAGTGACCTCAACTTAAGGTCAAGGTCGGAGGTCACGTTTTCTGAAAATGTTCCATATCTCACCTATTGTCAGTCTTATTGTTCCAAGATTAAAAAGGGAATTACTGTTGCCCTGGGCTTTGTTAAAAGAAATCTCCATTAAGGATGCTGCAGATGCCTGATCCAAGATAATTTTTGGGGCACAATAATATTAAATATGTAGAGATCGGAAGTCCTAGGTTGCTATGGAAGTTAAACTATTTTTATTTCAACAGACACAAGTCAAACCACGACACAGGGAGCATCTGAAACAACTGTTCCACCAACCCAAGATGAACAAGATGATCGGATAGATGGAGGCAAAAGTGAGAAAAAAGAAATCTCAGCACAGACGGAGAAGAAAAGCAATCCTAGTCAAACTGATGGCAAACAATTGTTATCAAAAAATGAGAAAAAAGTCACGATAGAGCCAAAATCAGGTTAGTGTTCCTGTCAGAGTATTGTAACAGCTGATTCAGATATTATTATGGATTTATTTGAAAGACAAAGTCTATATTTAATTTGGTTTAAAACATACATTTAGCCTCGTTGTTCTAAGATTAAAAAGGAAACTACTGCTGTAATAAAAGTTTTCTAGTCATATTTAAAGATGAAGCACTTGCTTAATATTATGGGACACAAGAATCAGAAATATTTAAAGATCCAAAGTCTTAGGATGTTGTGAAAGTTAAACTGTTTTTATTTCGTTAGATGAAAGTCGCGTCACAACGAACGAACCATCAGAATTAACTTTACAAATCCCAAATGACAAAGCGAATGACCAGGGCGATGAACCGGAAAATGAAAACATCTCAGCCACGAACAAGTCAGATAATAAATTTGGAGATGGTGAGTCAGAACTTTTTGGAACATCACGGATTAGAATTTGTTCCTTAAACTTTTTGCTTCAGTCTGCTAACTTTCTATGACTCCACGAGGAAACTGGAAGTGTGTAAGTTGTTTTTTCTTTTCTTTACCATCTTTTATTTGTGTAAACTTGTTTTTTCCCCGTGAACAATTTTTCAGCTTCAGAGGAAAGACAGGCTAAACCTGAGAGCCCAACACAGCAGTTAGATGACCACGGTAATAATGTTGAAAACATCGGTCCTACCACCCCAGAGGCTAGTCAAACTGAAGATCCACAAGTTACTAGCGGTAATCTTAGTACATTTGTTCTTTTTTTTTTGAATTGGTTTTTTTTTTTTAAATAATTCTTTTTGTTATGAAGTAGATGTTTAAATAACACAGGCCTTTTCTCCGTAGGAAGTGGAAAATACTGGCTAGCAGTTGCTATAGTAGTGGCAATTGTTGCTATCGCGCTGCATTTTCTTCAGCCAGAATCTCCGCCTCAGACGAATGATGTACCGAAGATAGACGACTTCCTCAGGCAGCTGGAAAAAGTAAAGACTCGGTTTCCTAACCAGCGTGCTGAGCTCTGGAATAGGGGCAGGATCCACCTTAAGAGACACCTTCAGACCACACAGCCCACGGAGCCCGTGAGTCTGATTCTCACTGCAGGCCTCAGAGCTGAGAAGACGCTGAACTGCCTAGCTCGGGACCTGGCCTCCGCCTACTCTTCTGCCCTGAACGCCTCCGTCCTCCACATAGATGGAGCCAGCAAAGCCAGCCAGGACAGTGACCACGTCAAACTGGACATTGACAGGAAGTTGCAGGGAGCTTTTGATGGAGACAAACCTGTAGCCGTCATTCATCGCTTTGAAGAGCTACCTCCGGGCTCCACGCTAATTTTTTATCGTTATTGCGACCACGAGAATGCCGCATACAAGAACACTTTTCTGATCTTCACTGTACTGCTGGGGGAAGAAGACGAGATTCCTGCTAAGATTAGCTTGTGTGCTGTTGAGGAGATGGTGGATGACCACCTTCAAAAAAAATTCCTCACTCATGGCCACCCAGTGTCTTTTGACATGATGGACCTGGACAAATATGGTGGACTGTGGAGTCGTATTTCTCACCTTATCCTCCCCGTGGCAGCAGAGCAGAGAATAGAGCTTGAAGGGTGCTAGAGAGCAGAAGCATTCATTCTAGTCTGAACTTTTAATCTGGGCACTAAGCTGGGTAATTGATCATTTGGGAGGTAGTAGACCTCAAGGATATTGAATATACAGAAGTGGACTTTCAGAATGAATGAGAATCATTATGGTATGGGATTTAAAGTCATTTCTCTGATCAGATGTAATTATGAACAGATAATTGTAAGTTTATTTGGTCTCTGCATTATATTTAAAATTTTGAAGGTAATTTCTGCATTTTAATAAATACTTGGAGTCACAAGATAGAAGGAAGAACAATTCTTTTGGTATCACGGCAATGGGGTTTTTAATTGTTATTGCAAATGTCTTCTGTGATTCGGAAACTTGCATGGCACCGACATGCCTTAACTGAACATACAAAGTCCTTTTTGTCTATATGTATATGTACACGTTACACTACGGGATAAAAAATGAAGATAAGTACATAAATTATATGTGCCTTAAAGTAAAAAATAAACGCTGAAGAATTTTAAATGTCTTTTGTGACTGGAATGAACACTGTTGCCACCAGAGGGCAGCAAATCCACATCTGAAACTTGTCTCCAGCGTCTGTGAAAAGGCTTGGTGGCATTTTGAAAAGCAGCATAAAGTTTGCATATGAAGTCAAACTACACCTTCTTTCATCTGGAACTGCAAATTAAATTGAACCTGAAATAAAATCCGAGTTTGGGGGTTGCATTTTAATCATGACTAACGCTAACAAGCTGCACATCATGTCTCTGAAGTCTTTTGAAGCAGTTCAACTCCTCCTCGCCAGTTTGATCAGGCCCGCCTCCTGTCAGCGTAGCTCCAGCACCAGATGCCGGCTGCTCTCCCACAGGGTGCACTCTTTCTTCAGTCTCATCAGTCTGCGTTCATTGTGACTCTGAAAAAGATGACCCATAAAACCTAATCCGGATATTTGATGTCATTTTTTCACGCACTCTCTGATTTCTAAAATCAGAGGTAGGCTATGACTTTTTCGTGCACCTGAATTTATTGGTGACGGGCTATTTGTTATTTCTTTTATCTGCGCACTGTGAGCCTCACATAATGTACAAGTTAGGCTTTGTCATCGTGATAAGCTGCGCGTTTTTTCCATGGGGATCTGGAGCGCCAAAGCCCCTGGCTGAAAATCCCAGGTCCCAACTTGAGAGCAGTGCAGAGCAAAATGACAGATTGCAAGAGGAGATAGAAGGCCGACAGAACATTCTCTCCAAGGTAGGATAAATAGCTCATTTAATGTGTTTCCTTATATCCTGCATTTTACACTTTGTGCGCAAAAATTGAAAAGTTCCCGATTGCTGGTGGAAAATACATCCGTCCTCTTCTCTTTATAGCTGCTGGGTGATTATGACAAAGTGAAAGCCCTGTCGGAAGGCTCTGACTGTCGGTGTAAATGTGTTGTCAGACCCCTGAGCAGGAGCGCCTGTCGACGGATAGAAGAAGGGAGCGCGTCTGCGCAGGACTTCTACACCGTGGAGACCATCACTTCTGGACCGGAGTGCAAGTGCGCCTGCATCGCCCCACCATCAGCGGTCAACCCCTGCGAGGGAGAGTACAGGCTAAAAAAGCTTAGGGAGGCTGGGAACGAAAATGTCAAGGTGAAGTTTCCTCCTGACCATTTATCATGCCAGAGCCTCCCCGCAGGTGTTCATGCTCCAGCGACATCTGACTGTTGATTTGTAGATGGACCTGGACCCCTGGTGGCATGGATGTCTGATGTTTATCAATTTCCGAAAAGGAAAATCAATATTTTACCACAACCAGAGTTTGAATGGACTGGGGATGTACCTACTTCATGCATTCTATGTAATGAATTCTTTAACTTTGACGGAATTCACTTGATCATTTTTTGTTGTTGTTGTTTTAGCTGTCCACCATACTTGAGCTGCTGGAGGGATCCTTCTATGGCATGGATCTACTGAAGCTGCACTCCGTTACCAACAAGCTCATTGATCGCGTGGATCACATCGAAAAGGTAGCGCAACAGAAAACACATGCTAACTCTCCCTAACAGGTGTGCGTGTAGTGGTGGCTTCTGGAGGTCCTGTTAAAGACTCCCTTAGGTGCTGTTTTCAGATTTACAAGAAGCTTGACCAGGAAGCAGTGCTCAGAGTTTCTGTTACATGTGGAACTTTATCTGCCAGAGCTTTTCTTTGGATCCTTTTTCTTAGTCAGTAAATTACCAGAGATTTTTATACAGTACGTGTTTGTTGGGCTTTAGTCTATAAACTTACACAAGAGCAAAGCTGTAATTACAGCACGAACATATAGAAGTTCCAAATTACCTAAAAGCAGCACATTTAATACATTACCTGAATGTTTATGCTCTTCTCACATGGACTTCGAGTGAAGCAGTTGGGAGTTTGTTGAACTCACTGAACTCCATATACTGAAATGAGCCAATAGCAACATAAACCATCAAGTTTTTCCCCTCGAACAGGTGCAGCAAAATGAACCAGAGGGTTGCATGCTTATGCAGACGAGAGTATAACTTTCATAACTGAAAACACCTGTCAGAGCGTGCTGTCAGTCTGTTCGCCAAAAAATAAAGATAGGAGCCTGCACCTACCAAAGTTGAACCACAGAGTTGAAACGAGGTCTACAACTGGCTACAAGATGTTTTTTTATGTGTGTCATTGTTTTTGCTGCTTTAAAACTGATTTCCTGATTTAATTCATATTAATATATTAACAAAATACTTTTTTCTTCCTCTGCTAGTGTTATGATTGCTGATCGTTAACAAAAATATAACACTTATGTTAGTAGCTTGATGTATCCATGTTTGCATTTAGGCGGTGTCTCTGAATCCACCTTTGGATGAGGTGAAGCCCAGGGAAGGTCCTACTAGTCAAACAGGTTTAACTGAAAGCCCGACTCCGCTTCCCCATCAGCCTCAGGATGGAAAGACAGTTGGAGAGGTTAGCAGAGCTGCAGCATATCAAGACCCAGAGGTAAGTGTAACATCTTAACATGGATATATCACAGCCTTAACCTATTGAGACACTGTAATAACATAGTAACTACATAACTACTGAGTTCCACAGATAAGTATTTGCCTGTCTTTAGCACCATAGCAAACTCTGTCTTTGCTTGGTAACAATTGGTGCAAAATGTGAATATTATCGAAGGAAAAACAAAATACTGTAACTAACTATTCCCTATTCAGTTCACAAACCAAGAAAGTTTGTAGTTTTTGTCATTAAATTAGACAACAAATTTTGCCTACATAAAGTACATTTATCTCTAACTAACACTTTTTACTCCACTTAAGCATTTTATACGATGTGCTTCATTCACACAAGCGCTTTTTTCTGTCTAATATTCACACTTTAATGAACCCATCGAAGAGAAACTTGGGGTACAGTATCTTGCTCAAGACTACTTTGGCATGCAGACTGGAGCAGCCAGGGATCAAACCACCAACCTTTTAATTAGATGACCTGCTCTACCTCCAGAAATACAGCCCCAAACAGCTTACTCGCCTGATGGCTTATATTCAGGCACATCTAATGTTATATTCATAGCAATTATTTTCATTTACAGCAAATGAATAGGTCACTTGTAGAGATGTGTGGTAATGTCATAAATAGTGAGCAAAGATGCTGATCACGCTGATTTCTTGAAAGGGAGCACTTAAACTGTTTTAGCACTTGTCCTTTTCATAAATAAGGACAAAGATTTGGACACATCACAGCAGTAAAAATACTCAAATGAATGATGACTGTATTCTGTTGAGCTGTGTTGGTTTCATGATTGTTTATTGTCAGGACTTCCAGTTGCAGTCTCTGAATTGAAAGTCCTACTGATGACCTGAGGTCTTTGACACCCTAAGTTTTTCTTCCTCTGCTAGGGTTAGCATACCCAAGGTCGGGATGGTTGTAGCTCAGAAGGCTTCATCTACAACTTCAAAGGCTGGGGTTCAATCCCCAGCTGCTTCAGTGTGCATGCCAATATCTTTGGGCAAGATACTAAACCCAAGTTTCTCTCTGATACATCCATGGGGGAGGGGGGGTGTGTAAATGTTAGAAAATAGAGAAAAGTGAATGAGGCAAAGTGTATAAAGTGTTTTGAATACTAAAGTGTTTTGAATACTCGAGAGTAAAGCGCTCTATAAGAACCAGTCTGTTTACCTTTCACCATGTTTGCTTGCAGTTGGTGTCTCTGCATCCATCTGTGGATGAGGTGAAGTTTTGGGAAAGTACTTCTGTTCAAGGAAGTGTGACTGAAAGCCCACCTCCTCCTCTTCCAAATCAGCCTCAGGATGGGAAGACAGTTGGTGAGGTCAGCAGGGCAGCAGCCAATCAAGACCCAGAGGTAAGTGTGACAATACTGATATCACAGGCTTAATCTATGGAGACGCTGTAATAACATAGTAGCAACTAAACAATTACCGGGTTCTACAGGTAATTATTTCCCTGTATTTAGTGAAATAACTGTTTGCTTATTAACTATTTAAATACAGCTACAATAAAATTATTTTCAACTGCAAATGTTTGTTACTAAAAATGAGAAAACCTACATTGTTCAGTAAGTATTGCATCAAGTACTGCATGATTGCAGTACATCATGCCATCATGGGTAATATACTGAGATAACATTGTATCAGGAGTCACTTTTAATTTGCACCACTGATATTTCATATTGAACGCAAGGCTTTGGCTGAAGGAAACACGTATCAAAGAAGTGATCACAGTCAGATGTTTCTGTTTAGCCTGCTAACATTCCTCCAAAGCAAAAGGAACAATTACGTGTTCTTTCCACAAAGTCCTTCATAAAAATCATTGTCTCCATGATTAAGGCCCAGAAACGTGTAAAAGAAAGTTATTGATGTAATTGAAAGGATTGGCAGGACGATAGCAGACCTCAGACCACAGAGCATACTGCTGGGCCCTGGGCCCCGACAGCTTGAGTATAAACTTGAGAGCCCATCCAGGAGGATTGCATGGTCTTGGACTTTAAACACAGTTGATTCACTAGAAAATTTACAGGAAACATCCAACAAGGTTATTAAAGTGACAGTAAAACAAGGCAAATGTTTTAGATTAGGTTTCTGATTAAAACTTTCCTCTGCACTGTGGGATCATTTGGGATCATTGTAGCTTGTTGGAGTTTCAGCTCTTCTATGCTATTCTCCTCACTAGATCTGAACACAGTTTCTTTGCCACACACCGACTCATTATTTACACAACTCCAAATTCTCTTTTGCTGGTAGTAAAAAATAAAAAACATAACGTACTTTTTGAATAACATGTTATGATTCAAGATTTCACAAATGTCTTTCTTACACCAATCCAAATTCTTGACAGCTGTTTGTACAGTTTATAGCCAAAGGGTCGTAATTGATCTCTTCTTAATACAGAGTGAACGATTTCCTCAGAAGTTGTGTGTACCTTGTTGTCTAACAGGAAAAGTTTGACGGGAAGCTCATTGCGGAAAATCAACCCTTCTTACACACAGACGGCTCTGGTCAGATCACTGAGGTCAGACCTCAGGTGACCCTCAAAAGTAGCGCTAATAAGGAGGCTTCTCAGGTGTCAAAGGCTGGATCATCTGGAATGATTATCAGAGGAATGACTTTTTATAAATCTGAGCCTGATCCGATGGTGGCAGATGATGGGGAGCCTGGAGAGAACTGTGAGTGCAATCTGTCTGTTACCTTAAGCGGCATTAAAGCAACGAGAGAAGTGTTTATTCTGGATGTATAATTATATTCATTTGTACAGTTCAGGATGTGTCGTAGCAGTGAGAGATGGTCACAGAAGCTTTGCTGGCTCTCAGCTAACAAACAGCAGAACTCTGATTGTATTTCAACTCTGCTTCTAACATTTTCTTGTGGTGCTCAAATCTTTTTCCTCTCTTTCTTTTAGTTTTTGAGTATCATGGTTTGAGCGGTGACGGTCCAGATAACCTCTTTATCGAAGAGAATCTGCTTCAACCCAGATCTCCTCGGCCCTGGACCAGAGAAGGACTGAGATTGTTTCGAACAAAAACAACAGGTCCTTTGCACGCACCTAAGAAGACCAGCCAATCAAAAAACACAAAAGAAACTGAGCCCTTAAAAACTCATCGAAGGTTTATTAGTGCCATGGGAACCACATCAGTGGATGTGTCTTCGGTTGCACAGAGTGACACATCCACGGTGAGAAGCATCAGCCTTGGACCACCTATTGCAGAAAACAAACAAAGGACCACAAACTTCGTGCCTCAGACCACTCAAACAGTCACTGCTGGAATCACCAACAGACCAGTCCCTTCGCTGACTGAAGCAGCAAACATTTCTTTAAGTATTAGTCAGCAGAAAAAGAACAAAACCTCAGTCCAAGCCTCTGAAAATACAACGATGGAGGAAAATGCACAAGCATTCACAACAACAAATACACCCACCAGTGTGAAGGAACCCTCTGGTCTGGAGCTAAAAGACCAATTGCAAACCATAGCTGGCAGTACTTCAGCTAATCCAGGCTCTGTTGAACTAAATCCAACAACAAAGCCTTTAACTACCAGCCTGGAGTCTACTATGACCCTCACAACCCACGCTGACCCGACCACAGCACCAGTACATCCCACAACAGCTGCCACAACTGCTACCTCCACACAGGCTGCTACTACAAAACAACCAGAAGAAACAACATCCACCGACTTCTCAGGCTCAGATTTGCCACAGACACCAACAGCTTTGCTTCCTGCAGCATTAACTACCTCGTCTTCAACCACCACCACCACAACTACCACCACTACCACTACCAAACAGGCTGCTCAGGTCAAACAGAGATACAAAATCAGCTGGGAAGAGGAAGGACACATGGAACTAGACGAACCGATGCAGAGGCATGAGGAATCCAGGCCAAAGAAACCCGGTAAATAATAAAGAACGTTGTGCCATCTGTGTCCACCTGCAGCCAGAGGCAGAGTATAGCCAGAAATTATTGTCAGCATATGTCACTTCAAAAGTACGGACTTACCTCACATTTTCATTTAGAGAAACAGAAACTGATATTTGTTTGTGAATGACCGAACTTTACAAGACAGGGCTCTCTTCTCTGTGTTACCCCTCCCCTTTCCGTGATTCAAGCTGGTTAAAACAAAAGTCTTTAATTGTTTTCAGACCCTTTGACGTAGGTCTGGATGATGTTAAAGTGCCTTTAAAACTTCCCTCAGAGCTCTCTGTCTTCTTTACAGAGGAGTGCAAGGACACTTTGGCAACAATCTCCGAGCCAGTCACTCACAACACCTATGGCAGAAATGAGGGAGCATGGATGAAGGATCCAAAATCTGATAATGGCAAAATTTATGTGACAAACTTCTATTACGGAAACAACCTTCTGGAATTCCGCAACCTGGAAGTTTTCAAGCAAGGTAAGAATGTGTGCTTTTTGGAGTTAGAACTAGCTTTAATTTTACATTTTTTGATAAGATGTAATAAATCTCATCGTCTACGTATCTTTTCAAGGCCGTTTCAGTAACTCCTACAAGCTTCCTTACAACTGGATTGGCACAGGCCATGTGGTCTATGGCGGGGCCTTCTATTACAATCGCGCCTTCTCCCGTGACATCATCAAGTTTGACCTGCGACAGCGTTACGTGGCTGCCTGGACCATGCTGCACGATGCCCTGTATGAAGACTCATCGTCGCCTTGGGATTGGCGTAGCCACTCGGACATCGACTTTGCTGTGGACGAGAGCGGCCTGTGGATCATCTACCCGGCACTGGATGATGAGGGCTTCTTACAGGAAGTGGTTGTCCTAAGTCGACTGGACCCCTCAGACCTCAGCATGCAAAGGGAGACCACTTGGAGAACGGGGCTCAAGCGAAACCACTTCGGGAACTGCTTCGTTGTGTGTGGCGTCCTGTATGCTGTTGACAGCTATAACCAAAGAGACGCCAACCTGGAATATGCCTTCGACACACACACAAATACTCAAATGATTCCCAGAATGCCCTTCATCAACAACTACACCTACACCACACAGATTGACTACAATCCTAAGGAGGGTGTTTTGTACGCATGGGACAATGGACACCAAGTCACATACAACATAAAGTTTGCCTATGTTGATGCTCAGTAAGGATCTGTTTTAAGTGTAATTGTTAATACTATGGTTTATGGATTGTAGATCAGTCCACATGGCTTCATGTATGGAGAGAAGCGAGGGGCCAAATGTATAAAATTCAATATATTGTGTTCAAAATTGTTCTTATTAAGATTTTTTTTTGTATTTCTACTTAAAATAAATTAATAAGAATTACTCCTCAGTCGACACATCAAGTTGCGCTCTATACTCTCATCAGCCACTTTACTAGGTATACACTGCTGCTTTAATTCTTCATGGCACAGACTCAAGAAGATGCTGGAAACATTCCTCAGATTTTGGTCCATATTGACACGGTAGCAACATAGTTGCTGAACATTTATTAGCTGTACCTGCATGATGGCATTCAACCACATCTCAAAGGCACTCTATTGGATTGCGATCTGGTGGCTGTTGATGCCATTTCAAGTTAACGAGTGAACAGTGAAGTAACAGTGAACTCATTGTCATGTTTAAGAAACTACTTTGCGACAGGAAGCAGCCACCAAAGGATGGGTACACTGCGTCATAAAGAGATGGATATGGTGAGTAATAATACTCAGGGGCACATAATTGGAAGAGAGCCTTTTGGCTCCTTCATGTTGTTTACACCACATTTTGACCCAATCATCTGAAAGTTCCAGCAGAAATGGAGGCTCAGACTAAGAAATGTTCTTTTCAATCTTATCTATAGTGAAATGTCGATTAGTCTGTGGAGACTGTAGCCTCAATTTCTTGGTCCTTGCTGACAGCACCCAGCATGGTCTTCTGTTGTCGTAGTCCATCTGCTTCAAAGTACAACATGTGCAATCAGACATGCTCTTCTGCGTAGCTCGGTTTTAATGAGTGTTTGTTTGAGTTACTGATGCCGTCCAACAGCTCATACAGTTCTCTGATCTCTGGTATCGCTAAGGCATTTAGAACTGCTGCAAACAGGATATTTCCTCTTTTTTTGGAGCATTCTCTATAAAGCCTACATATGCCTATGTGGGAAAACCCCAGTAGTTCAGCAAAAATATACAGATCAGCCAACCTGGCAACAACAACCACGCCAAGTTCTGCAAAGTCTCCTAAATCACCTTTCCCCATTGTAATGTTCAGTTTCACCAGTTGGATAGGGTCGTTTCCCCAATGCCTAAATGCACTCAGTTGCTGCAGTTTGATTGGCTGCATTAATAAGCAGCTGAACAGGTGTACCTAACAAAGTGGCCGGTGAATGAACATCGGGATGCTATAAGAGTAGCTGAATAATGTCGAAATGTTTCTGATGGACAGCTCTGTTCAAAGAAACAGAATTCATACACAGTTTTGTATCCTTTTTGAACTTTCAGCCTTATACGCCACACATCCTCCCTCCATATCAGACTGCTTTGAGGAGACTGCAATAAAGTTTTGAGATGCTAATAGAAAATGTCTTCATTGTCTGGCTAAACACGGATAACACCTAATTGGCTCTAATCATAGCTTGCAAGTATTAATTAAAGTCAAATGCTGTGAGGATAGAAGGAAACCAGGCAGGAAAGGACTAAAAAGAAAAGAACATAAATACAGACATAAAATGAATGACTGTTCAAACCTGTAATTTAAACCACTGTTACTGGTTGTAAAGTTATTGTGGGCGAAAATACCCTGGAACAGCTTTTCTACCTGAGGAAAAAAAATCAAACGTATTCTGTTTAGGGTTTCCCCTAACAGCTCAACAGGTACGAACACACGGCCACAGAAAATCCAGTGTTTATTTTGGTTTCTGCACATACAAAAAAATAAAAATAAAACAAGTTTTTTTATTGTACTTTTTCTTTGCCCCCATATACAGCAGAGATGCAGCGAAAACACTGTGGTGACCCAGATGTACTTCTGTAAGCAGAAAGGAATTTACAGACAAAGAGAAGGCCTTTGTTGGCAAAGAAAGAAAGAAAAGAAGCACAGCACAATCCTGCAACGACAAGAAACGCACAGCGATACAGAGACGACTTCGCTTTATCGCCATATTTATTATATGTGATTTATTATATAAGATCTGTCTCTATTCATAGCTTGACAAAAAACAAATAAGAAATTAAAAGCCAGAACAGTACATCCAATGTTCTGCATTAATAGTGCAAATTTTACCCTCAACTTAGCAAAACAGATCATAGACCATCATAATTCTGCACAAAAATGCAACTGTTCTCAAACGCAGTAAATAAAAGCAGGAGCTGTGTGGACGGAGAAGTACTCACAGTTTGTTTTTTGAAACCAGAGGTTAAACATCAGGCCTTTAGTGTAACTATTAAGTGTTTATGCAACTGAAAAAGGCATTTTTTGCCATTATATCAATTAGGATTTATCGTCTCATAAGTTCGAGTTAGTAAGTTGAAATTTTGATACAGAAAACTGAAACTTGTTGAATGTTTTTTTTAATTCAGTGGCAAAAACGAGCTTTTATAAGATATGATGAAGCTTTTTTTTTATGCTCCGGGATAATAGAAACTAGTTTTTATGCATAAATAGATTTTCTATCTGCCATTTTTTTATTTCATATATATAAAAAAAACCAAAAAAAACATTTTTTTTGGCGTCAACAGGAATAACAAAAAAAAAAGCATTTTTAAAAAAAAAAAAAAAATCCCCAAAATAAAAATGAAAGAAAAAAAAACTTGACTACTGAATTTTTCAAAGGAAAAAAATGAGGGAATTGGATTAAACCACAGATGTGTGCTGTTACATAATAACAGCAATAAATATGTACAATATCCAAACCTGTCCATGAATATAGAAACACAGCAAAGACCCGAAAAAATTAACTAGTGAAAATCTTCATCAACAGCAATAGAAACCAGCAGATAACAGAGCAATTAGCCAGATAGGGTTCAAAGATCACTTAACTTCCTGAGTTTGTGCCTCTGTTGCTGCAGATAACTCATCTGTCATGTCTGATACATCACTGATCAGATTTGCTTTATTCAGAGACAGAAAGAAATTATTATAGCACTCCATTTTATAGCAATCAGATACAAACAAACAGGTCATTTTAAATAAAAATGCATTTTTATAATGTATTTAATGTTTTTTAAGCACACACACACACACACACACACACACACACACACACACACACACAGAGCTTTGGAGCTTGTGCAGAAAAAAAGAGCCGACTGAACGTAAGCTGTAAGGGGTAAAAGTATTTGTGTTATGATGGGGTAACTCAAGGTTCAATGCTCTGCCCCCTGCCGCTAAACAATTACCCTTACATAAAGCATCTGGGGTTACACGGGTAAGTCAGTGTTGCCACACAAGGAGCTAGTCTGCTGCTGCTTGGACCCTATTACAGTCCAGCTCCAGAAATCAGCCAGAAAGGGGCTGAACGGTGAGGACAAATTGAGCTTCCTCTGTAACCTCCAATGACTAGTTTTCTGCAGAGCACATTCATGCAAATAAAAATGAGAAAAATTATTAACTGAGGTGTTATCTTGTGCTTCCGTTTATGAGTTTTAATGAGGAGGTGTAAAGAACGCAGGAGTCGCTGATGATCTTACGCAGACCCCATTAGCACGCCGACAGGAGGCGTAACCTTGTTCTCTGCTGGGGAGTTCTGGTAAAACGTGTCAGAGCGGTTCACCCGGAGCAGAGGCGGGATGCTGGAAGATCTGATGTGGAGGATCCTGGTGTCTGTTACTACACAGTCAATCTGCATCATCACCTCAAAGTCTTTGTCCCTTATAATGCTGTCTGTAAGGCAAGAAAGGGAGAAGAAGGTTGTGAAATAAATCTGCAAATAAAGTTAGCATACGTTCATTTTTGTGTTTGCTCGAGTGGAGCGAGTGGAAGTGTACTGAGTATTGTTTGAGACAGTTGACATTAGGTAGGGGGGATAACTGCAGGGAGTTTGGGTGGAGGCTGGGCTACACAGATGGAGTCCAGAGGTGAGTCACACGCTGGATTTCTCCATCGTGGAGATAAACAAAACATCTCTAAACAAGAGCAGGACATGCGAACTGGAAAGAAGAAAAGTCTGGCGAGAGTGTGGGAGAAAGAAAGAGTGATTGCAGATGATGAGTCAGGATGCTTCTTGCTGGGCTGAGAGACCAAGAGAAAGTTTGGCAAAGCTGAAAAGTCAGAAAGTTTTTGCCGCTGATGAGTCAGGCTGTTGTGTTTGAAGAAACCTGGGGAAAGCAGATGGTGTACAGTGCAGACAACGTTAAATACTGTATGTTTCACAGAGTCATCTGAAAGCTTGACCTACAAACAAGCAATCTGCTTTTATTTTGGAAAATTTAAACTTGGAAAAAGATACTGGACTTCACACAAGTGGTTCATGGTTTGTGGTATCCAGCAAGATATCTGCACTCAGCCTGGGGTGGAAAAAACACCCTTTAAAGTGGACATTCTTATAAACTTTTTCTGGGGAGAAATGGGAATTTAAACATGTTGAAGGATCGCTTATATATTCACACTAACAAATAACTTGCGGCTTCTTTTGTGTGGGGGTTGAGATAAAATTCCCCATATGCATCACACCCAATCCAAACAGCCTGCAAAGATCTTTTAAAAAGCTTTGGTCATTTTTCCAGATACCTGTGTAAGCCATCAGCTTCCTAATCGTTCATCAGGACATACATTTGGAGGCAGTGGGAGTTCATCTGATTGTACAGAGGCTATAAAATAGCTCCTTCTCAAGACGGAAGATTCCACTGATGCTCATATCATTAGACAGCTAGTACCGGTAACTCTGACTTCATCTGCTGATAAACCTCCGATTTTGCACCTGCACTGAAACCAGAGCTTTTCCAATAGCTTCAGTGTTTCAGCAGACATCTCTGGAAGTCATTCTCTGCATCTGGATTTGTCGCTTTATGACCCTCTCAATTTAGGTCTGAAGGAGACTGGAAAAATGAATCATGTATATTGCGGCTGGATCAGTTCAAGGTCCCGTGCCTCTGAGAGGCTGGACTTATCACAGTGAGTTTACACATTTTTCGCCTTTTACGTTCAAAAGCAATAAAATCCACCCATGGCAAGGAACGCAGCTTTTGCTGCTACACTTGGACTTATGTGACCACTTGCTTGCAGAGTTCAGCTGCTGTTAGCAGACATTAGATGAATAAATACTGTTTTTGTTCAGCCAAGCGGTTACTTGAGCTAAATGCTAAAAACAGCCTGCTAACATGCTGTGTTTACCATTTTAGTTCTATTTGCCAAATAGTGCTCCTGTAAATACAAATACTCACTATTTCAGTCGCACTTTGTTATTCCTTAATGAAATCAATACTTTTTAAGTGTACAGCAATGACCCTGTCATTTCTGGGCTAAACCATTATCCAAACTCAGGACTTACATGTAATACTCGACTCTGTTTACATCGGTCTTTCACCAGAATGCCAAACTGTGTAACGTCTTTTTAACTAACAGCTTGTGAGGCCTGAACAGTGAAAGAGGAAACACACAAACACACAGCTTTCAAATAGCAAGTCTTTGAAGAGGCTGCCAGATCTGCCATCCTGCTCTGCGTGGTCTCATTTCCTCCTTATACTGGTACCATCTGGATCTGTTTCAGAAACCTTCAGCGTCACAGCGAGCTGGTCTACGCTGATAAAGGCCCGATGTCTGGCAGCGGTGCATCTGAGGAAACCTGAGAGTGCATCTCAGGAGGACGTTGGCTGCCAGATTGGAACAAACTCTAAGGATATGTTCATGAAGGAAGGCCTTTTACTTTGTTTACATCAAAAGGAAGCATTATTCATCAGTAAGTACGGTCCCAAACTAAATAATGTGATTTAGGACAATGAAAATAAATGGAGGGTCACATTCACACAAACCATCAGTCCAGTTTTAATGAACTTTTCCAGTATGTTCGGCTTTAACTTGCTAAACTACAAGCTATCATTCTACAGTAGAATGTAAGAGCCAATTAGAAGCAAAAAAAGTAATGCTCACCATTAGAAATAAAGAATAATACGCTTAGATTTGACTTAGTAACTGCCAGTTGTGAGGGGGAAAAACTGTCTGGTGAGAAGTTGCTAGCAGTAGCTGCAAAATCAATTGCTAAAGCCCCGATCACAGAGGCCTGCAGTCTGTGAGCCCTTGGCCATTGTTGATCACTAGGGAAACGTTTATATTCTGCAACTGGTTTGTGAGTGGTTGCTGGTAGTGCTGTGGTGGTGCTGCAGCGAAATCCTCCTTTTTAACCCGCTAGCAGGTTGCTGCGGTCATTTCCATAGAAAATGCCATTTCTGCCAACCGTCCTGGATACAGAGTCTGTCTGCATTCAAAGTAAAAAAGCTGCACCTTTCAAAATGTGTTGGCTGCTGTGGGACAGCAAAACTTTTATTTTGAAGGGAAATGTTCTTCATTTCCTAATATTTCAAGTTTTCAAGTTGGGGAATCCACATTTTTCCCTAGCAACCAGAGGTTTCCAGGGGGATCACTGACTGGTCTCTATGACTGAAGCCTTACTGAATTCAACCAACAAGTGGTTAAGATTCATCTGAACCGCAGCGCTCAATGATGGACCAAACAAGTCATTTCTAAAGGCGCATAATCACTATAGTCACTGGAGTCTTATTTTTCTGGAGTGGCTTGAGTTAAACATTTGGTTTGGTGAGAGTGAACTCCATTTCTGAGCACTGCTGTTTAGATTAGGGAAGTAGGAAAATCTGACCCTCAAGTCAATCAGCAGTATAGAGCTGTACATTGAACCCCCAGTGAAAGGCAGCCTGTTGGCTACAGTGCGCATGTATAATCTCACAGAAGTAAAAATAGACTGCAGTGCGTCTCATACGTCCATCCACCTGTAAGTGATGTCAACCCTGAAAAATTCCCCTCTTTCAAACACGTCGCTTTCAATTGATTGAGCTACTTTCAAACTCAGAGGATTACTGAATAAACACACCCCACAGCCCTTATAAGGAGCCACTGCTGTGGCCGATACATTTTTAGAGAAAACCAAATATGTCTAGATTAAATAACTCTATGAAGTGTGGACGTTAGATCAAAAACTCCATCTTTAATGTTCAGTTATTGACCAAGACTGACTAAATGATCACTCCAGATTAGCCAAGCCTCTCCATCTCCTCCAGATGAAAACTATTTAGTGACTAGAGAAGGAAGGCATTCTTAAAGCAGAGCAGCAACAGGGAGCTGGAAAGAATTATCTTCCAGTACAGTATTACTCTCCAGTAAGAGGACAGTGTTTCTCCTTCTCTAAGGGTCTCACCCAACTAAATATGCATACATTTGCACTTAATCACTTCAAAGGTCCAAACAAGGACAGCATAAATCTAAAATGCTACTTGAAGGCTGCTATCTGTGCAGCACATGGGGCTCCATATCTAAAAGGAAAGAGGACTGTGTGGAGATTGTGCTTCAGGAGAATTACTGCATCCTTTGCTTTGTCTTAGTCCTCACTTTTCAGTCACAAGGCAGGAGCAGTTGTGTTATTTCTGAACATAAAACGGGTGTTAGCCCTCTCCCTAGGAACTACCACATCATCGAGCCAACTTATTACACGCAAAGACACGAACAGACAGGCATTAACCCGCTGTTTTGAATTTGTAACTCAATTCAAGCATCCATGACAGATCATGCAAATTTGAGACCTTTGTTGAGCAATCGAGAATCTTTCCAGACCTGACGTTTCTTTATAAATGCCACCTTTGTTTGGCCATTTCAACAATTAGCTCACAAGCACATCTTGGATTTCACTATTTACTGCTTATTTCAATGGTTTCATTTGACTGGCCTGGACCTTAACATTCCTCCCTGACAAGACCAACCGAGAACAATGTTTACCTTCATCTATCTTCACCTAACACCCATCTCACAGAAAAAAAAATCTAAATGGCCTCGTCTCTCCTGCTGAGTGAGCGGCTCACATTTCACCCACTCACTCCTCCCAGGGTTAGCTGAAACATTAACCAAATTGGATGCTTCTCCACTCACAAGTAGGAAGTTAACAGGAAAACAAAAAGGTTCTCAAATAAAAATGACAGTTCAACTGTTAACAACAGTGTGGTGTCTTCCTATTTGCTTACATCAGACATAAACACAGCCCCTCTTGAGCGCGTTCTCTCTCAGCTCACTTCTACACGTGCTTTGTGAAAATCAGGCCACCTGTTACTGAAGCATCTAATGACCTGACTTTGATAGAACGCACTGATAATCCTGCAGATCTGACAGCCGTGAAGCAAAGTCTCGATGACGTCATGGATGTCAAAAACACGCATACACCAATTGTCAATCATTTGAGAATATGCACAAGTGCAAGTCTACGCTTTCTGCTGATCCAGTGTTTGTTTTTGAAGGCAGGTGGTGAAAATAAATGAGCGACTACAGGTGGAAAGCAGCCCCCAGAACGCAACCAAGCGCGTTCTGATTGCCACCCACTCTGTCCACAGCTGTGGACCGCAAGAGCGTTTTCAAGAGTAAATTGAGTCAGATGAGCTGTGTCTCTGCTCTCCCATCTGAAGCGGACATGAAATTTGCTTTAAGTTATTTGATTATTAAATGACAAGTTATTATGTGACTCAGTAACAATGAATGAATTGACCAGTGTACTCTGAGCAAAGTGCTTAGACTTTCAAGTAGGTTTAATAGTCAACTGATGCACTCCAGGCAAGAAACCAATGTTCTTCACTTATTTCTTTGCTTAACTGTTGTTTAATTTGCTTCTAAACTAAACCCTGGAAAACACAACCACAGAAGTAAAACACAAAACTCTTTGTTCTAATAGAATTTCTAACCCTTTTTTTCTGTAAATGTCTGAGGCCACAAGTAATGCATTCTTGTGGGCAAACGTGATTGAGAATGTGAACCTGGGCTGCCTTTTATCTGCCACATCGCGCTGCACTTCCAAGCTGTGTCTGTGCTGCACTTCTTACCATTTATGTTCATGGCTGGCAACACGACAGACATCTTGGGTGGACTTCCTTTATTGTGGCTGGTGGCAGGAAGTAGGAGATGATCCTGAGAACAAAGAAGAGAAGGTTGGAAATTGGAGAACGCAACAAACTCAAAGCAAACAAAACATTTGGCTTGTATGTGTTTAATGATAAAGAGACCTTTCACAATGAGTTTAGAGCCTTTTCTTAAAGAATACACACGATCAGCTTCAGCAGCTTAACGAGGCTTCTGTCATCACGGGCAAGATAATAGGTGGAAGAAGCTGGGAGACGTTACAAGTTGCTTGTATTATTTATCAGAGCATGAAGCCGTTTGTTCCACAAAATGACTCCAAGCTGAAACTTTTAAAGCTATTAGAACCACTGCTGTGTAAAACTAATCTATATCCAGTGCACATTTTAACAGATGAGTAAAACTAGCAAAGCAAATTAATTAATTAATATTAATAATAATGATAACAAAAACAAAGAAAATGAGGAGATTAAGACAAAAACAGAGTCTAAGAATGAAACAGGATGACAAAAGATGGTTCTTATTCTTTTCCCAGTTTGTGAGGCAAAAACATATTTGTGAACCCATAGAGGCTGAGAAAACCTAAACAGCTGCATCGACGCCTGCTGAAGACAATATCATGTGACCGGTGTAACGTTAACAACAGTGAACCTCAGCAGGTAACTGTGAGGTTCTGGTGTGAGTGACATGAAGAATTAAGGTTGCTAAGGTGACAGTAGACGGGAATATGGGTCCAGGAGATGGATTACAGAAAATAAACAGGATAGGGCAATGACAGTTTCTATTTCATAACAGTGAATACGAGAATGTGCTTCGTAGTTTCTGTAACGTTTCATCAAAATGGTGCAAAAATTCATAAAGAATTTTGTTTCGGTTAAGTGTATGTTGTGATCTGTGCTCATGGGAACTAAATGTAAGCTGAAAAGGTGAAATTATGTGTTAAAATGACGGCGTGTCTGTGATTGGAGAGTGGAAGGAAAAACAGAAAACACCAGCCACATTACTGCTCCTCATCAGGGGCTTGACAAGTCCCCATGACAGCTGATGCTGCCATAGCGATGGCTGAAAGCTGGCAGTGTTTCCATCACGTCGCCCCAATGCACACTTACGTAAAGCCACAGGCGCCACAACAGCATCAGAAGTGACACAGGGCCACACAATGACGGCAGAGTAAGACACGCCTGGACGATTCTTTCTTTAGCTCGCTGAGAGTTGTGTTTTCCATCATTTACCTCATTTACTACCTAAATTAAGACACAGGTGGTAACGCATCTGCACGGCCTTAAGCTGCCTTGATCGAAACGTGACCTTTTTGCAACATACTGCACAGAGTGACTTCAACTGCTGGAAGGTGCAAGAACAGACCATAATGAAAAAATACTTTTGTCTCAAGGGACAAAACTCAAAAATTTTTGTGACTGGCTTTAAAATATAAACAATTTAATCCAGAACTTTGGCAGTCTTGTAATAACATCATACCAACTGGAACAAAAAAAAAAAAGCAAAAGCATTCCTGCTTTGTCAGACACACACACCCCGAAACCCAGGAAACCAAATACAGGCAAATAAACGGAGAGAGAAAAGCTAACAAGGTCTGTGAGAATTAAAAGAAGGTCACAGTGAATGACTGGCCTGTAACTAAAACACTTTACACGAAGTGTCTATTTATCATTTCGTCCTTATGTTTTTGTCATATTCATTAAAAACAGTATTTTTGAATGCTATCTCCAGTTGAATAAAATCAAGATAAGATCAGATAACACACAGAAAAAAGAGGAATGGGCTAAAATGTGGAAAATGCAAGTGTAAGAGAAACACCTGAATAAAGTGCAATTCACCTTTAAAGAGTTCAAAATCCAAGAAATAAATTCCTAAATCTAACAAATCCACTGAAGCGCTTCATTATTGGTATTTTCTGTCTTTTTAATGCCTTTTTTTTTGTAAGGAATGACTGGTTAATCAAACTAAAAAGCTGCCCTAAATTTACGTTTGAACTATTCAATTGTTTGTAAAATATCCACAAAGACGACTTTTGTGAATGAAAGTTAAAAAGAGAGAGAGAGGGAGAGAGATTATTACCTGTAATGTTAATGGTTTCTGACACGAAGTTGGAGAAAGCAGACCACCCTCCTCCCCCTGCATCACAAAGCTGCTACAAACTAAAGGCTGGCTACTTGACCTGCAAAGACCTTCACCTCGGGTACACCATTGTTCCCTTTGTCCTTGTCGTCACTATGCCAACCTAAAGCCGAACCTTTGTGTCTCGATCTTTGGATACATATGTCAAAATTCTCACCGCCCTGACTAACCCTGAGCTTACCTTCACCGAGATTATCCAGCAGTCTAGAGCAGGAACATTCTTAGCCTTTCCAGTTAAACTCAGTCCAGCTTAATTATCACCAACCACAGAAAAAAGAAAAAAATGAAAAGAGAGAACAAAAAGGTGTTTTCCAGCTTCAAAAGAGTTTTTGATAGCTTTCCAGAAAACTGGAATGGCCGATGGAAGCCCGTACCGGCACTGGCAAACTCCACGCAGAATGGTTTGAGCAGAGCTTCTTGCTGTGAGGTAACAGTAATACCAGTACCCCCCTGGCACTTAGTCTCAAATGTGCAAGAATTAATAAAGATCAAGATAACTGACAGTAATATTTGAGTATAAACAAATATTGCAAATTCAAAACTGGCCTTTGGTTCAAAAGAAACCTCTCTGCTGAAGAAAAGAGACATTGCACTAAATCTGAGTCCCTTGCTTAATTTTGGTTTAATCACAAATCAAACAGAATGAAATCAGAATCAGAATCAGAATCAGAATCAGAATCAGAATCAGAATCAGAATCAGAATGGGGTTTATTGCCAGATGTTGAGGTTTACAACATTAGGAAATTGCTGCGGTGCTTCAGTGCAAACAATAAGAATTAAAGTGCTATGTAGAAAGAAAGATATGTGCAAGAATTAAAGTGCTATGTAGAAAGAAAGATATGTGCATGAGATATACATGAGATATATAAATGAGAATAAGAATTATGAGTGCTATCGGTTTAGTGAAATCGGTTTAGTGTTGATGTGTAAAAACTTCCAGCTGCATTTTGCTTCATGTGCCTAATTCTCCCATTCACCTCAGCTAGAAACAAGTCCAAACTTACCCTACGGAAAGACACGACATAGAAGGTGTCGCCGCGGCGGTTCAGCTCATCAAAGAAGTCGGTGTACGTGTGACGAGGGGCGTAGTACACCTGCAGCTCACTGCCAGGACTCCTGTGGAAGAAACGCAGATAAATATGAAAACACTCGTCAGAGAAATATGGTAGCAATGAAACCTACAAACATTCAAGCATGCATACTTGTAATTAACTGCAGATAGTAAATGTAGGATAATCTGTAATATATCTGGCCACTTTCCATATTTCAACTATATGATTTATATCACAGCGTCCTATTTGATTTCTGCTTGTTCAAACACCATCAACTCAAACAGCAACTACTAAAACATCCCAGTGGTCTGTGCCTCAGTATAACCGACTTGCCCAGTAATTTGCTGCTGGAGCACAAAGTAAAGCCTAAAAACTGCTACTTCGCTGTCTCACTGCAGCATTGAGTACTTCCTCCTATTTTTGGTGTTTTGTTTTTTTCATCTGGCCTTACAGAGGTTAACTTCTGAAAGTGATTTTCTTTCATTTTCCTATGAACTCAGATATTTTGTAGCCAGATTTAAAAGCGCCAAAAAGCCATTGACACCATCTGTGTGATCTAAACTGTGCAGCAGAAAAGTTTCTCGTTCATCGCCAAACTTCTAAAGCGGTGTGCAAGGGTCATCCTTTAAAAATCACTGCATCATAAATCGAATATTATAAAACTGTAAAATATAAAAAAAGGGGACAAATGCCAAAAACGCTCCAGTTTCTATTTAAAGCAACGCTTTGGTCAAATTCTACTAAAACACCAAAACATGGCAGGTTATTATGTCTACAGGTGCATCAACTAATCAACCTTCATTAAAACAAAACACCTGAAATTTTCTGTAGCCGGCCTTTACTTACTTTTCCGCAGTAGTTTCTGTGTATTGAACCGTCACAATCTGGCTGCCTTCGTCCTCCTTATTTCCTGTTTTCTGTCAGGGAAAAACCAGACAATTAGCTATAATCTGTGCAACCACATCAATGCCCATGAAAGAGAGCAGTAAAAATAAACAGTATTGCCTACATAAAAGCAGACTATCCTTTCAAAACTCCTAGAGATCCACACACACACACACATGTGTCAAGGTTTTCTTCTGATAAATTACATCTCGTTCAGAAATTTTACAGCTGTCATGAAGAAATAAAGACTCAGGTGGTGATCCACAGGCACATGTTACATCAGAGTGAGCAGATTTACTGTTCAACTCCAAAGGCCGAAAGGGTAAAACAGCTGAATACAGACAGGCAATAAACACCTCCACCTTTTCTGTTAATACAGATAAGAACAACGTGTGTATATATGAAGTGGGCAGATGGTCGGCTTTAGTAGACTGGACCTGCTGTGACAGATTTTGAAAAAAAAAGAAAAAATATGGAAAAAAGGAGCAGGGGGCACTAATCCCATAGCTCCCCTCTAAGTGTTATGTTTACTTTCTCAGGGCTGCCGGATTAAATTCAGCCCAATAAAGAGAAACGAGAGGCAGAAAAAGGGGTAGGTGTGACTGGAGGTGAAACAGTGGTGAAAGACAGGCTTTGGGTTGCCAAGAGACTTTTAAAGTGGAATGGCTTGAAATCCAAATGAGGTTTAGTTTGCAATATGTATTGCCAGCAGCAAATATCACGTAAATTTGTGCACGGACCATTACGTGTGTTTTACTGTTTTGCAAAACACGCTGCTGTGACTTACCAGAATCGTCCTGGTGGGTTTGTGGTTGCTGTTATTCTCTCGTCTCGATTTGGTCTGCTGAACTTCGTGACGGTGGACCCAACCCCTCAACTCATGGGCCAGCCTGCCAAATTAACACCGTGCGTCTTTGCATTTTAGCATGAGGGGAAACATATGGACAGTAAGCTGTATATGAAATAAAGTTACTTACTCAATGCACTTGGTCCTGTTGACAGAAGGCTGGCAGGGCGGAGACGGTCTGACAAAGATGGGATCCTTTACCACCATCAGGGCTTTATCTTCAGATCTAAAACAGAATAAAAAGCACAGAGATGTGAAATAACCAAAGAGCCAAATCTTTGCACAGCCACTAAGATACTCAAAAATCTACGTCAACCTGCTACAAATATTGTGAATAAAGAGCAAGAACTAATACGGCTGCATGCAGTTCACTGCAGGCAAAGTATCCATGGTGGAATAAGTAACAGGGAACAAAGTGGCACCAAATTGGAATTCATCATGGCTTTAATGTGGTGATAATTACACTAGGAACTAATAAAAAACATTTTTTGGTTCTTTTTGCTCAACATGTGCAGAGGTGGCAGTGATCCAATCGCTGAATGCATGCATGAAGACATATACTTGCATCAAAGGGGCGAGTGCAGCGACGCATGCTGCTGTAAATCCTGCGCACACTTATCATAAACATGCTACAGAGTTGAGCATTGCCACCCAAATGGTCACATATAGTCTGACTCTGAACACAGACAGATGAAAACAATCAAACGTTACCACATTTAAGTTCAAATGATTAGCACCACACAGCACCTCCTGACTTTACTCTGCAGATTTTACTCCCTGACTCTGGTTAGAGAGTTACAGAGAGTGAATGTAACTCTTGAGGTGCCGATGTAGACTACCCAAAGAAAGTGCCCACCTGTGCGGGGCTTTGTTAAGAAAAATGCAAGTCAGCGACGTAATCCCTCCCCTGGGCCTCACCGATGTGAGCCAATTTGTTGACTATGCCTCATTTTCCCGTCTCTTAATGTCCTGGAAATGGTTCCATGAGACAACATGTCAGACCAAAGAGGCCTGATAGTAAGTTTAAAAGAGGGGCCCATTTTAACCTTCAAGCACATGAGCAGCTTCCTGTTCAGTGGGACCCTAAGATTAGATCGCATATCTCCCCAATCATTCTTCTCACTGCTGGGTTTGGTGCTGTCACCCCTTTTGCAAAGGCTAATGTGTTCCTTCCTGCCTGCGCTGTGTTTAATGCTGCTGAGAAACTTGATACTACACAAGAACAGTCTGCATTAATGTGACAAAGCCTAGGCAGAGATCTAACACACAACGCAGGATGCCTTGGAGACGTTAGATGTTTGACCACCTTGCAAAACATAATTTTCATGACATGGGGAGTCAGGTATGGTATCAAACAGGAATGTTATTCATGCAATTTACAAATGTAACTGCAGGATCTGGAGTGCATTTAGAAAAAACAAAGAATATATACATAAGCACATAGAAAAATAAACTATTAACCATATACAGCTTTCTGTCAAACAAGAACTGACCCCAATTTCTCACCTTGCAATTCAAAGCGCAACTACTAGACTACAGCAAGGACGCTGGAGGCATTCAAACGGCTGTTTGGACAAGGTAGGTGATCAGCTGCCACTTGTGTTTACATGGGCCTTAATGAGCTTCACCGGTTCAGACTGAGCACAGGTGCATCCTGGTCTACTTACATACTGGATAAACATGCTGTTGTGAAGGCAGTTAGGGGGTTTAGCTCATTACCTGTCGCCCATCTCAGACGGCCTGCTGCCAAGAGCGTCAGGACCCATCAGGCGTTCAATTTCTGCCTCTGGTGAGAAACCCAAGAGGTGTCTGCCACTGTGCTGCGTGGAAGCAACTTCGAGCGAAGAGCCCGGGCCACCCTGAAACAGACTGATGACAAAGAAAAAAGTCAGTTAAGAAAAACAAAAAACCCGCAGGTGAGGTAAAATCAGGACACTTGAGTTAGAAAAGAAATGTAAAAAAAAAACGAACTTGGTGCTGGACTGAAATGCATGTGACCCACATCCTGTGCACAGGGGGGATTTTTGTTTTTAGCCACGAGCAGAATCTGAACTCTGATCTCGACTGTACAACCCAAAGGGCGCATGCACACAAGCAAAAATACACACAGTTACTTTGAGTGGTATTACTACGCTGTGTGGCATTTTCATTTCAAAGGGATCTAACCTCAAAGCGGGCATTTTTTACATTCCAGAGGAGAGCCCAAACACAAAAAGCCACAGATGTGAGCACAGGTAGAGGCTCACACACACTTCAGATACTGTGAATGCAACCGCAAAAGCAAACTCATTCGCATGTTTCCATGTTTAACCTCTAGATAAAAAGGAAAGAAAAAAGTGGATTTTAGTAAAGAGAAGTTTCAGATCCAGAAAAGATATGCTTGGATCCTCGTGGAGAATGCAATTCCCAGTAGGAAATAAACATTTTTATAAAATGAGAACAGAAAATTTTTCAATACACTTGGAGGTGAACGGCGCTCTTGAGTTACACAACCCCTCCATCTGCTAGCTGAGAGGAATCAAGTCCCCCCCCTTGATGTAGTTTTATATAACTCATTACAATTTGTCCCAATTGTTAATATTACAAGCAGAGATAAGAAAAATGACCATGTGCAAATGCTTTTTGCATTTCTTTCTTATGTTTGAAGCCAGAATGATTTTATTTTACTTTCACAAGTGGTAACAGTTTACTTTTGCCCCAGCCCATCGCAGTGTTTTGAGAGTTATTCATCCATTAGTCAAGAAGTCCTATAAACTCTGGCAGCAACATCAGAGGACTGAACTGTACACACAAGAACAATACGGCACATATGAACTATTAATCGCCACTTTCTTTTCCAAGCGATTGGCTTTGGTCAGGATAAAGGTGGGCTTTTATAGCATGTGCATTAATGGACTACATACTACTCAGTAATATGCTCTGGTGCTTGGCTCCAGAGCATAGTAGTAAAGTCTTACGGGGAAACCCCCAAAAGTATTACCATGCAAAGTCAATGACTTTTAATACACACAAATATTAGCTCAACCGATGATCACCTTTTACTTTTTGTTCAATATACTTGATAAAAGAGATTTTTCTTCGTTTTGAGGGAGTGGGGCGGTTAAAAAGTTGAAGACATCGTCTGAAAAGGAAAACGTTTTTTGCATAATATCTTACATGTAGGGCGTGCTTCCCACTGTGAGTCACGGGGCTTCCCATTTCTATTCAGTCAATAATCATGGCAGAAATATTCATGCAGCCTGACAATATCAGCGTCATCAGCACTCATTTGGTTTGAATTGAATTTCAGCCATCGATCACTGTATCAAATGACTTTTTATGGCAAGTGAAAGCATTCATCTGTTCAGTGTCCCACGCTCACCTCATTGGTGCAACATTAAGAACGAGGAACACCACGACCACCATGAGGCACACCGCTCTCCTTTTGGGTGCTGTTGCTTTCAGCGCTGTGTTCTGCAGAGAAAGCGAGGAAACCCATTGTAGTAAAAACGACTTCCAACACGTGCACATGTGCTTGTATTGTGAGGGAAGCGCTGGTCGTATCTCACCTTGCTCAGAAGCCCCTCCAGCTGTTTCTTTAGGTTGCCGTTCTCACTCTTGAGCACCTCGTTCTCAGACAGCGCCACCTTCAGGCGAGCTTCCAGCGAAAGCAAATACTCTTTCTTCTTTTTCCGAGACAGGGATGCTGACTCGCGGTTTTTTATCATGCGCTGCTGTCTCTGGGACAACTTGGACTACAGTGGGAATGTGAGAAAAAACAGAAACAAGGACATCATTTATTATTGAAGTTACGCCAATATTTTATCCTTCCTCGACTCCAAACAGGAAAGAGAAGCAGTTACTTCCTAAGCCACCCGTTGGACTGCAGACCACAGGTTCTTCTGACTTAAATAAAAAGTCTTTTGAATCACATGAGCAGTTGTTTTTAGTAAAATGATCCAAAAGTGTCTTGGGAATGAGGAGAAAACTAGAAACATCTCGTGCTTCCAAAAAGTTAGGTTACGGCTGTCTCATCCAACATGCATTACGGACATCATAAATACAGCATCAGAGGAGATTCACTCAATCACTACATCTCTACTGAGTCACCACTGGTACAGAACTTACTTTCTGTTCCAGAGTGATCGTGCTGAATACCGCTGGCAAAACATTATTATTTCCCAGAGTAGTTGATCTTTAATCTTTCGAGTGTATTTTTTTGATAATTATGGGAAATAAGCGTGTGAACGTGTGCTTTGTGATTTCACAGTGACGTCGACCATCAAGTCCAGACAAGAACCGAGGATGGGATTAACAAAAAAAAGAAACAAAAAAACCCACACAAAATAAAAACAAAACAAAAAAAAAACTGCCCATAAACATAATTACTCTGACCACAGCGTCTCTGGGAAACTAAACATCATTTTACAGTCAATTCTAAAGACGTATGTTATATTCATTTGTATTTACTGCCATTTCATTTCACATACATGTGCTCAGACATCTGCTCTGTCCATTTCTTGAACCAACACTCATTCATTAACACTTGGAACACATGAGGTATATTGAAAAATACTGAGGAAGGAGAGGTGGGAGAAGGCAGAGGTTTGAATTGCAGAGATTGGCATGAGAAAGAAGAAATCACAGGAAACGCAGAAAATAAATGGAAGCAGGAAAGATAAACCCAACATAAAAGCCGGTGCCGACTGTGTTATTCTCACCCAGAGACTCCCTCTGTTGCTGGTGCTCTAGTTTACCTCAGTGATAGAATAATAAACAGACACATTAAGGATGTATTGTAAGGTTAATGACAATTCTTCAGCAAATCCTGGCATTAACATCGCTCCAAAGAGCCCTTAAGTGTATGCTTTAAGTAAAATATTTACACCAGGATCCTCTAGGGGCATAAAAGGTCACCTGCAATGCTTCTATTCTATATGTGTGTTTAGAAAAGGAGTCACTCATTGATAAATGGGTTCACATCAGGCACATAAACACAGAAACAGTTTATATGTTAGTGGTCTAAATGTGGAAACATAAGAACGGCCACAGCCAGCATCTATTGTTTTAACTCTCAAGGTAAACTATAAATAAATAAATACAATTCTGGCATTTTTTCAGTTCAGATTTGTTTATCTGAGGCGTTTGTGTGAATCAAGACTTAAAAAATATCAACATAAACAAATTAATAAATAAATAAAGACACGCTCAAGTTATTAGATTCTTTCCACTTGACGTCAGTAAGATGAGGACTGAAATCAAACTCTCGCATGCTAACCCAAATAGTGCATATGTTAACATGACCTCTCTCAAATTAGCAGAACCAGTGGCACAGATTACCCAAACACCTTCATTGTCCACCCACTCCCCAGCTATCTCGCCGCCCCTCTTCTCCAAACACAAACGTCCTCCTAAGGGTAAGTCTCTAAGATCCAGGGTCTAATAGCCCCGCTGGTGATTAAGTTATTTGGATCCCTGTATTTGTGTTCTGTCTCCTGAGAAACTCTTCTGTCTCCCAGCCGAGGTCTGGGAGCCGTGCCACTAGCCCGAGCCTGGGAACACTGCAAGTAAGCAGTTACCAGGGAGTGAAGAGCACGGGGAACTTCACGTCGCGTCCACAATGAGGCTGGGGAGGAAGATGTGGGGCAAGGGGCAAAAAAAAGGGGGCTGAGTGGCATTTCTCAAGAAGCTTGGCTGGTTGAGAGGCTAACAGTGATACTTGTTCACACTCAAACTATTTGAATGCCAGTGGGAAATGCAAACAAGCGGGGAAAATGCCCATTAGCACAGCACAGCTCATACAGCAACAGCTGCAGACAGCTGTTGGTTTACTGATCAGCGCCGTGTGAATGCATCTAATTGCATGATCATCCCAACTCCTGGTCAACAGCACTTCAACAGATGAATATGGGTGAAGAGAGAAAAGCATACAGGAGTCTGATCGCCACAATGCAAGTGAGGAACCCCTCATTCAGTTCAACAGTTCAAGGATTATTCCAAAAGGAAGTTTGTGATTGACCATTAACCTATCCAGATGATAGTGGCTTCCTCTAACAGGTCAGGGTGTAAATGTTTCATGATTTTACTGTGAGTCATAAACCCTCATAACTGTGAAATGGTTTCCATAGGTGACATTTCAGTCGAGCGTGACGCAGACAGTCGCCGAGATCACAAGTCCCCCAACAGTCGAAAGGATGCGCACAATACAGACAAAGAGAACATCTTTGCTAATGCAGGAGGAAGCCGAGAGAGAGAGGTGATGAGTTACAGATCTGTCGTAGCCAATGTGGTTGCAATATGTTGAGCAAAGAGCAAGCAGAATGATGAACCTACTTCAGCCATAAAGTTTGCTAATAGGATGCGAGTGGATCATTATTATGTTGTGTATTTTCTAATGTGATTTTTGTTTATTTCGTTTTGACTTCTTTAAGTCTATTAATTCAGTTTAGTTTGAGTTCGTTTCCAGAGTGTGTTTGGTTGTTTCAGTTGATTTTTTGTTGTTTAAAAATGTTTAGCTTTAATTTAGTTAGTAATGATTATTGTATGGAGGGCATGAGCCAGAGGCAAGATTTAGGAAAATTAGTAGAGGCAGTAGAACTTTTGGAAATCAGTTGACTCTCAATGAACACATCAATTTTAGTTTAGTTACTATAATAACCCTGGATCAGAGTTCTGGCAGTTTAAGGACAAAATTTTGGAATTATATATAAACAGTGAGCGATTAACCGTGCTGTGCTTCTGAAAAAAATATAACAGCTACTACTATTTTTCCCCATCAGCAGTATGCAGTGTGAAGTGCACAGTGCTTGTACGGTGAGACTACAAAAAGGGGTCTTAAGTTAAGTGTTCATGTGTTATTCACTCACTGCCTACTTTCTTCAACTGCTAATGGCAAAGAAAGGTGATTTAAGTGACTTCTGAGTATTTCACAAACTGCTGACCTACTGGGATTTTCCCACACAACCATTTCTAGAGTTTTTAGAGATTGGTCCAAAAAACAGTGAGTGCCAGTTCTCTGGGTGGAAATGCCCTGTTAATGCCAGAGGCCAGAGGCACACTGTGGGCCTGTTAGTACCAAGTGTGAATGCCAAAGCCTACCACACTATTGTTACTGAACATGTCCATTCCTTTTTTACCACAGTGTATGCATCTTACAGTGGCTGCTTCCAACAGAATTAGGTACAAGGCTCTTCAAAATGACAATGAGCTCAGTTTACTCAAAAAGCCTCCACGGTCACCAGATCTCAATCTAACGGATTAAGTCTGAGACGTAAAGTTTTGGAACAAGAGATTTGCAACATTGAAGTGCAGCCAGCAAATCTGCAGCAACTGTGTGATGTTGCTGCAAAACCTCAGAGGAATAGGTCCAAGCACCTTGTTGAATCCATGTCATGAAGAATTAAGGCCATTCTGAAGGAAAAAGGGGTCCAAGTACTAGAAAGGTATACCTAAAAAAAGTGGCCAGCGAGTGGATTCAATGTTTTTAATCAAGCTCAGTCTCAGCTGTCCAGCTTTAGAAATATTTCTGATGAAAAGAAGTTAAACATGCCTAAATATCTGAGTTAGCTGTACGCAGGGACCACCAGGCCTTCCTGGGGCCCACCCCTGTAAATCCTTCCATCCTACTAATGGGAACCTTTGTTGAGGCCTGCAATTTCAGACGGGATTGGTTTCCCTTGCATGCATGCACATGCACACAAACACACACTCACATACATCTAAATCCCTTGCCATTTGGGAGCCCATTACACTACACTGACCCAATCCCTGATGGCTATTTACAGCTGTCGCACTGCACAACACCTGTCTGAAGCATGTAATCCTTTGCAGCCGTTTAACATCCAGGCTTACGCAGGCCAAAATACAGTACTGTGGAGACCAGAATCAGCGACACACACACAGACTTACTGTAGATACAACATGCAGCAACACCTGGCACAAGCATGCCATCTTTAACAGGCATTTTACACATCCACAAGCCTATCAAGTCCACCACTCTGCTGCAGCCAAACCACAATGAGTGAACGCAGCTGCAGTGCTCTCTCACAAAGAGTCGAGCCTCTTACATTCTCCTTGTTGTGCCACAGAAACAACCAACTCCATTGAAATTGCTCTAAATATAAAAACATTCCATCCTTAACAAAAATGTGTAAAAACTGCCCCAGTTGTCCTTTAAAAGGCTCTTCAGATGAGCTTTTTAAATTTCCACTACCTTTTTCTCTTGGTAAATAAGGTGAACTTCAAAACTTTGGATCTCTTTGTCCTGCTAACAATTAAATGTTTACAGACCCTTTCTTTTAATCACCTATTATAAACTTTATTGACTTGGTTGGCTTTACAAATGGCTGAGAGGAGTATTTGTTTTGGCCTCTGAGGTTTGGAATTCCTCGACATTTCTCTCGATGTCTGGCGCAAAAAGTGCTTCTCTCGACTGAATTATGCCCGCGATAATTGGACAAGTTCCTCTACGCCCTTTTAGGGGTGGGCGGCTTTTACAGCTAGAGGTCAACCATTACATTTTATTTAAAAAAAAAAAACACAACAAACCCAGACGCTTTTCAGAATCTTTTTTCTTTTTTTTTTTTAATTACCCGATTAACCAAGTTAATATTAATTAAGATGATGCGAACTGTTTTTCCATGTTCACATATATCACTGCCCCATGAGATAATAACAGCAGAAATCTGGATACATTTTCCCACTGTCACCACAGAAATCACTACACATGGTTTTAGAGACATTCCACAAATGTGACACATGGTTTTCCATAATTAACAAAGGTTCAAAATGTGTTAACTTTTCATTTTTGCAACTTTGCTGTTCAGCCTAATGCTAAGGAGACATGCTGGGAATGTGGAAGTCCTGCTAACAAAACAAACAAGTCCAAAAGAGCAGACAGAGTGAGAACATGTTTCTCAACCCAATAAAGGTCAGATGAGAACAAGACATGAGTAACTGCTGTGCTGGAGACCGAAGCCCGAAACAACAGCGAATTTGCTAAAAGTCCCAGCGAGTCGCTAGCCTCAGGTCTTTAAAAGATCACGACAAACACGCCCACACAAAATAAGACAAGCACTTGTAAAAGTTGGTGACCCTTTATGAAGAGACCAAGAAAATGTGCCATAAACAATAAAAAATACTACAAGTTTACTTTATGTCTTTTAAATTGCTGGGGCAGTCTCTGCTGCAGTTAACGGGGCCGTGGTTGCATGTATACGCTGTCGTAAAAATCAACCAGGGAGAAACGAATGCGTGTGGGGAAAGCGCAGCTGTCATGGCATCACCCCTGAACGCATCACACGAAAGAATACACCCTCTGCCATTAATACTGAAAGCAATGTCCCGTCCTTTTCAAACTAATCTGTTCTACTGTAGCAAATTTAAAATAAAACACTCATCATCTATTTGCATTTTTACATGTTTGTGTCGTCTCAGTGCTCTGCAGCATTCCTTAAGATTTATCTCTGATTACAAAGTGAAAATCATTCCTTTCAGATCATTACGTGGTCTCAAGCCACGGTTCTCAAAGTGTGGTCTGTGGTCACAAATGGTGGCCGTTGTTAACATTTTATTCGGCCCCTGCGCACAACAAAGAAAGAATGTGATTCTCTACGTTTCATACTATGTATAATGGTGCAAAATGAGACAAAAGGAACAGTTTTCTTCTGTTTTAACTTCTTATGGGTGGCTGTGGTTTGGGAGATAGAGTAGGTGGTCTCCTAATGGGAAGGTTGGTGGTTCGTTGCCCAAGCGTACTTTGGTATGATCTGCATGCCAAGAAATCCTGGGGCAAGATACTGAACCCTGAGTTGCTCCCGATGCATTCACCAGAGTGTAGGTGTATGCGATCATTAGAGAGAAAGCACTAGTCTAGAGGCAAGGCACAGAAAAAGGTGCTTGTGCAAATGCATTTTCTATAAAGCACTTCGAATGCTCATGTAGAGTAGAAAGAAGCTGCATAAGAACAAGTTCATGTAACTTTCAGTTCTGCTCTAGCCACCATAAGTCTTAAGAAACAGAGTTGGTTTCAAGAAATGCCATCAGTGGTTTAAAAAACCCGCAAAACAAAACAAAACCCTCCAAAACTCGCACAAAAATGACAACCACCAAGACAAACCACCCTCTGAGCAGTGACATTGCAAAGTAAGTGTTTCACGTGTGGATTTCTATAGCCCTCCATCATAAACTGGCTCCCTACACTGGCACTTTGAGTGCCCCTGGTATAAAGTAAATGAACGTGCCTGGTACTCACTCTCTATGCAAAAAAAAGCAGCAATTTGTGTCTTCAGTGACTGGCATGGTCCATGCAGAGTAATAACTTTTCTCTCAGTGTGGAAAAATGGATTCATTATTATAAATAACAGCTATAAATGCTTTTTCATTTCCACCATTTTAGCCAAAAATCAAAGTTAATGGTTTGTGAGATTAAAATTAATACAAAAAAAAAAAAGTTTTAAATGGGGGAGTTTGGGTTGGACAGGATCCAGTTCAAGCGTAAACACCCGGAGCACAGCATCACAAAGTGAGCAACTGCACGCACACTCACGATGCAAAACAATGCTGCTCCACGCAAGCGCACACAGGCAAGTACTTGCATGTCGATACACACACGCGCACACAAACACAGGTGTTGAAGGCACCATTTATTCCTGTGAATAACTTGGGCACATTGCTAGTTAGGTAGCAAATTAAAGACTACGACCATCACAGCGTTTCGTGAGCTTAAAAATCCTACCTATCCTTAAGATACTCCTCCACTGTCGTTGAAATACTCATTAAAGGCCTGCATGCTTCTAAAACACACAGGGTAAAAATAAAAATGTTTTACAAGCATGTAATTTATTTATTTATTTTGGTAAACTTGCTCTGAACGATAATCAGATATATTACTCCGGTGCTTTCTTTTAATTTTATATTTACTTTTAACTCCAACTCTGTATAGTTTGTAAAGCACTTTGTAACCTGTCTATGAAAAGTGGAACAAATAAGAATTATATTACTTATATCACCACATGTGCTTGCATTTAATGCACCTGATTTTAGAGTAAACACCCAACAAATCCCCACAAAAACAAGTTAACAGTCAGCATACAGAGAAAGATGAATAATCATGACACACAAAATAAGAAAGAATTTTTTTTCCCTGTATATTTTATGGATAAGAGCTTTTAAACCAGAAGTGGTAACATCTCAGTGTCGGGTGATTATATAGAAACTCTCATAAAAGAAGATTCTTAGAGAATGCTCGGAACTCACATCATCCTCTGAGGATGGGGTCAAAAGTGTGCCCGAAACCACTGGTGGAGCAGCGACGGGTACAGACCAGTCCTGGCTGAGTGCTGGCATAGTGACCACGCTCCCAGAGATGGCCTGTGGTGTTTGGATCTGCAGCAGCTGGCTTGGCTGAGACAGCAAAAGAGGGTGACCTGAGAGAGAGACACACAGGCTTTTTCAAATTAAAGGTCTTAACCACGCTAATCATATTTTTATTGTGTGATTAACATAAACTAATGAAGATTACTTTGCTTTCGCATTTATTTTTTCATCCAGCCTTCATCTTGTACAGTGACAATACACAAAAGAAAGATGAGCCCAATGTGCCCTGTAAAAATGATGCAGATGCAGGTTCCTCCAAACTCCTCCCTGCCTCTGGTGACCCACATACACCTCCTTCTCTTTAACAGGACTTTTTTGTTAAATTACAGATGGAGAAGATGTTTGCCATCTTGACCCATGGTCTTAAACTTGCACATTCCACCGTGATAGGTTTGTGATGTTTATCAGCTTAAACAGACATAAATGTGCACGTGTCCCCACACTTGAAGTACAACATAGCTCAAATGAAATAAACAAGGAAAACATAATGCAAGACTGTCACTATAAATTAAGGTCTTACTAATGCAGAAGCCTCCCAGAGCGGTGTGCCAGGAACCACTCATCAAGCTGACCCTGCCACCTTCCCCTTTAATGCTAAACCTGTCAATGCTAATTGTGCAAGCGTTTGCCAGTTCTGCTAATGAATGTGTGCAGTGCCAACACCAAGTCCTGCGCCCAAGTTCACCATGTGTAAGAAGTCATAGGCCTAAAAAAAAACGTCAAACGTTTGGTTCAGCATGTTTGTTTGTTGGAAAATAATCAATAAACAGTTTCATTTCCTTTCTTTTCTTTTTCAAATCGTCCCGTTGCTGAGGAGGTTTACTCCTCAGCTGTGAATGTTGATGAGCTCATAAAACAATACCCTTCATAGCACTGAGCACGCTTGAATAAATTTCCATCTGGGGCTTTGCATTTGAATGTCTTGGCCTTAACCATCTGCCATCTTGGCCGTTACAAGGCAGACAGCGGAGCCAAGTTCAAATTCACTTCGAGAGAGGTCAGATGCTCCACCCATTTGGGACCCAAGCAATGACATAAGTATTTACATTGGCTTAGATGCTGCTGATGTAACAAACACAGAGGGCCTGACTGGTCACCCAGAAAGGCTAAACCAGAAAGAAACAACAGTAATAATGACTCTAATGCACGAAACACATAGCAGCCCATAAACAGTCTCACTTTTTGGTTAGAAAGCAAGTTTGTTCGGCTATTTATTAAAAAATAATGATTTAAAAAGAGCATATTTTTTTCAAATGTTAGGCAAATATGGACATATTTTGATTAAGATAATCTACTGTCTAATTTCATTCTTATGTATTGATCATCAAGCAAAATAGTGAGAAACAGCCTCACACAGAGCAAAAACTGTTGTTAAAGCACCACCTACTGGCAACAACAATTAAATTATTGCTTACAAAAGATTCAGTAGCACTGAAAACATAATCCTGAATATCATCTCTAAATTATGAGTTACAAAGTATTATGAGTAAGACATATCAAATTTCCAGTTAATATGACTAATGCATTGGTCTGATGCAATACAGTGCAGGGAGGGAGAAGCATGTTTTGATGTGTTGCAGTGTGAGCCCTGACCTGCAGGGGGTGCTGGTTTGATGTTGACTGGAGCTGGTTTTACCACAGGGAGCACAGTGGTCTGCAGGGGCTGGATGATGATTGTCTTGGCCTGCATGGGAGCTGCTGCTTGAGCCAATGGCACAGCTGTAATCAGTGGTTTGGGCTGGATGGAAACCTTTGGGCCAATCTGAATCGGCTTCTTGACCGGCTGCACTGGCTTGGCTGGTGTGCATGTGTGCATATGTCAAAGGACAGGGATGGAAGTAGTTAGACAAGGAAACGGTATTCATATAAATATCCTAAGCTCAGGAAAACAAATATGCATTTACAGTTATAAGTTATTCTTAAAGGACTTTTTTTTTTCAGGACTCGACATCCCAGAGTTTTGCAAACCCATACTGTGGTGCAAAAATAGCAAATCTTCCCTGTTTTAGTAATCAAATGTCTAAATATTGAGAAAAGCTGAATAGCTAGCAGACGTGTGGTGGCAGAAGCTGCCTCACCTCGTACAACCTGATTGGTCCTCTTTGCAGCTTTTCGAGGTGGGGAAGAGATTTCAGAAAAGCCACTGGACTCTGAGCAGACTGAAAGAGGAGACGGCTGCGATTGTGGAGACAGGGCCTCATCCTGAATGAAGAAACAAATGAGATTTAGATCGTGTATCTTCGAGGACATGATCAGTGTAGTCACATCACTGTTTAAATACGTTTCACCCGTGACACTATAAATTAATTTGTGAAGCCATTTGTACTCTATGTGTGCTCAGGGCACGCCAGATAAAAACAGATAGAGTGTCCTTATCAGTACTCAAAGACTCCAGCAGACAAATGTGTCCTTGGAGAAGTCAGGACGATTCCTTTAGCAGACAAATGCGTGCAGACTGTGTTGGGGCCAGAAAAAGATGTAACCCTTGTCCTTGTTTTGACACGCTGTGAAAACATCTGCCTGCTAAATTATGCTAATATGCTTGAAGCTGTCAGCACCTTTTTTTCTGTTTTTAACGAGACGTTGGAGCACATTTCAGATGGATGGCAAATTATTAATCTGACAAGGTGTTTAAGGCTTTTGGTAATAAGTGTCTCAAGTGTGTGCATGACCATCCAAAAGGAAAGAGCAGCTGTCATTGTTTGAACGCCATCTGGATGAAAATTTTTGTTGCTGCAACTGCTCAAAGGAGGGGCAAGCATGTAAATAATCACATTGTGAAACAAAGTGCAATTTGCATTGGAAATGCAATTCAAATGCAGAAAAACCAGGAAGGACAAAGAGTTGAAAACCGTGTCTTACCTGCAAGGAACACGGAGACAAAGCTTCCACTGAGGCAGGAGAGGGCACCGAGCTCAGAGTGTGGGCAGGTGACAGAGAGTCCACGCTCACCTCACCATCTGGATGCACAAGGACATGGAAGCAATGGGCAATATGTGCGAGTCTTATTCAGCATAAGCCAATGCGTCTCTCAAGTATTGAACCATTCAATACTTTTGTATTGTTGGACCATTAAACCTACTGCATGGTGGACAAGTTTGAAAAATAATGACGCACCAATGTTACATGCATGTAGTAAAACAGCTATATTATCCCTGAATAATATCCCTTTTAGATTTATTTATATAGTCCTTATTTTGTGCTGCAGTGTGACACCACGTACCTGTGGAAATGCTGCATGTATCCATTTCATTCCATGGAGGAATGTCGATGTCAAAGTCCAGAACTGGAACACCATTGGCCTGAGAAATCAAACATATGGTTTTGAAAAAAATGGACTTCCTGAGAAAGCAGAATGGAAGCAAATGCATGTAGGGAAATCCAATCAATGTGTCATTTATAGCTGATAAAATTAAACACGTTTGAATTCTGGGGCATTTATATGAGTCTACAGTATTTTTTTTGCATGCACGATGTAGGTGGAATTATTTTATTTTTTTTGGTGCATGATCTATCCTTGCATAACAAAATGTGGCTGTAGCCATCTTAGGCTCTACCTTCAGCACCACACAGTCAATTTTTTTCAGATTTCCACTGGGCTGATCTTTCACTTCCCCATGTATTTGCATATTAAGAGGATGAGTTACTCACATAGCCAGCATTATCAAGAGCCTCAAGCAGCTCATCTGCATCCCGCAGCTCATCGCCTAGTTTCTCCAGCTCATCGAACAGGCTTAAGTCTGTATGTCAATGAGAACAGAACACAGACAATTGCTTTCCATTAGAAATCTTTATCATGAGATTATTGAAGAACACAATTACAAAACAATTACAAAAAATATCTTCAAAATAAGTAAGTGCCACATTTGGCTTTTGCTTTTTTCTTGTGGTTAACTGCCAGTAAAAGAGACAAGCTGGTATGATCAAATTTATTGTATTTAGTTAGTTCTGCCATATTCAATAAATAGCCCATACAGGCAATGTGTAATTTGGAAATGCTATCAATACAGTTCAGACTGTGCCACAAAAACATGCATGCACAACACAGCATAACACAATAACAGACAAAACTACTAACACCAAAAAATGTACCCTTAAAAATGTATCTTTGTTTTTTGTCTTTTTCAAAGCATAAACTCTAACAGGCCAAACAAGTTTATTATGGTCACACTTTAACAAATCTGTTTCACTTTCATTTTTAACATCTTATTTGTTTCTTCTACATTTTCTTCCTCGGGTCATTACACAATTCAGCATAAAACACAAGTAAGTGCAAACAGCAAGTCTATTATTAGTAACCTAATAAAAAATAGCATTAATAATGATAATAATAGATAACAATAAATATATAAATTGTTAACAAGTTGTACTTTTCGAGACCTTGAAAGCGATTATTAAAATAAATCAGTAAAAATGAGAAAAAAAATCTACATTCTTCGTGTTTTTGTTTTTTTTAGGGTAAGTTGTGCACTTTATATATTATCAATATTTAGTATTACATATCTGTAATAATGATCAGACAATGCAGTGTGAAGTGTGCCCTGTCTCCAGTTACAGTGCTGGTTATAACTCCAATTACCTGCTGTTACATCATCACAGCATCGTGGCTAATGCTAAATGGCTAACTTAGACTTAGGAGTGTGGCAGCAAGCACAACACATAAACCTCCTACTTGAGTCTTTAAAACAACCGACTTATAAAAACTCCTCTTTTATACGTGTTGTCTCTGTTGATATCCTGGGTCAGCTACACTGCTTCTCTCTATGGGTCTTTCTAGAATATGTGAGCTCCGCTGTTGCTTACCCCACTCTCCCTCCTGATCGATGGAGATGATGCCTGCCTCACTATCCATCGCAGGGTATTGCCGATGATTTTCGAAGTCTAACGTTAAGTCGGATGACATCCTCTTTTGAATTCATTAGTATATTATCACACTGTAACAAAGCGCGATCATACCACTGTTGATCAAGCGGCTGTTTAGGGATGAACTTCCCGTTTAGATACACGTCTGACTTTACCGTCAGTCTACGGGTGCCGCCGAGGGACCCGTCGCGCAGCGAGCATGGGCGCGCAGCTGGGAATTTTATTGTAATAATTTATTTTATTGCTCTCTGATTCTCAAAACAGGAAAAAAGTAACAGATACACAGAACAGAAGACTGAGTTATAGCTATCTAAATGACAGTAAGCAAAATAAGAGATCTTAAAAGAATTACAAGTAAGACATGTATATATATAAATACACACACACATATATAGGAAGGAAAAATGAACAAAAACAACAACAAACAATGCGAGAGCGACAGTGACATTAAACAAAGACACTAAAAGTATTACAAATTGCAACCGTTTTAATGCTACTGGAAAATTTACATCGCAGCTTGTGGTTCCTAACTGCGCCACTAGGCAGCAGGATCGTACTGCAGGCTCCACGGTACGGCGTGAAATGTTTAGTGTTCAAACACTGATTTCTGTCGACACGGAGGAGCTGAGATGAGGCAGAAGTTGAGTAAGTCACTTATGTTAAGTTCTAAAGCAAACTAGTAATTTTAAAGACTGCACCTGCATTTCCGCACTTTTAAAAAAACCGAAAAAATCCTGTAGTGGCCGAATATGGTTAAATAAAGGTAATGTTTTGGCAAGGGGTCATAAGGGGTCATTTAAGAGACAAAAATATCTTGTTCATCAAAGTGTATATACAAAACGCAGTCTGCTTTGTGGTAGACACCAGTGTATTCTTCTCAGTAATTCGTCTTAGTTTAAAGTTCTTTACTTTAAGTTGACATCCACCGCCAGCTTTCTCGCTTTCCCCCCCCTTTTTTTGACAGAGAGGCAAGGCATTGGAACCTTTTGCCTCATGCACATGATGATGTTTCACCATGAGTCATTAAGGCCACATGCACATGGTAGTCACATGAGAGTTGTCAGAAACACAAAAAATAAGGTGAAAAGTGATATCTAATCAGACCAGATTTTCACTGATAGTTCCCATATGTTGGGTCTTATTGAAGCCAGAGTCAGTTTTGTGGGAGAGAAATTTAAAAAAAAAAACACACACACAAAGGTATTTTTCGAAGACAGATTCCTCAGTTTGGACTGGTCATTTTATCAGCTAGCTACTGATAGGGCAGTGTTCTTAAGACAACCAAACTTGGCTGTAATAATGGTCAGAGGAGGTGTGAATTGCATGGACAGAATCTATCCACTCTGTCCAATTCCTGGGGTTCTGTGCTGCTGTGCAGGTCCATTCTGATGTGAACTGTACTTGAGTGTCAGAGATTTCATCTTGGTGTGAAGCTTTTTTAAAAACACACATACACACCTTGACAGCTACACAACTCTTCACACAGATTATATCTGCTACAATAATAGCTGGACACGCATAGACTCTGCTAGATGTTAGAGTGCATTTTCAGTCCTAGTTCTGTAAGTGAAACTTTATTTTTAGAGGTGGACGTAAATCAGATCATATAAAATCATTCCAATTTTACAAGGGAAAAAAGCATGTTAAGACATTAAAAATGTGCTCTGCAAATATGGACAAGTTAAGGGTCATCAGTTCTGTAGCTAAACTCTAAGCAGTCCTGCATCAGAGATTTATGTATCGTTGAATAACGCGGGTAATTAATCAGCTCTTAAGAGTTATGTTTATAATTTGTGATTTTAAAATAACGCAGTCACTTTAAGTGACATTGTGCGCTAAAAATCAGCGGCAGGTGTACACTGGACTTAATCCTTCATGGGCATTTCAGGTCGTAGTGAGATTAACCTGAGGTGGTCTGGTTGATTCCCTGCTGGATTGGTTTGAAGCTTCTCTCAACAAGAAATAGCCACTGGTTTTAACCTAATACTTCAAGGTGGAGACTTACATTGAGGTCATCTACGTCTAAAAGTATATTGTGTTTACTTAGCAGGATATAGTTCTCTATGGTTCCAGTCTAGGGTTTTACCAATAACAGAACTCAAAATGCTAACTTTGTGGTGTCTTGATTATGGTAACAATGCAAGCATGTCTGTTTGGAGTCTGTGGACAGTTTGGGACTTCTAATATTGATCGTGAGAAAAGCCCCTGAGAGCCAGACACGAAGAGCAGATTAACAGGTTAACCTGATATGTTGGCTGAATGGTTTAACAGAACATTTGTGTAAAATGGATTAGAGGCTTTGGTCATATTGCTGCTGCTGTTGGTGTAAAAGCTGCTACAACACATCTCCTCCCTTTGTCTGAAATGCACCATTCATGCTGATGCTCTGCTAATTTTTTTTTAAAGTTTGAAACAGACTTAATACATTTTTTTTTTAAATATTCCTAGTAATTTTAAATGAACACCAGAGTAGAAATGATGATAATTAAGGGTGCCCTGTGTAAATTTGGGACAGGTAAAGCAGTTACATATATTTTATACAAATATGAACCGCTGATATAAACAGTGTATGTTGCCACTATAAATAACACACAGCAGAATAGGAACACTATGTTATTTGAATATTATGCCCACTTTAACACACTCACAACAAGCTTTTTTTGTTGTTAATTCTTCACAAAATCCCTTAGAATAAAACAATAACCCGTTATGAAACCAGTCTTTGTTACTTTACTATTAGCAGCCTGTGAAACACATACTTTGTTTCCATCTCTTGAGTTGAATTCATTAAAAAAAAAGCTAAAGACTGCACAACTTGACAGATATAAAATAGTACTTTTGCTCTATAAAAATAATTCCCACTGGCTATTAGAATTGCACAACGGGTTGTTATTGCAGCATGGTGTGCAATGTTTCCTTAAATCTGAGGAAAATGGACAAAGGAACAGTGGACCTAAAAAAAAAAAATCAGTACCAGAGAGATGCTAGCCATTCAGCTCATCCATGTACTGTTCACTGAAGGGTCACCATAAATGGTCTCAGTGGAGAAGTGGCTGTCATAAAGCCATTCTTAAGGAAGGGAAATGGGTAGAAAAGGCTGACGTATGCCAAAAAATTATTGAAGCAATGTAAGGTGACAAAAGTGAAACAAAAAACTGGAGAACTTTTCCTGAAGACTACTTAAAGAAATTACAAGAAAGCTTGCCTATGAGAGTTCAGGCCATGTGGAATAATAAAGGTGGTCATACCACATATTGACTTTCAGGCCTTTTAGAATTGCATAAACTCTGGTTTTGCCTTTATATACTTTATTTCAATTTATATTGAAACATATTTCAATAAATCATTTTAAGTGCTTCTAATTTCCCTAGCAACATAAAAGAAAACGAGGGTTAGCTTAGGATGTTTCACTGTACTGTAGATCAGTAAGTAGAAAAAAAGCCATTTTTTTAAGCAGAAAAGGTTTTCAGTCTGTGTTCTTGTCTCTCAGTTCATTTTCTTTTTTTTAAATGCAAGATAACAGTTTCCTCTCGTACTGCTTCCTCAAAACACTTTTGAAAACAGGGTTAAATAAACTCCATTTAGACCAATAACGGAAGATGTAGACCAGGGGTGTCAAACTCACATACACAATGGGCCAAAATTCAAAACTGGAACAAAGTCGCGGGCTAACGTTAATATTTATTGAAATATATTTATTCCTCCAGATATAAGAATGAATCTTTTCTTATGGACTCAAACACGTTTTGCTGAAAAACTGAATATAGAACAAGCAAAGCTTAATACTAAACAATACATATATTAGCTGTATAATACCAGTAGGCCAGCTCTAATAATAATTTGGTATGGCTTCGTGGGCCAAATGTAATTAGGCTGCGGGCCAAATTTGGCGAGAGTTTGACACCTATGATGTAGACGGTGCCCATGATTTCTCTAACAGGATTTTGCTCAGATGAGATGAGAAACAAGCAACAGAGCAAGACTCGAGTCAGATGACTTGATGACTGAAAAAGAAGAAAAAGTTGATTACAGCACGTTACTATACTCAATTTATTGGTTGTTTACAGTAATTTGTTACAGTTAATGCTTTGGTGGTTACATTCTGATGCTCTTGTTATTTGTCATGGTGGTTAAAGAGGTGAAACAACACACTATTGTTCACATGGACCTAAATGCTGTATAAGTAAATTTACATTTACTCATAAAAGGAGTATCTTGTTAGGAATGTATTGCTGAAACAAATAAACACATAAATAAAATAAAGACCACAGTGAGTGAACAAAGAGCCCCACGCTGGCCATGAGACGATGTAAACTTAATCAAGGAACCAAAAGTAGATGGTGTCATTTATTTGACAGCAGGCTTTAATTAGCATTTACCACAAAACAAATTCCTGTAAATGTGGCAGAGGCCTCATGCTTTGGTGAGTTAACAGCATGTTTCCAGTCAGGCTTTTCATGCCTAAAAGATAATTTTGCTGCCACTGAGTACATCTGTCACTTGATATTGAAATTGTGTCTACATATTTGATTGGGTTTTTGTGCAGTTGTAATTATGCACTGGTGTTTTATGAAAAGACAGCCATACTTTCCTCCTCTGTGGCCATGAGGAGAAGAACTTTACTTAGCAGTGAAAAGGAGCGAGAAAGTTGGGCTACAAGCCTCTTCTAAGCAAAGAGAAAAGCCCTTTTGCGAAAGGGACTTTGAGCTACATTTCATCTTTTGTCTGCCAGATTGATGAGCTATGAGATGGATGATGTTCTGTGGTGCTCTGTGGCATTGTCTTATCCCAACCCGCACAAAGAGGGAGAACACTTATCATCGCAGGCTTATGTAGGCTATTGAGCAGGGGGCAGGGGTTGTCAGAATGGTGAAGAGGGGTCCAGGAGGGTGGGGGTGGTGGAAGTCCCTCGGATAAAGCGTGATGGAGATGGGCTCATGGCTGCGGAGGCAGATGGAGAGAGTCATCTCCCATGACGACGCAGCTAGAACTTCCATCCCGAAGCCAGAGAAGGACACATGCAGAAAGGAACAGGGAAAATACAGGAAGCGGGCCAAAAGAATGGTGAAAGACTGAAAAAAATGAACGCACCTATAAGCTGGTGCTGTTTACATGAATGCATGCGAAGGGGTGATTAAAGGTGACTTAAACAGACGGTTTGGTTAAGGTTTCGGTTGGCCTCTTAGCTGCACTGTGACTTGTTAGCAGGTAGCCCAGGTTTGTCGAGCTTGGTTTAGGATTAGGCTTTAGGACAGTTTGGTGGGAATGGGGCTGTGAATACAAAGGGATTAGTGCAAAGGGTTGATTCGCTGAGTGGGCTTGAATGGGTGTGTGTGTGTGTGTGTGAGCAGGATGGGTGGGTGGGGAATGAGATCTGAAGTTGATGGATGGATTAGATGATCCCCAAAATAAAACATTAGGCAATTAAATGAATAAATAAATAAAATATGATGGATTAAAAAAAGGTTTTAAACTATACATGTGGATTTGAGCAGATTTTTATAATGTGAATTTATTTTTTAATAAAGCATAAAAACCAGTAGGAACATATGTTTTTAGAATTTCAAAATTTTCATTAAAGAAAAAAATACACACATAAACACACAGACTCTTATATCTATCTATCTATCTATCTATCTATCTATCTATCTATCTATCTATCTATATATATATAAATATAAATATATATATGTGTGTGTATATGTAATTCCCACGTCCCCCCTTTTTGAGCCAGAGTGCAAAAAAAGCCCTACAAAATCATTTCAATGCCTTGAACCATGTGCCACCATTAGGAACACACAAAGAGAGAGCTGACAAATGACCATTTTAATGCCTCTGTTTGACTTTAATGAATTTATATGTTATCTGGCCCTAATGGAAGGCTTCGCTGAGGGGCTGGCGCAAGGCCATAACAAATGAAAAGCTCTGATTAGTGTAGAATGAGCTGAGAAAAAAATCCCATTCATCTTGGTTAGCATCCTCCTGTGCTCTTTTATGGGTCGCTGTTACAAGGACGGGAGTGCCGGGGTGCCTGTCCTATTAGCGGGGCAGCCCAAAGGCCCGCTGAGTGGTCAGCGGCCGGGCGTTGACGGAGCGTCTGCCCGCTCTGCAGTTCAAGACTGTGAATGCCTCAGTGCGGCTTGACTCCTAAATAACCTTCTGAGGTACCGGGAGCTTCACCCCTACATGACCCCGCACTGTGAACAGGGGTGTGTGTGGGGGGGCTCCGGGGGGGTACCCAGACCAGGACTCACACTAACAATTAGGTAAACACTGGAGAGATCCCTTCACAGGAAGACGGCAGGAGATTAAAAAGAGTGTTTTGCATTTGGAATTGTTATAGGCTGTAGTCACAGATTTAATAGGCTTTAAGCAAAGCCAAATGAGATATTTAATTGGAGTTAATAACCTACCAAATACAGATTAAACCGGATAATTTAGGAGCTGGAAGCAGGTGTTTGTTTTTGGAGTTGTGTGTAGGCTGCAAATAATAAAGCTTTTTTTTTTTTTTAAATCGCATGATTTTATGAGAAGAAGGTAAAGAATCTGTGTCAGATAAGTACAGACCTACAGACTCTAAAGTCAGTGGAGCAATTATTTTAAAATATAAGGATAACGTTACCTATTGTATTTAAACTGGTTGTCATGCCCAAACATATCGCCTGTCATCAATAAATCCAGCTTGCATTCCCTTCCTAGACCGACTAGATTTATTTTCATTGGCCTATTAAAGATTGATCTGATTACGCTGCCTATAAATAGGAAGAAGACAACGTGTAGGCTGTAAAACACCTTATTTCTTTCTTTCTGTCGCCAAAGTAACATTTTACTGTGAAAATATTGCAACACAGTGTCGCTGCAGGAGAGATGTTTCGTCATGATCGTGTTGGAGCTTGATATCGACCACTGTTGTCATTGGGAGAAGCTCTGTTTTTGCCGCCCCCTCCCTCGCTGGGCCCCTGTGTAGAGCCGCCTTGCAGAGAGAGTTCAGTCGGGCTGGGAGAGGAATGTGCTGGGATGCGGAGCAGCACCGACTGTAGGAAATCGACGCAACAACTCGCGCAGTATGGACAGCAATGATCCATATCTACACCTCAGTGAGTACTCTTGAGTATTTTAGCCCGGGTCCGATCTTGCTGCGGTGCTCCCCGCGAAGCCGCTGCATTTTGTTGTGACTTCAGCGGCGAGCGCGTTTGTTTTATGGCGTCTTCTCTCTCCAGTCAGCAAGCGGTGCGCGAAAGTGCTCTCGGACTTTAACCACGAACTGCTGTGTGTGGATCCTGTTGTTACGCTTAAATAATCGCGTTAGAACAGCGCGAATTGAAACGAAAGATGCGGTCACTGCAAAAGTCAGGTGATCATGGCTGTGCCGGTCGGGCAAGGTCAGAGGTTGGCACTTTAATTGCGCTTATGTAATTTATGGTGCTTGTCGCGCGTCTCTTGCTAAACAGTTTGAGACAGAAACACAATTTATTGGTCTGGGTAGGTCGTCAGATCCAGAGAGGGGAAAAGCGTTCAACTGCGCAGAGGAATGGCGGATTTCCACTGATAAACAAACTTATAGGCTCCCTCTTTGTGGTAGAAAGGAGTGCAGCGTGCTAGACGCGCCCTGGTCACCGCCGTGGCCATATTCAACTGAATGACAGCGTGATGTGATTTTGCTCAGTAAAGCTGAAGTCTGATCTGACTCGGTGACTTTGCCCTTGAACCAGTGGATTGGATTTGTTCTGTTATCCTTCTTGTGGCCGCTTAAAATCATCTGAGACAAGGAAATAGGACGTCTTGGAGCAACACGTGGGACACACTACTTACAGAAATATCCTGTGCCATTTAAGTGTTTAGTTGAAACCAAATGTGGTCTAATAGGCTTGCACATATAGTCTCATTAAGTCACACACACTTATCCTTAAAATCTAATAGCAGGCTAACTCTTTGAAGGCAAAACTGTACCGCCTGTTTATGCTATCACAGATATCTTTGCACCATTTGGAGGGGCTGAGTATTGTTTCCATAATGAATGTGGCTCCCAGGGGAATGACATGACATCTGGATAGGAGAGTGTGTTGAGAGAAACCCACAGTGTACAGAAGTAATGGAGCAGTCCCTCAGGGCTAAACTCTTTCTTCTTTCTCTTTAAAGATCTGTTATGATTGGGCAGTAATGGCATCCTAAGATTTAGCTATTAATAGATATTAGCCAATCGTGTTTCTGCATTGAAGTTCCACGGTGCGATTTAAACACTGTTCTTTTCCAAAACTGCATTGGTCTTTGTTTAAACAGAGAGTCTGTTCTCCACAGTAATGCTGCTGTAGCATTACTCACTACCCGCAAAGGCTAGAGGTCTGTCTTAAACGCGAAATAGTCATAATTTTTGGTATGAAAAAATGTATTATGAATAAATCTTAAAGTAGTTCTCATAAACCAGGATTAGCTGAATCCTCCTCTTCTGGTGCATTCGCTTTTGAATGTTGGTAGTAAAGCCGCAGAGCTAAATGAAAACCACAACCACTGAAAGTCATTCCAACTCTTGTTTTGTCTATGTGTTGGCTCACAGCTATGATTTAGGATGCACCAAAGCACGTACGAAAACAGAGCCATAAACAGTACTTGTATTCTGACTTGAAAATGGTCACCCTTTGTAATCTGTCAGGAGCGTGAAGCTGAGGCGAAGCAGTGTGGAGTCAAAAAAAACACTCTGGTGATTATGTGCAGATTGCTTCATGATCCACCTCTTCCTCCTCTTGGCTTTTCCCAGACTTGTTATGTTTCAGCAGGTTTGATGCAGGCCTGCTCGGAGCTTAAAGTAGAATCAGCATTTTTTTTCTCTCTCAGCACTTCAGCATTTTTTTATTTTCCATCAGTGGAAGTGATTCTAGACAAGCTGATGAGCGCGTATTTTGGGAAATTTGACGGTGAGAACTTATTTGGCTCACACAACAGGGAGGTCATGACAGAAAGAAGAACTGGATTGAAACCAGGGTGAGGGGATGGATGGGGGTGAGGGGGGTGGTTTGAAAACTCATCACTTCCTAGGGATCAACAGTTGACCTCCCAGTGCACGCACAGACAGAAGCAGGAGGACATTCACACACCCATGCCTATTCTTCACAGCTGCGCAGTAGCTTGTATGAGTAACTCCTTTACAACAGACTGTGACCGTGATGGCACGTGACTTAAAGAATGTGAGTTTTACCTTTTGACTGTCAAGTCCCCGCAGTAATAAAACCTCCTCCCCTCCCACTGCTGCAGAATTAAATACACCACACAGGTAGAGAAGGTGTGGCTCTTTGCAGGTATTTGCTCAAGGATCCCATAGCTTGAGACATGCAGTACCCCTGTGTTCACACATTCATTAGCACACAATACCTACAAAAGGTTTATTTTCAGGCACTTTTTAAGTGCGCGTGTGCGTATTTGTGTTTCCGCGTAAAATAGTCAGCTTGCCTTGATTGTGTGTTTGAGTGGGTGCCAATTGTGAGAGCAGGATGAGGGAAAAGAGGGGGCAAAAAGAGGCCATTCTCTGGGCTAATTGCCAGTAATTAGTCATTAGTGAAGAAGGTCAAATCCCTGATTTAATTCCAGCTTTAATCAAGCAGAGAACCTTCAAAGGCTCACGTGCTAAAGCAATGTTTAGTTATGAGATGCATTGAGCTATTTCTGATTTCAACAACCTATCTAATTTGAGTTTTTAATTTGTTCACTGCTTGGAAGGCATCTTAACATCTGGCTCCTTTTTCCATCTGATATTCAATAAATTGTCATTTCCTGCAACAGCACTTCTCAGTGTGTGCAAGCTTTAAGTTGCACCTGCGCACACAGAACTAAAGCTGTTGATGCATCTGCAATATTATTCCTAGAGGGAACATTACTTGATTACTTAATTGATAGAAAACTGTTTGCCAGCAGTGCTACTATTAGTTTGAGAAATGCAGAGTGGTTCACTCTTACTGCTCTGCTAAAAAGGCTGGAGTGCAGTGAATAATAGTAATAAATATATGGAATCAAATAAGAATTAGAAAATAGTCACACAGGAAAATATTTGAGGATTCAGTTGTGAAAATGCAGTAATCTGCTTGTGGATTTGTGCAGTTTTTTTTTTCAATTTAATTTAAAAAATGCTAAATGTGTGTTAAAATCTTCCACTGGAAATAGGCCAAACATTCCCTAGTTTACTACGTGCATGATGTGAATTATTTCTTTGTTTTGTCTTTCTTTGTCATTCATAATTGCAGTTAAGTATTTACTGGTATTTGCACAAAACAGGCAGTTAGAAGCCATAACCTTGAGTTCTAGGCACATTTTTAGACAGAGTTGTAAACTGACTCTGTAGGCAAAGGTGCTGGAAGTTTCTTAGCTTTACATTTGTAGCCCCAAGTTCTTCTCACCAATCACGTTCAGGCAACTTTGTTTGCATTTCAATAACTTTTAAACATTTTCTTCAGTTGTGTGCATACAATCACCTGTGAAATGAACAGGAAGGTTTGACCCGGATTTCCAGTATCCGCTGTTTGGATATCCTCGCCACACAGGAAGCTGCGAAAATTGGCCGTTGGCTTTGCAGGCCAAGTCGGCAGACTAGCTGATGTGTTCCCATGTTGACAGAATAATGTATGTGGAGTCGGTTCCAAAACAAGCACAGGCTTTGAAAGTTTAAGCACTGTGGAACTCATTTATACTATTATAGGAGTGTGATTAATGAGCCCAAGTTCATAACTCAATAGATGCTAGTTTGACTGACCAGCCAAAATATTTCTCATGGTGCTTTTTTGTCCTGTGGGTGCACAAATAGCAGCAACAGGTAGCAGCTAAGAACATTAGATCTCATTAAACCTCTCCATGAAGAACATGCTGGAAACCTCGCTTGGTTATTTTTAATGCTTTGAGAGTGCCATTTTAGTGTGCTGCTCCTGTCTCACTTCTACAGAGCATCAACATGTAGCAGAAGCACACATTAATGTAGCATAATTTCCCTTCTCTTTTCTGCTTTTCCACTGTATTTTCCTATAAATGTCTACACAGCTGAATATGCCACATGATTATGTCCTCAGTGCTGTCAGAAATCACTACCGGCAGGGAGAGCAGGCCATAAGGAAACCTTTCTCCTGAGGGGACAGTACGCTGATTACATTATTAGAAGTTTAGATTTAAGAATGTAGCCTAAATTTAGGGCTGCCAATTATCTTCTTCCCGCGCCTTAACAAACCATAATACATCTGTGATTACTAATTATGGCTCTCGGGGTTAATTTCATGTATTTTATGTGGGCCATGACACACTAATATAACACAGCGTGCTTTTCAGAAGGATTGCATTATTTTAATTTCTCCCTCTGGGATTTCTTAAAGAGACGCTAGCGTTTCTCCTCTTCCGTCATGCTCTCCTCTTATGTGTCGGGCCGCTGAGTCACGGGAGGAGGACAAAGCCAAACGAGTGTCACTGAGAGTATATGGTTACTAGTGGTTCTCCTTTAAACACTGTGTAGTCGATCCAATCACTTGCTGGGTAGTCTGCGCAAGAAGGCTCTGAGTTGCGTAAGGCAAATGGATGGACACAAGAAATGGGAAGTTTCTGGTGCCATATCTCAGTTTGAATATCTGAAGAAGGATAAATTAGAAGGAACACTTTAACATTTACGGGTTGGTCTATTTTGTGGTGATAATAACATGTTGCCTTGCCTCTGTCATGCATATTTTTAAGTCTAAAAATTATTACCTGATTTAAAAGCCTGCTATAGTAGACGCAGTCTTCCACCAAGGGTTACTTTTGCAGATCAAATCCATCTCTGCACGGTTTATTTAGCTTCCCTCAGGATTTCTCATGTATTGTTCCTCGCTGCCTTTAAGTTATATTTTTGGCCTGTGTGTGCATCTGGATTTTCACTTTGCCCTGTGTTTTCCTGGCTATCCTAGAGCACCTAAAAAAGACAATTCCTCACTTCCTGGAATGCTATCACACTTGTTAAACACACGAACATATTCACAGAGGCGACTCAACTGAACATGCTGCTAACAATACCTTTAAGCTTGTATGCTGGCACAGTTATTTCACAGCGTGATATGGTGTGAAGTTATTTTTGGCAAGACAAAATAGAACTTCAACCTCTGACCACTTCTTGTCACCCACTCAACACATGTCATTTATAAAACCTGCAAAGCAGAAAGAGAATTTGTGATAAATGCTTAAAAAAAACAAGGAGAACGTAGTGAAGAAATGTCACTGACATATAATAACCTTTGGACTGTATTAGTGTCTTCATACTGTCTTCCCTTGCTCTTTAGCCCTGAACCCTTTTTAGAGGAAGTAATTGGAAACGTCTGGTTGTACTGTACTTTTAGACAACCCCTTCCACCATGACCTTCCCCAACCGCGCCCCCCTCTGGCCAGACCTCCTGGTTGTACCACTACAACAGGTGTTTCTGTATAGATAGAGGGGGAGATAAAGAGAGAGGAGAAACATGAGTTGAGTGGGCGGTAGAGGAGCTGATTTGTGCTGCAGTCGGGCAGCAAACAGTTCCTGTGGGATTGATCTCTGGGGAAGGATAATCTGGGTAATCCTATAACCGGCGCTGTTGGACTCCGCCTCTTTTGCTCTTCACGGAGGCCCCCCCCATCCCTCCCTCTACACGCCGACCCTTCCGTCCCGTTCTTCTCTGAAAAGTGCTCGATTGAGCATCCACCAAGCCAGCACTTTGAGTCTGACACCTGGTCCTGAGCGACTCGTGTTCTTCCAGCGCTACCATTAGGGCCTGAAGACATGTGGCATCCAGTGGCATCACCTGGAAGTGGGGGCAGCCCTGGAACGGAAATAGGTTATGGTCACTGTGAGTAGCTGGGTTTTGTTTTTAGTGTGTGTGTGTGTGTGTGTGTGTGTGTGTGGAATCATTCCGATGCAACGCGTCTCTTCTGTGGGTTTCAACAGAAGTGAAGCTTGAGCACGAAAAGCTAGTGGTGCACAGATGCATTTGAGTAATGCCTCTAATCCCTGTGCACTCTTTGATGAAGTTATTTTGAATTTCTTTCTTCCGGGGAGAAACCAACAACTCTCATGGCAATTGCATCTGCAGATCGTTAAACCCGTTTTTTTTTCCTTTTATATATTCTTCTCTCACCCATGTTGTATATATCCCTCGCTAAAAAATAACGAAACATTTAATTATTTTTTTTAAACAAGGAACTGCATCTTTAAATCTATTTCCAGGATATTCTCTGCTAACAGATTAGTTCCTGTTTTTATCATCACTGGGTCATTTTAACAAGTTGTGGCAGGTACAAGGTTTTCCAGTTGGAGATCGGGATCTAGAACTAGTGACTCACTTGAATTCTCAGATGAGTTCAGCGGGGTTGTCACTCAGTTTAAAAGGATGCTTCCAGCTCTCTTTGCCTTGTCCTTCACTGTCTCTTTATCTCTCAACACTTGTCCCTTCCTGTTAGCCCTCTTCATCACGCTTTCTTTCTCCATTTGTGTCACACTGCCTGTCACCTTTCCATCAACAGCCTCAGTGATGTGTTTGTTTCCTTTTTTCTTCTGTCTATCCTTCCTGAAGAGGTGTGGAAAGCATTGGTGTGAGCCATTAAGTGGCTTCTCTGTCTAGAGAATATGTATATCTGCAAATTGTGCATTTTAGAGCACCCTCGTGTTTTTGAGTGTCCTTGAGAAACAAATTCTCCTGAAAATACTAAAGTTGTTCAGTGGATTTTCTTGGCCTGGGTGGAAGTATGGTCTGAGGACAGCAATATAGTCTAATACAGACTTTCAAACCTGGCAGTCCAAGTGTTTTATGTTCATGGTTATGCTTATTATTGGCTCTTTCTGTTCTGATCATTCATTAAAAGCACCGCAGGACATTCGACAAAGCTGTGATTAAATCCATATTATGCTGAGCTTCAGCTATGTTGATGAAATACAGTGTTGCCTATTTAGTATCAGGAGCAAATCAGTAAAACTTAAACAAACAACAGGACTATAGCTTAATAAATGCTGGCAGTTTTGCATGTTTTTCAACAGTCCAGTATAAATTGATAGATGTGGCATTAAACCGGAGCCACCATATGGTTTCATAATGAGTTTCCTTATCTGAAAAAGCGATTAGTTTATAGGAACTTTTAAAGCAACCAAGCACTGGGTTTAAATAAATTTGATTCCATGCTACCTTTAAAGATATTTCTGTTATTTGATTTTCACATTTTAGTTGCTTTGGCAATGTGGAGTAAATCATAGCTAAGAATAATTTGTAGAAGATTAAAGGAAAATCGTCAAATGCTGCTTGTAGTTAAAGGGGTACGGTGTAGTTATTCTGAGGGAGCGAATCCTTCTTTTTGAAAACTTTATTTTGTTGTGCTAAATGTGCTACCTCTTAGCATCATGTCCGAATAACCAGCAGCTTGCCTGACTTTAGCAGTTAACTTAAAGCAAAGCCGTTAGCATGGCTATGGCTTAGAAGCTTAATCCTATCACTACCTCGCTTCTTGTCATTTAGCATTTTTCTTCTCATTTCCCGATTGGTCTTTTTATGTTTCTGTATATGACCACCAGGAACACATTGTTTTTCATGTGATACGGTACCCCAAGACCAGACTGTCTGTGTTCACTCTAGCTGCTAAGCTGGTGTAAGTCCGACTGTCTTTCTAGGATCCAGAAAGCTGGTGTAAGTGTCGTCCTCTTTCTAGGATCTGTCTTCAGTTCACGAGGTCAGGTCGGCCTGGTCGCAGCATGAGATGAATGGGTTTGTGTGTGTTTTGTGTGTCCGTGTGTGCATGTCAACAGCACATGGCTATATCTCCATTGCCCCCTGTAACAGTGAATGACTACTTCTAGGAACTAATTTGAGTTACCTCAGCAGGCGAAGCCAAAAGGGCGGATGCCCGATTTGCATTGGGACTTTCGGCCCAGCTGTTTGTTTGTTTTCCAGGACTGCTTGGTCAGCCTGTTCTGTGTTAGCTCGTGTTGTTTAAGTTCCAAACTTTTATCACTTGCAAAACAGTCTTTATCTTGTCCCTGTCTCAGTTATGGGCTCATCGATTCTCTGTGGGCCTGTGTTTAAAAAAACCCCCAAAAAAAACAAAAGTGGCAGGTCTGTGTTTGATTTAAGAGAACTACAAATGTGGTCCGCCTGTGGGAAAACAATATATGTACTTTCCAAACAATTTGCTTTGCTTGTATGAATGCTTGCTATAGTGAAACTGAAAGAAAATAGGGAAAGAGTTTATTCCTCTTCTGTTCAGAAGTATATTTGATTTCACTGGAGGGTTTCACAGGGCAGAATTTGGGGTCAGAGAGGTTTGCTATCTGAAGCCTTTATGTTGTCACAGCCGTAAGCCTCTATGGACACAACTTTTCCCCCCCACACTTTTCTTTATGTTTCCAACAAGACAGGAATGATACACAGCTGTAACATCTGTTCTGCTGGTAAAATGAGCGGTATTAATTTTGGCTGACAAAGCAGTACGAAAATGGAACAGGTGTCCTTGAAGCAGCTTTGGACAGAGTGCTGTTTATGTAACAGTGGACTGTATCTTTATTTTCTATCACCAGCAACCATTCGTATCTCCTAAAATCACAGCTGTGCAGAAAATAAACAGGGGCTTTTCTCAACTCATGATCTAATGTCCTCGCACAGGCGGGGCGATTAGGAGTGTGTGGTGGTAGTGTTAGTGGAGTCATGAGGGCTGGGAAGAGAAGGAGAGCAGTGCCCTCCCCCAGCCAGCCATCCAGCCAGCCATCCGTTGCTACCTTCTTCCTCCCTGGGTCTATTCGGCTCTCAGTCCCCTCCTCCCCGGGCCTCCCACCTTCTTGACAGCTGGCCTGCTGAGCTGCACATACTTACCCGGGGATAAGAGGATTTACTGACACAATTGATCAGATATCAACCTCATTTAGTCAAGAAATGAATGTTAAAAGGGTGGTGATTTTTATGCTGGTGTGTGCAGACAATTTGAGGGGGGGTTTCCCCCCCTCTTTTAGTGTGAGCGAGTATGTGCGCATGCAAGGAGTGAGTGTGATGGTTTGCAGCCAGCGCAAATGAGCCGGACTGGCAGCGCGGAGATTTCTTAATTACATGTTCACTGAATCTAATGAGCTCCTCAGGCTGTCCGTCTGATTACTTTAGGATGCATTCTGTTCTATGTCATTTGGTCACGGCACTGTCATCTACAGACTTGAACTCATTTTGCATAAAAACACATATAGAGTAGACGGTTATTGAACGAATCCATGCACATGCTGAGGATTCCTTTTTGTTGGGGTTCATGTGATAGATATTGAAGTTTATGTTGTCATTTAGGAGTGCTGCTCCTGCTGCTCCCACCCCGTCATCCCCTCACTGTGCACTCCCAGTGCTGGTCTGCTCTCCAGACGGGAGATATTATTAGTTTGGTCTTATTGAATTACTACTCAGTGCAGCGCTCCATCCAGTTACAACCCAGTAATTAACTGCAAGGGATTTAGAGGGTTTGTGGTTTGTGATGTTTTTTTTTTAAACCTGTTGATCATCAGATCAATGTGATGTATTTGTGGCTTTGGGTATTCCTTCCTTTGGCTTTCAAAGTAAATATGATCATCTGACACAGCAGAGGCAGTTTGATGAGGATGTTTGAATCTTTTGCATGCAAGGGAACAGAATAATGTGATGTTGTTAAGCTCAGTAAAGGTCATATTAAGAATTATTGTTGTATTCACTGGTCTGGTTAAGTGGTTAGTCTATAAAAATGCCTTGGAGGCAAAAAGTACTAATCCCAATTTTCCAAAGACTACAGCAAAAAGAGTCAATCTTGATGTGTGTGGACATGGTTGGCACGGGTTAGTTTAATATCACACTACCGCGATTGGTTTGTTATTGTTGATAACTGTGCAATCACTCTACATTCAAAGATCTTTCAAACACAATAAGCATATCAAAAGGGAGCTAATATGAAAATAGGCTGATGTGCTGTAAAACTCTATGGGTTACATTTCTTGCTAAAAGTAGCTGTGATTTACACTGGGTCAATTTTTAGGAGCCTTTCATCGCAAAGTCAGATCAAGCTGCATTTTAGCAGGTTATTGTGCGAGTCCTGCATCCGCCCTCAGTGCAGTAATTTCTGGGAACGATCAGTAGAGACCTGCGCTGCTGCAGACAGAAAACTCTTTTGAACTTGGCTCAGGAGTTTGGTAACAAGTGACCTTTGATTTGCGACACTAGTGTTCAAAGGTGCCCTTCACTGCTCTGTTTGCTCTCAGATAGATGCTTGAGCTGCTGAAGCGTTGCATAGGTTTAGGCAAGACTGAGAGGGAAAAGTTAAAATCAAATATAGTCTGTGCATTTAAGAGTCTTTGCTGTGCAAGTGACTTAGATTGGACTGCCAGTTGAGGCGGGTCATTCAAGGATAGGCTTCTTTGAGCCGCTCGGGGCCCATTTGTGCTTCCTCCACTGAGCATGTTGGCCTTCTTACACACGGACACAAAACGCGCACACGCCCTTCCCAAAGCATGCTCACCTCTCGAGCAATTCCCTTTTAGGCATCCCACCAGCTGACTGTCCATGTGCTTTTCTTTTCCCCTGTGTAATGCAGCCACGAACACACTCAGGTCTGGGCGAAGATTTGTCGTTAGTGTTGTGTCAAACATTTATGTTGTTTTTCAGAGTTTAAACGGACCCTGTCTCCAGACAAGCAGGAAATCTGAACATTCAGGTCACAAATAGAACTGCACCGATCTATCCACCGATCTACCTGCTTTACTTTTCATTTTTCTCCATATTTTCATCCTCATTATCTTTTACATCTAGTCTTGTTGGTCTTCAGAGCATGTTGCTAAACTATTGGCTGCTGGAGTACCCTGTTGCCATATCTCCCACTCTATACTAGAATAGAATGGATCTTTATGAACCCCAAAGGGAATTTGTCATGCACATAAAAGAGGGGCCATTGCACGAAATCAGACACAGAACATGTTGTACAGTGGACGTCTATTACATAAGAGTGTTGATTGGATGAAAATGCACTCGGGAAAGTTGGGAACACTGCCACATAGTTGAATTTCAATCTATGTAGTGCATTTTGTAACAGCCTGGAGTGTGAAGTATATTTCTTTTATCCATTCAGCTCTGTGGGAGAGAGAGGAAGGCCCCAATCCATTTCTGCCTGCCAGGGATCACTCGTGGAGGGCTGGAGAAAGTGGGCGAGTAAAGAAGGGGGTGGAGGATATAGTTTCACTGCTAAACAGGAAGTTGCACAACATCTGTTCCTTTGCGTACAGAGAGGGAGTGAATGGCCAGCTGTGTCTTACTGTGCGTCTTTGTGCAGAAAGTGCTGCGTCCAGCCCGACAACATGACATTATTCCCTTTTTCACAATTTCTTCATATTTCAGCGCAATGGTCTTTCATTACTCAGTCACCATTTCCTTTAATGTGGCATAAGTGGGTGCTAAAGGTTAAATATCACAGCAACATTTCAAAACTGTTTCAAAATGTTTGACAAGTTGCTCTGAGTAAAGCCTTAAAACTGAAGTCACAAACTTTTTCAGGTCTAAAAGGTCAAAAACAAATTGTGACACAGTTTTTCCCCCAGAGTCAGATAAACAAACAGATTAGCAGCATTAGCGTTTAGCAATTTTGACACATTTTTATCAGATCAGATAAGGAAAACCAAGTTTAATTTATATTTGTGTGTTCCATTTCAAGTCAGTGACAACGTTAGTAAAGGGGCCTGCAGAAAAAGCGATGACAGCAATGAAATTCAAAATAAATAAGATGATGCGAACTTCAAAAGCAGAGATTAGAAATCATAATTACAGACCAAACCATATGTATAGGATGTTTTCATTCAGTGGGAGCAGGAAAACTCTTGTTTTAGGCTGATATTTTTGGTGAAATCTAAAATGCACTAAATAAATTTAAAAGTCAGGAAAAAGAACATGCTTTTGAAAGAGTGCTGACAAGTACATACAATTCAGATTTTGTGTAATTATGACATACAGGAGGAGCTGAGATGGCTCTTTAGATTTAAGATTATCACACAGACTAGTCACAGCGAGGTCTAGGTCATAGCTGATCCTTTTTTTTTTAACTGTTGATTAGTTGTCAGAATCTTTTCTGTGGTAAATCATTCTTAAAATGGTGAAAATGTCCCTTTCCCTTCTTTTAAATCTTGCAAGATTTTTCTAGATGTCTTGTTTTGTCTGGTCAACAGTCCCGCAATCCTTGGACATAATCAGTTTACTGTCACATAAGAAAGGGGGAAGCATCAGATTCTTCACTTTTGAGAAGCTAGAACCTGCAATTTATTGTGTTAAATGAGACTTCACAATAAACCAAGCAAACAAATCGACTCATGGAGCTCTTGCTGCCCGGCTAATCTCCAGCATCTCAAGGGTCATGCTGTAGTCACGCTGTTTTTGACTCATGATTTTAATTGATCACTAGCATTTTCTTGTTATTTACAGTATTTTTAGCAACTCAGATTTGTTTACAACCATGAATCTCTACTAAATGAACTTTCAAGTGATAAAAAACTCCATTATCATCTGTTGGAAAGTGCACAATCCATAATCATCTTTTAAACTTTTAAGTTAAATAAGTGTATTTTTTGACATTGGAGATCTAGGTTATTAGTAGTTGTGACAAAAAGACATCAAGCCCTCCCTTGGGGCTCTCTCCGGGCACCCGGTTCGGCTTTGATTCAGGAAAAAAAAGACCTTTGAAGATTATAAGAAACCCAAAACACAGGTGCTGTTCATTGCGTGTCTGTGCAATCATGCCACAACCCAGCTTTATAGACACACACGGGACACAAGAATGTGACATTTAACTAAGAACAGTGGTGCAAAGCCCAGTATCACGCTGAGTTTGTGTGTGTGTGTGTGTTTGTGTGTGTAAATGGAGGCAGGGGATATACACTGACAAAAAAGCCAAAACTTCTGCAGGCTTATCCAAATATTTATGTGCATATGGTGGTCTGTCACTCTTCATCAGTAGCATTTTACTCAAGAAAGCCCAGTTTTGTTCGCGTCGTTGAGTCATCACCATTAGCCCAGAGGGGTACTGCTTATTGCGTCTGTCTGTATTATGATAGCCTTTGGCATTTGTGTAAAGATGTGTCTTGGTCTCTTGCTCATACACACCATATGTATTTGATGGTATTTGCTGAATTTGTATTACTTGCAGCTACAACACATGCATGAAATTACACACCATGCCCTGTTACCCAGCTGACTGACAGCTTTTCTAAGTAGGTCATCTATGTAAATGCCAGCCTGTCAGTTTACATCAATGGCCGCTGAGCAAAGTCAGCATCCTGTGACCAAAATCAGATGGGCTTCATTCTGTGTCGCTAAATTTACACTCCAAAAGGACACATGGCACCACTGGCCAACAATATATAACCCAAACCTGGATTCTAATTAGATAACATCATCATTTTGTCAGTTGCTAGACTTTACGTTTTAAAGTGTGATTATTTAGTGTATCCATTCATGTGGAACCTCTAAACTGTTTCGAACCTTGAAGCTAATTTTTATACAAATGTATCAAATGACTAATGGTAATGTAGAGACGTCCTTTTTGAACAATCCACTGATTTCCGTCATCTGACTGTAGAGCAACATCCTGATCATCAGTTTGGTTTTATCCTCCACAACTTTACTGTTCAGCTCTTCGTTCTATAAATATTGTTTCAGAAAAAAAACACTGAACACATCGGCTCAGTACCAAATGACAAACTATAGCGGAGCCAGATTTATTTAGTTTTTCTCCAAGTTGGTGGAGACTTGATAGCTAACAAGGGTTTGATGTGGTTGAATTTTATTTTAATTTATTCGCCTCTGTTTATTAGTTTTATGTCTATTGTATCTGTGATTCAGCAAATCTGTGGTGTCGAGTTCAGCTTCATGAAGTCAGACAAGTCGGTATTGGTTTCAAACTTGTTACACTGTCACCCAATACCCCGAAAGTCATGCATTTTAGATTCAAGCAGTTTATTTTGGATGCAGCTAAAAACTGGCCTTGGGTGGATATTTTGATTTTCGTAATACACAAAATTCCCAGATTAATAGGTCCTTCCTAGGACCAAAGTTAGCAGAGATACAGTACTGGGTTATATAATGTTTCTGTTATTCTGCCGCTGTGTATATACATAAATATTAGAATCGCCTTTGAATAGTCTGCTGTTCAAGTGGCTTTAGATAGTGCCTATGACAAGCAGTGTCTGCTCAAAGTACAACTTCGCAAAGAAAGCATGTGTGGTAGCATGGATGCATTTGTTTGTTTAGGTGTACCTTCCTAATTCTTTTATTCCTAACTCCTAAATCCAAAGTATTTGCTTGTTCTTTTCAACATGCACCTTCTTCCTTTCCAGACTCTACAGGGCCGATGAGTACAGCCCACACCCACCCCCCTTTGATGGGCAGCATGGTGGGTCACCCATCAGTCATCAGCACCTCCAGGCCCTTACCGTCCCCCATGTCCACCTTGGGCTCACCAATGAACGGCCTGGCCTCTCCCTATCCAGTTATTACATCTTCCCTGGGCTCGCCCTCTGTATCGCTGCAGTCTACTCCCAACATGAACTTCGGACCACTCAGCAGTCCACAGGTGAGACATGTGGGGGTGTTTGGTCGTCAGAAGATAACAATGAATTGTTATTTCCCTAAATGGCTCGAGTATAAAGTTGCTTTTATGTATCCATGAAATTATCATGACAGGATTTTTTTTTTTTTTTGCAATTATATTTGAAATGTTTGTTCTTCTTTCACCATTCTCTGTCAAAGCGAACTCTTAAGGCAGGTAAGTAAAAAAAAAAAAAAAATGCACCACTCAGAACCCCATTTGGAAATACCAGAGAATGTGTTTTGAAGCAGAGTTTGTGTGTTTTAAGGTAGTGAAGAATGCAAATACTACTTGCTAGAACTGTTACTTTTGGCAAGGTGCACATGTATTAAATAACATGTTTTTCAGTGGTCATGTGCCTTTATTGCTTGGGATCTCCTCCAGCAGACAGGACTTTGAAGGTTAGCCATATCCAATGTGTTTGGCAGGCATAGCTTGGCTTTACTCTCACTCTTTTACCCTTCTGCTGACCTTTAAACTTTTCTCCCTAAAGGTCATCCATGAGTTCTGAATTACTACACTCATAGAAGTGGACATATAAGACACAGTATGACTATTAGCCCCTTAATGGATTCCTGAAAGACGGAGAAAGGGCAGCCTAATTTTTCCTGGTTTCTCCTTCTTCCTTTGCGGATATTTCTATTTATTTGTTTTACTTTTATGTGCTCATTTAGGCATATACTAATAATACCAAGGCTCTTTACGTCACAGGAGCTCTGTTGCACTTTTTAAGCTCAGTGATTTGACAGTCAGCCATACAAACAGAAACAAAGATGTTTGGATGCACATGGTGCTTTCAAGGCTAGATTCAGGACCGTGCTGTTGGGAATAGCAGGCGATGATATACATTTTATGATAGAGATTTTGGCTTTTTTGCTGCATGCCAAAAACAAAGCTGCTGGCAGGTTTTTTATCATGTAATGTATGTTTTTCATGGAGTGAAGATTACGAACATGACAGTGTTAGCAACATGGGGCAACATGAAATCATTATTTTAATTACAAGGAGAAATGATGTGTAAATTTGATTTATTTGGATGATTGTGACTGACTTTGTTTTACATCATCACATTTGCTTTGGAGTAGCTGATAACTGATTTTCTGATCAGTTAAATAATCAGCGATTTAATGAATTCATCAATCAGCAAAAATTTACTCCAAAAAAATCAATTTCATTTTACAGAAATCTTTACATATAGATTTAAAAAACAAACACGTGCATCACTCAGTAAACCTTGCATGTCTCATGCAGTATTTTCTTCATACCATGTGTTGAATAAAAAATGTATGAAGCATCAATAATCCATATGCAGTGCTCGTGGCCGTTTTCTACAGCATCCTGTTGTCTGTGTAAAGCTGCATGTTGTCTAAACGACAGTTTAAAAACACTTATTTTTTTAGATCATGCAAAATTAATTATGAAAACTCTATGCTACGCTGAATAGCTGCTCACTACAGACGCGCCAATAAGCGAGCACGCTGTTGCTGAAAGCTTATTTAGGGTGTGACCGCCTCCCTGCAGGCAGCCAGCATGCTGACATTAAACTGAATGACGGCAAAAAGAAACACTCTTGTGTGATGGTCTCTGCTGCAAATTCATGGATATAGAGTCCTAAATTCAGACTGCCATTGGAGAATATTGAGAGTGCACTTTGTAAATAAGTGATAGGATCTGTCAGAAGGATGTCCGATACTGTATATCATGCTGCATCATATAGTACAAGGTATATGTAGGCCAGGCTTGTTTTTTTCTGGTTGGAATCTGGAGATCAAGCAAATATGCTTTCCATGTGTCTCTCTGAGAGAGGATCGACAGGCTGGACGATGATAAGAAGAGAAAGAAGCAGATATGAAGAAATCAAAGGAGGCTTAACTTGTTGCTCTTTTTTTGGGAAACATATTATATTACACATTATTTCTAAATTGGCCATACTTTGTGGTTTGGAGTCTTGATGTACCATATTTGGGAGTTACTCGTATATCTCGTGGGGTTCCTTGGGGTCAGGTGCGAAACCCTACGCTGCAGTAAGAGATATAAATCATGTCAGTTGAAGTGTGCATTATTGTGCATCTACTTGGGATTAAAAGCTGCTGTAAGCACTGCTTATGATATAAAAAAAAAATGGCAGATAAAATACATTTGGCCTTCATTGGAGGTCTAACAGAAATGCCAACTGTCATCACAACGCATAAAATTCACCATGAGTTCCCTCTGCTGCTGAGTTTGAGAACTGCGCCTGCTCCACGTGACTCCCCCTTCCTGCGACTCTCCCTGTCAGCAAACATTAAAAAACCTGTATGACAGGCCTCAGCCCCTCCTACAGGCTGAGCATGTGATCATACCAAGACACTTTCACAATAAAGTGTGTGGGTGGGGGAACAAAAAAATATGAGTGAGCGGAAGACAAAATGAGAAAATAGGGGAAGGGAGAGAGTGTCATGAGACTACCACAAACTTTTCACTCTTACTTCCCCTCTGCTTCCTTCTCTGCTCTGTTCCGTTCAGCTCTGGCCACCTCAGCTTGAATTCTTTGTTCTCTCTTCTCTCTTCCTGTCATCTGCAGATGAACTCTATGAACAGTGTTAGCAGCTCAGAGGACATCAAGCCTCCGCCGGGCCTACAGAATCTGGGAAACATCAACTACCAATGTACGAGCCCGGGAGGGATGTCAAAGCACATCTGTGCCATTTGTGGGGACCGCTCCTCAGGTAATGTTAGCATGCAAGGACGGAGGAGAGGGATGGGCAAGCATATTTACACTCCCACTCACCACCACAACTCCCCCCACCCATCTGAGAACAGATAGCAGACAAAGACGAACTTGTTTGAAGTCGTTTGTTAAGTATTTTGTCAGGATTTGTGCCGTATGTTTCTGCAAATATCTTTTATCGGTGTGTTGTTACAAGTAGGTTGTCTATCATACAGAAAATAGTTAACACATTTCCAATCCTAATTCTAAAGATGTGCCCAGAAATTAGTCTACAAGCCAGTGCGACGCTTTATGCACTGTGGTGCAAGCTGAATAGTGGTCCTAGTCAATGTTGATCCTGTGGCTTTATTTTCCTCAGGAAAGCACTATGGTGTATACAGCTGTGAGGGATGTAAAGGTTTCTTCAAGAGGACCGTGCGCAAAGATCTCAGCTACACTTGTCGAGATAACAAGGAGTGCCTGATTGACAAGCGCCAGCGAAACCGCTGCCAATACTGCCGCTACCAGAAGTGCCTGGCCATGGGCATGAAAAGAGAAGGTGTGTATGGAGGGTTAGAAAAAGGTTGGTTCGAATTTTTAACAATATGTGACATTTTGCAGTTAAAATAAAATCACATGTGGTTTTGTCTTGTAGTAAAACTATCATTTTCAGGTAAATTCAGTTTTGTTTATTGAATGTTCTATATAGCGCCAAATTATGACAAGAGTCGCTTCAAGGCGCTTAATATTGTAAGATGAAGACGCTACAAGAATAGAGAAAATCCCAACATTCAGACGTTCCCCTGTGAGCAAGTACTCGGCAACAGTGGGAAGGGAAAAAACCTCATGGCAGAACCAGGCTCAGGGAGGCGCGGCTATCTGTCGCGACCGGTTGGAGGGGTTTTGAGTTATCTGCTAATATTACGGATTTTCTAGTCACCAATTCAGGATGTTTAAATGCTGTGTGGTTTTTTTGTGTCTGTGTGCAGCGGTGCAGGAGGAGAGGCAGCGTGGGAAAGAGCGGGGTGAGAATGAGGTAGAATCCACCAGCAGTTTCAATGAGGACATGCCTGTGGACAAGATCCTAGATGCTGAGTTGGCTGTAGAACCCAAAACAGAGACGTACAGCGACGGCAGCCCCGGGAACTCGGTAATTAATACAGACACTGGTCCATGTCTCTTTCACTGTTTGTATTATGAATCTGAGGCAGTTTTTTTGGGGAGAAACTAGATGCCAAGATGTGCTGTGCTATTAAGATATACTGATCTTATTATAAACATAAACACACAAGCTTGGCTAAATAGTTTTGAGTGTGAAGCTGGGACCGGATGGAATTGGGTCAGTTGAATATAAATAACACAAGCTGAGGAGTTTATGGGAATAAATCTAGGCTTTGCTCCAAAATTCTGACAAGCTACTTTGTGCAGTTGTCATAATCTCCTGGGTTAATCTGTTGAGATAATGTAGCCGAGCTGCCGAGTTGCTCTGTTCCAAAACTAACTCTTAAATCTGACAAGTTAGTAAACAAATTAAGTAAACACTGATTTGGCAATTTACCGGGTATGAGCTCAAGCACTTAAATGAATTTTAAAACCTAGAGGTTGGGTAACAGAGCCACAATTTAAAAGCTGTGCAGAACTTGGATTGAATTGTGCTTCAAGATATTTCTTCTTCTCTTCTTTGGTATGTAGAATTTAGGATTGTATTAAAACTACCGCAAGCAACGAGAGAAATTGTTGGTTTAAAAAGAGTTAAAAATAGCCACTGCTGCACCTGGTTACCAACGGTTGCTAGAAAAAGTTTAGATGTCACTAACAGTGCTTACAATCACATTAAATCGGTCTGGCACTTGTCCTACATGTTCTTCTCCAGACCAATGACCCCGTCACCAATATCTGCCAAGCAGCAGACAAGCAGCTTTTCACCTTGGTGGAGTGGGCGAAAAGGATCCCGCACTTCTCCGAGCTCCCCCTCGATGACCAGGTCATCTTACTACGAGCAGGTAGACACGCAAACACAAACCAGTGCATGCGGCAAGTTTATGCTCACACAAATATCAGACCACACACTCATACACAGCAGTTTCCTGCAAGGGTAAGCAGTCCTTTATCCTCCCTTCCCCCCCCCCCCCCCCCCCCTCCTCACTTTTTGTGTAGTATTTTCATTCAGCGTAGTTGCCGAGCCGATGTCAAGCAGTCTATTTAAGTCTTTTTTTTTTGTAACATCTAGTTTAATGGAGCAGTGAAACCAAAATAACTGGACCATTTGCATGTCCCAGCAGTGCAGTTTGCTGCCAGTGCTGACCTCTGCTGGGAGATTTAACACATGCCAGGACGATAAAGTGAAAAAGTCACAAAATGGATAATTAATTTTAAGCAAGCAGGGAAATCACAGAACATGTTGTGTGTATTTAATTTACACAAACTAAAGACAGGCTTTAAAGAGACGAGTGGATCGAGATGTCACTCGTTTTTCTTGTTCCTTTTTTGTGTCCAGGCTGGAACGAGCTACTAATTGCATCATTCTCGCATCGCTCGGTCACGGTAAAAGACGGTATCCTGCTGGCAACAGGTCTTCACGTCCACAGAAGCAGCGCCCACAGTGCTGGAGTTGGCTCCATCTTTGACAGGTAGGAAGGATTGAAAGATGAGACAAAAAGATAAAATAATGTGACATTTAGACTCCTTCATGATTAACCTCTTAATTCTGTATATTTTGTGGTTGGAGGCAACCCCCCCAACTGTAAATGTTACTAATGTCTTAACTGCATTCATTTCAGTGTGTTGTCATTTAAGCTAAGTACATATTTGCATAGAAATGCAAATTCTTTACTGAGAAATTATTCTAATTCTTGTACTGATTTAATTCAGTCCTATTTTTGTGACTCGTCATTGTTTCTTTCTTGATTTCCTGCAGAGTACTCACAGAGTTAGTATCTAAAATGAAAGATATGAAGATGGATAAGACGGAGCTCGGCTGCTTGCGAGCAATTGTCCTCTTCAATCCAGGTCAGTCTGGCCTCTTGAGACTGTTACATACCACCCAAAACAACATTTTCACCGACATTTCAGTTGTGTTATTTCACTGCTTATTTTAGTAACTGCAGAATCACTATACTGGATTCATGAAATTCATGTGAACATATTTGTCAAGTGCAATGTTGGTCATCATAATATTATGGCTAGTTGGAGAGATTTTACTGTGCACCCATGCGTTCCTAATGGCTCAGTCAGACTAGACTAAAAATAGGATAGTAATCTACTTTATATCAAGAAAAATTAGTGATTGCCTGGATTCTTTTTGCTGATTGTAAGTAGTTGCAGCAACCATTTTCAATTGCACAGGTGTCTTGGTAGAAGAAAACAACGTTGCTGAGCACCTGTGTCATATAAATCAGTCAATTAACCATCCTGCAGCAATTAGGTCATTATTTGTGGAGGAATTTCTGAATCTCTGTTTAAAATTTATGAGGTTCTGGCTGGACTCTAAATGTAATGATGCATTCAGTTTCCCTTGGAAGCAGGGCTGGGAGTGACATCACTCCCAAGTTGAGTGTGTTCCAGTAGTGAAGTCAGAAAAACAGGATTTATTTTGTTCCTTAGCAAGTAGAGCCATTCATACCACGATGGGGATACAAGGTGATGTTTGTTTGGGTTTGTTGTTGTTTTTTAACTGAAAAACACAACAGCAGCACATTTATGGTTCGAGCCTGCACGGTGTTCTGTATATGGCTTATTTAGTGAATCAAATATGTACAACAGTATTTTCACAGATTGAAAGTTGAGAACGCTGAAATTCAGACTTATAGCTTCAAATGGAATACACTGAATTTCTGTGTTGTTAGACAGCAACAGATTTATGATTGTTGCTCACAGTTAACAGCCATGTTATCACAAACAGACTGCAGAAAATTGACTCCATTCAGTCACAAACTAGCAGAATGACTTGTGTGTTTTGTTTTGGGTCTTTTTTCCAGATGCAAAAGGTTTGTCTAACCCAGCAGAGGTTGAGGGGCTGAGAGAAAAGGTCTATGCTTCATTGGAGTCGTATACAAAACAGAAGTACCCGGACCAGCCTGGCAGGTAGGAACTGTTCCATTACAACATCGATCATTTTTAAACACATTGCTGCACTGGATGTAAAGAATAATAAGGATGGCAGCTTGCATTATATTAGTACACAGCTCTTATGCAAGTAAAACACTTTTGCCTAACCACAACATTACATTTAAAAGGATGTAGGCTGATAACGCTATTTGTAACTGCAAATTGTTGTCATTGACTGTATTTTTTATTTGGGAGCTGATTGAGAGCAACAGGTATTAGAGGTAAAAGCACACACTGCAAACTTCCTGAAAAGTCAACACATCACAGCTGAGATGAAGAAAGAACACTTAAGAATATTTTGGTCACTATTGAGATCACAGTTATTATTATTATTACCCCATGAATATTTCACCTCACTGAAAAAACGTTTAATGGTGAAATTATGACATAAAGTGCACATGATTGAAGTGAAACTAACATGCCACAGCCCGGCAGTGAAAAAGATCACCACTGCAACATGTAATACTTTTTCTTGTTTGTTTTCATTAATCTAAATCATAAATCTCTGAGCAAAGAATTGATTTTTGAAAGGTAAATGTAACACTAGCTTGACTTTCTTTGAAATGGCTTACTGTGTACGGTATGTTGTCTCATGAAAAGTGAGATGTTTACAATATTAAAAAAAAAAATCTTGATATGCACTCACTATATTCTTTATTAGGAACATCTTGCTAGTCCTTTTGGGCCATATCGATATGATCGCTGCATGTCTATGATGGGATTCTCACGTTCCACCACATCCCAAAGGTGCTCTATTGGATTGAGATCCGGTGACTGTGGTGTTTTATCCTGCTGGAAAAAGCTATCGGAAAATGGGAACACTGTGATCAATAATGATATAGTCAGCACCAATGTTCAGATAAACAGTGATGTTTAAAGCGATGCTCAGTTGGAGCCCAAAATGTGCCAAGAAAATATCTCCCGCACACACACACTACCACCAACAGCAGCCTGAATTGTATACAGGGCAGAATGCATCCATGTTTTCATGGTGTTTGCACCAAATTCTGACCCTATTATTCTAATGTCACAGTAAAAATTGTGACTTATCAAATGAGACATTGTTTGTCCATTCCTCTGTGGTTCAATTTAGGTGGCGCTCTGTCCTTTAGCAGGTGACCCGGTGTGGTCTTGTTGCTGCTGTAGGCCATCTGCTTTAAAGTTTAATATGTTGTGCATTCAGAGATGCTCCCATGCATGTATTTTCTTTTTTGGACTATTCTCTGCAAACCGTATAGATGATTGTCACCTTTTGTCCTGAACTTCAGCAGGTCATCTTGATCATGTCTACATGCCTAAATGCAGAGTTGCTGCCATGTGATTGGCTGATTAGATATTTGCATTACAAAGCAGGTGAACAGGTGTATCAAACAAAGTGGCTAGTGAGTGTGTGTAAAATATGCCTTTTTTTTTTTTAATTTTTTTAAAACAACTTTGAACATGTGTGGAAGTGAGTTTTAAGCTCAGTTGTTCACGCCTCACTATTTGGCACGACTTTTTATTATTCTCAGGTTTGCCAAACTGCTGCTGCGCCTGCCTGCCCTGCGCTCCATCGGCCTCAAATGTTTGGAGCATCTGTTCTTCTTCAAGCTAATTGGGGACACGCCTATTGACACCTTTTTGATGGAGATGCTGGAGGCTCCGCATCAGATCACATGACACACGTCTTCCCCTTTCCCTTGTACATACTCCCGCATCATAAGCAATATGATGATGGAATTAAAAAGACTTGATTGAAATGTAAAACAGCTTATTTTGTACCCATTTAAAAAAAAATGCAATTAAAATGTTTAAAAAAAATGTGGTTGTGGGGATGGTGGAGTCAGAACACGATAAATTCCAATAAAGTTTGGAAGTTTGGAATTTTGTAAATAGCTAATTTCAGGTGTTTGTTTCAAAAGCCACCAAATGCAAAATTTGAAAAAAAAAATATCATATTTTATTCAAAGCGGAATTGTATAAAACAAAAACCATCCCTGCATTTCTTAAACGTGTCTGAGAATTCTTACAGAATAAAGTTATTTAAAAATGTACATGAAATATTTTGTGCATTGTGTTAATGCCTTATCACATTTTCTTTTATTAGCTGTGTTTGGTATCAAATATAAAGTGAACCTGCTATTTTCACCCCTCGTCCACCAGATGGCGTCCACAGAGTGCCATCAAGACGAGAGACGCTGCCTCACAGCATATTTTAGAGCTGTTTGCACGGATTCCTGTATCCTCCTCGTGGCTACGGTCTGTCAGAGTTACATGACTCGTCAGGGCCTCTGCAGGCTTCAGCATCACGAACTGCCAGGACCTCATCACAAAGACCTTTGATTTCATTAAGACTTGTTGGTGAAGATAATCCACGAAGAAATAGGAATCTACAGAGAACAAAAAAGAAAATAAATCTACGTCGGAATATGTGCCTATACTGGAATATGTGCTTATGCTGGAATGAGTCAGTATGTTGGCTGATATAACAAAATCCGCACGGGTTTGCAGTTGTCCGCAATAGTTGCAACTGGAGCTAGAATATAAAATAGCATACAGCCATATCTTGCTCACATGTTTCAATAGGAAAAATAGATGTTGTTATTTTGTAAACATCATTGGAATCTCTATGATCCCATTTACTGCCAAGACTGGGCTAAAGTGAAACTTTGTGAAGCCACTAATTCGCAGAAAAACCAAACTGATCATTTAAAGCTTTGGGGGGAAAAAAATCATCACTTAAGTGTGTGACCTTTTAACCTGCAGTTTACTGTGTTATCAAATCACAATTTGAATACTACTGGCATTGAGGCTTGTCGAGAGAGACACACAAGCGTGGGGGAGAGAGCGAGTGACCGAGGGAGGAGAGAGAGTGCCTGGCAGAGAAAGAGAGAGAGAGAGAGAGAGAAAGAGGTAACCTGCACCTGCACATGGAGGAAGTCTTACTCTGTTTCGCGCTCGCTCTCTCTCACTCTCTTTCCCGTTCACCCCTAATAGGATAATTGATAGACAGCCCAAATAGTCAATAACTGTGGACTCAGCGAGGTCGCTGGAAGCACTAAGCAGAAACTTTGATGCGCTGCTCTCTGCTCCGAGGAGCAAGTTGCAGGGGAACTTTGAGTGGCGGAGATGCTCTGAGCAGGACTGGGAGTTCATAACCAAAATCCTTCGCTGCTGACCGGAAACTCGCATTTTACAGGTATGCCACTCTTCTTAGAAAACTCTTAAGAAGAAAATCTTAGAAAAATGTTTTCCTTAAATTAAACCTTGGTGAAAATATATTTCGCAGCTTCTTCAGGGAACAGCAATGGTGGATATACCGGATACATCCTTAGGTAAGTAAACATGTATTTTATCAATATATTGAGATTAGATTCGTTTATTTTAAGCAACTTCATTTATGTTTTTTTATCAGCTCAACAGAATTACTCAGTTGCTAGAATTTAACAATTTGAAATTTTAAAAAGTGCTAACTTTAAAATAATTGTTCAAATGTATATCGCTCTTATAAAACACACGCACACATTTCCTCTGATTATAAAAGTGGAAAAGTTTGGTTAATTTGCCAACCTTCGTTCAGCCACTTGGTTACGCAAACAACAAAATTTGCCAGTTTTCATTTCTTCAGTTTTATCCTTCTCGCTGAACCAAAATATTTACCAATTAAAGGATTTCCGTGCATTGCAGATGTGAATCGGAGGGCAGTGTGTGCCGGATGCCATCGGTTGATCAGAGACAGATTCCTGCTCAGAGTCACTGACGGCCTCTGGCATGAGGACTGCGTGCGGTGCGCAGCGTGCGGGGACGCGCTCACGAACTCCTGCTTTCTGCGGGACCGCAAACTTTACTGCAAACGGGACTATGCTGAGTGAGTTATTATTTATAACTGTTTGGTTCATAGGTGGCGTAAGTAGTAGTTCCTTTTTCACGGGAAATCACCAATTTCAACTTTAACCAAGACGTGACAAAATAAAATTTGCAACTTGGGCACATATAATGCAACACACGCAGGCATGTTAAGAAAAAACTACCTAATATTTCTCATACAGTAAAAAAAAAAAAAGAAAAAAAATATTAAACGACTCTAACCATTAAAATGTTTGAATAAGTGTTTTAACACAACACTAAACTAATAAAGTTCTAAATAAGGTAGTAGTCGTTTTATGCAGCCTCCTGCAAAAATATAATCATGATATAGAAAAATATATATGACCTTTTCTGCCATTAAAAAAAACAACTATTTTATTTGACTTCAGTTTTGATCATTTTATTCTGAGGGCCAAACCTGATGGTGTATCATTGAGGTCATTTTTGCAACAGTACAGCTTTGTCCAGACTTGACCTTGACTAAGAAAGAGTGTGTGGTGTGTGTGGGGTGTGTGTGTGTGTGTTGGTGTGTGTGAAAAGAATAACTTCTCAAATAAGGCCAACATAAATATTTCTAATCCTTCTTAGTGTTGTATTGGGTAGACATGGATGCATTTTGTCTGCAGTTGTGTTTAAATGTGTGTATATGCCGTAATATGACTTCCAGTAAACTTGGCACAGTGCACTGAGAGAACAAGGTGACTGTAGGAGGAAGGGGTGGCAAGGGAGCTGGAATGTAAGAAAACTATTGTGTTGCGTTTGTCCGTACATGCACATGCACACACACAATAATGTGGTCACACCTTCATGCACAACCAGGGGTAAGGCTCAACTGACACATTGTCAAAATGTGTTAAAATTTTGAGGCCCACTGACGTGGCAACTGCAAGCTGGGGACAACATATGGTCCCCCACCCATCCACACACACAAAAAATAAATAAATTTAAAAAAAAAATCACCTACTGCTCATGCCCTCCTACCTCATTCACCAGCTCATCCCCCCTCAGCTTCCAAATACACTCTGCACACCCTAAAAGGCAACAACTCACATTATTTTTGAACAATTTGGTAATGGCTGTTCTGCCAAGCACACAGGGAAGCAAGGAAATGTTTCAACACACTCATGTTGGAGACATATACCTTTAAAGGAGACGGAGTGTTTTAGAAAAATATTTAGATTTAATTTCTGTAAAACAAAACAAAAAAATTAATGTACTTAGTGTCTTCAGTGGAGATAATAACACTTGGTGAAAACACGTAGTAAAGACTTGTACTGAGAGGTAATTAGGAGTGCACAGCCATATGTCAGAAGGTCTGGTGCATCCCTACAAGAGGGGCGGTGAGGATGGTGTGAACTTATTTTGGGGGACAGTGCGCTCCATGAGCCCTGGCGTTATGCGCCGTGGCATCTGGAAAGCTCTTCACACAGCAGCCCCTGTGTTGAGCAATGGGACAACGCCCAGCCGACCGTGAGTTATCTGACCTGATCAATTAGCAGGAGGCCTGGTGCCAAAGCTCCACCTCTGAGTCCACCCGTCATCCTTCCACCCCTGCTGTCCTGTCTGGAGTTACGACACCCAATAACACATGAGCACTACTTTTGACCACAATGAGGGTTTTAAAACTGTGCCAGTTTTTTTTTCTTCTCACCAACAAACTATGTCCTGCTCCCCCGTTCGGCTGATGCAAAACAAGTGTGATTATTCCATACTGTGACAACATTTGTCTTTTACCACATGCTGCATCGTCTGACTGAATCTTGCTTTGTTTTTACCTTTGTTTCATCAGTGCCGGCCATACCATGAAGCCTGGCCCATTCATGTGGTTTGTAAGACAATAATGCTAATATTTGCCAGTACCAGAGGACTGTACAGATTTCAATTTTATATATATTTATGCATCTAAAATGTTTCTTTTTAATAACAAATAGGAACATGAGGATATAATATATGTGCCACAAAGGAATAATAACATTAAAAAAGGGTTGAAAATTAAAAAAAAATAACTTAATTAAAGTAGTTTATCTCTTTTTGGATGATCTAATGTGTGTGATATAACAAACAAGATGCATAAAAACATTTTTGTTTTAACAGAACTTTACTGATTTTCATTGTCTGTCCCAGTTACTGGGGCAGACAAGACTAACTTAAACATATTTAAACTCATTCAGTATCTGAGAAAGTAATCACAACAAAAATAAATAAATTCAATGTGTTTTCATATCATAATACTTTCTGATAGTCATTTTTTCCTCTTTAATTTAATTTTTGATTATATCAAAACATTTTGAATTAAATTTTTTATAAAGACCAGCTGAGCAGAGGGGTTTTTGCACCTCAAGCGTGGGGGGGGGGATCCATCTGTTTTTCTTCCTCTTATCCAACCCGAGGGTTGCATTGAAAAAACACAGTATTTAAGCGTTAATTATAAAGTCATCGGCAGTATGTGTGGTATTAGCTTGCAGTCATTTCCCCACATTTTAAAGAAGCCGCTGAAGCTTTTCTAACTGTAATCATTAATTTACAATAATCTGATTCTTTTAGACGACTGAATGCAGTTGTTTTTAATAATGCTTGTTTTATTCCATAGTTTATACATTGGCTGTCTGACCTGTAGTGACTCCAGTTTTCTGAAGCCGAATGCAGAATCCTGTCTGACAGCGTGTCTTCAGCTTGGTTTAGGTTAACTAAACGGTTCAGCGGGCAGGTGGACCGGACAGCAGATTGGTCGTCAGATCTTCGGTGTGACTCGCTGTGCACTTGACCTGACGATCTGTATCTGATACATAGCTCCCGCTGGTGTGTGCGTTCAGCAATGGATCTAAGTTAACCTGATCCAGAAACAAGATCTGTCTCTCTGCTTGTCCACTAGACCAGCAGTCTGTTTGCCTGACTGCCAAAGGTCAGCACTGAAGTCAGAGCAAGAACAATGAAAGAGGAGGGCTTGAGGAAAACTGTGAGTTTGTCTGTGTACATTTCTGCTAAACACTCATCTTTTTATACAGTGCTTCCGCATTAGGAGTGCCTCACCCAGACCATGTCAGTGTGGAGGAGTGCAAAATTTTGCTGACTTACTCCTCTGTAATGATCTTGTCACTAATTGCCATGTCTAAATCCAGCGTGACTGAGTGTTCCCGCTCTCCTGGCCGAGCCTCTGGGCCAATCATGTCAGCGGAAACTCTGAAATATTAAACACCTTGAGCCACTCCATAAGTATTGGAGGTACTCTTACCTTTGCATTAACGACGCTTAAGAGTACTGGGGATAATTAGACGAACTGGATAAGGCGTATAATGGAAAAGCGCTTCTCGAAACACGAATGATCTCAAAACATTAATGCCCATAGTTTCTTCTTCACTGGCATTAGCATCATACTGAGATGTCAAATCAAATGCTTTGCGGTATCTCAGAGACCCAGAAACATTCAGGGTATTTCCTCTGCCACACTTCCTTTGAAATATTTGATTGATGCATCTTGTGTTGCCACAGGAATGCACATTCCACAGACGGTATGTTGACCATATTAAAGCACATACCATTGAAGCTGTGGGGCAGACAACTCAGATGGGTCAAGCAGACCGACCCTCCTGAGCTTCTGGGAAGGGGCTCTTATCATCGCCATAGTGACCCCAGAGCAACAGTAAGAGGTCTTAGCAATGTCTGGCTTTAGGACGTACGAGCTCCGGAGCCTTTGACAGGGATATGTCAACATGGCTGTTAGTTTTATTTTCAACTTAAAAATTTATTTGCTTGGAAATATTGTTCTCATTCGGAATTTGAAATATATCCAAGAATTAATTAATTTGCTTAAGTTTGGGTGTATTTTTTTTTCTAGGTAGTGTAAAAATTTGCAGTATCTTTGTACTATTAAGTAGAAAGTCAATAAAAACAACATTACACAATTTATTCAAATTAACTTATTAAAGTAAATAAAATAGATTCGATGTGATTAGGACATACAGAATAATAATTGTGGTTATTAATGTGTCCATGCACAGTGTTAGAATAACCTCCAATGCTCCTATTTTCTGATGGTTTCACAGTATCAAGAAAAAGACTTTTCTCATGAGGCACATGGAGTATTTTTATTTGGAAACAAAAAAGGGGAAAAGCTGTCACTTTCTCATGCCTCTGTGCTGACTGCTCTGGTGACCTAGTCAAGTCTGGAGACAAACGCCAGCTCCAGAATGATGACGCATCATCCTGCGTGACAGACCCAAAATGCGGAGGTGCCAGCCAGCGGACAATGGTCCTGCTGCTTGAGGGCTGGCTCTGTCTTTGTCTACTTCTGGTTAAGCAGACTTACGGATAATTCCACGGATAATTCCTGGGACCAGTGGCTCAGTCTCTCCCACCAGGAGATCTGATTCCACCCCTCTGCCTGGAGCCATGGCCTGCCGAGAGCCTTTCTCCTGCCTCCCCAGGAGCGCAGCCTCGGACACGGCAGTCGGAGCCACGGCAACAGTCTCTGAGGCTAAGCTCACCAGTACTGGTTGCCAGGCGCTAAGATACACACCCGACATACTAAGGGTATGTGTCTGAGTGGTCCGGGCAGGAGGGGGGGAAAGGCGAGAGAAGTCAGGCTGGCGGTTGTTTTGAGTGACAGCTCGACTCAGCAACATTCTCAAAGTCTACCCAGCATTTTTTGGTTTTCTCATAGAGTCCCATCTTACTGATGTGTGAGGGGGTCCTCAAGTGTCTAAAGAAAACAAAATCCCTATTCTCTGTTATTTACTCAGCTCTCACACTTTCTCTCTCTGTGCGCTTGCTTTCCTCCACTGTTCAGTCTGTTTGCAGTGCGTTGTGCAGGGTGCACAGAAGCCATCTCTCCCGCAGAGCTGGTGATGCGTGCGGGGGCCGCTGTGTTCCACCTGCGCTGTTTCACCTGCAGCGTTTGTTCCTGCCGCCTGCAGACAGGAGATCGCTGCGTCCTCAGGGAGGGACAGCTACTATGTGCCAGAGAGGGCTACCACCAATGTCTGGCCAGTCCTAGCTCTTCTGAAACAGGTACAGAAATTGCATGCTTTCATGCTGCTCTTTGATTTGTAATAAATTCACAATCCATTTTGATGATTAAATCCCACTTTAAGAATTCAAACTCTGTCCAGCATTGGGTAAAATAAGCACATTTTAGTTTGAGTAACTAACTGTAACAGTGCAATAAAAACATTGCCAAAATAATGATTCAAGTGAAGTGGTAAAATACCAGTTCAAGTTGGGACATAAAAATAATCCTGGGAGACACAGAAAAGCCCAAAACTCAGCCCGACATCAGCCAGGTTGATGTAAAGTATCTGCATTTTAAACAAAAACTAAAATTCTTATAAAAAAATATTTAAACATTGGCAGGCATGAATTTTCCTGTTTTTATGTGAATATTTTCAATCATATCTATGCCTGTCCTCTAGGTAAAAGTAATGATGAAGATGAAGAAGTTGAGGAGGAATCTGGAAGGATTGCAGGCAGAAAAGTTAAATCAGACGATGTGGAGAGCAAACGCCCCAAAAGACCTCGCACTATTCTGACCACTCAGCAAAGACGCACCTTTAAAGCATCCTTTGAGGTCTCCTCCAAGCCTTGTCGAAAGGTAAAGAAAAAAAATATCTTCTGTTACTTTGCATTCAAGTTAAAACTATGAATCTATTTCACATGAGGACCTAACATAGACTAGTGTTAGAAATTTTCATACAGCACTGTCTCATCTTTACACTTATTTTATTCATTGTTTAAGACAAGGTGCAAGGGCTAAGCCTTTTACTAGCTTGTACAATCCAGAGACCCTTTTACCTCATATTGTGAAAGAAAGCCATTGTACCATGTGTCACCTTGACAGAATGAACAAAAAAAAGGAGAAAACTTCATTCAAAAATATGTGACATGGTTTCATGTATCTTCTGTACATTATTATCACCGTACTGCGGGTGGGTAGTTGGGCAGTTTTGTTATAAGTGACATTGCTAAATTCCTCATGAACGGACTTTAAAAGTACCAAAGTAAAGATTTTTGAAAACATAGCAGTTATTTTCACAAAACAAATAAGCATCATGAGTGTTTCTTTAAACAAATTTGTGCTAAATTTGTGATGTGACGCAGATTTTTATTATCCTTCAAATGACCTCCTCATTCTTTTTTTTTTACCCTCGCATTCTGTCTTTGTGTTGCCCTCCTGAATCTTAATCCAAGGTAAGAGAGACCTTGGCAGCTGAGACTGGTCTGAGTGTCCGGGTGGTGCAGGTCTGGTTCCAGAACCAAAGAGCCAAAGTAATTCAAAGTACACACACGCGCACGCACACACACACACACACACTCATGCACTGCTAATAAAAGCCTTCTTTCTGCACTGTATTCGTAAGCCAGAGTGGAAATCAGCCTGGTTATCTGTTCATACAGGAAACTGATGACATCTCATGGAGAGATCACTGTAGATTAAACCCAATATTTCCTCACAATTTGGGCTCATGTGTGGCTGCCCTCTACTTCATTCTTGATACTTTACAACTGAGTGAACACAAGCATACTCCTGGGTGGTAGATGGACTGTGGAGTGGGAGGACAGTTTTTTACAGTAGACTTGAGGATTTGACTGCACTGAGGCATTAAAGAGCTTTAATGTCTCTCGATGCATGTTTTTAGATGAAGAAACTGGCCAGGAGACAACAGCAGCAGGAGCAGCAACAGACTCAGGAGCAGTGTGAACACCCATCGCATCACACAGGTATTATTCATAATTGCTTTTGTTCTCGCTGTAAGAAAATGTACCGTTTTCTCTATTTATTTATCAGTTTCTAATAGGTAATGGGCAATACCTTGACTAAAGATTTTATTCAGCCTTTAAGTTATACAAAGTTCAAATTCAATTTATATAAAGCTTAGCTTTTTTTTTTTTTTTTTTTTTTTTTTTTTTTTTTTTTTTTTTTTTTTTTTTTTTTTTTTTTTTTTTTTTTTTTTTTTTTTTTTTTTTAAATACGGGACAGACTGGGGAAAAGAAAGAGGGAAAGAAAAACAGCGGGGATGAGGGACGGGGATAAAGGGCAAAAAACAACAAAATAAGCAGACAAAAAATACATCTATCAATCATCTGGATCACCTGTTGAGAAAGGGAAAAAAAAGAAAACAAGCAGAAGAAAAAAGAGCAACATAATAAACAACATCACGATGATCTATGTGAATATAACTGTAAATACTAAATATTAAACATTATTGTGCAGCACGTAAGATCAACAGAACACAGTGTGCTTTGAGGTAGGAGCCAAAAAGGGTGTAGTTTGTGTGTGTGAGCACCCGTGTGTACACCTGTGAGCATGAGCGCGCTTGTATTTAAAAGGTTCCTTCATGTAATGATCTGCTAGAGGGTGTGGGGGGGCCACAGCCCCGTCCTCCAGGGCATGAAGCAGGTATGGAGGAGATCAAAACTCCAGACATCCAGAGGCCCCCAGAACACAAGAGACCAAGGAAGACCAACAGAGGGGCAGCCGCGCCACTGTCCCAGAAAGAGCTGAGGAGAGTCCCAGATGAGGGCTCACTCAGCAGCCGCGGAGCAGAAGCCAGGGGGGGTTGCAGTGACGTGCCCGTGAGCTCCGCCGGCAGCCAGCTGCGCCAGAGTGACCGAGCCCCAGGCCGAGAGGCCGAGGGCACCCCACCCCCGAAGTGGCCCGAGCGAGCCCCAGGCTCCAGGCCCCGACAAGCAGCCACCAAGGAGTGAGCCGGTGGGTACCCGGACGCCCATCCACAGACACAAAGAACCACCAACGCACCGATGTCTGATGTCAGGCCCTCCAAACCTTGGAGGGCATGAGATGTCCCCAGAGAGGTGGAGTCTGATACCCAACCTGACATATAGACACAGACATACAGGCACACACAGATGCTCTCATATGCAATTACTCAACACTCACCCAATGTGGAGACAGACATAAAGAGACGCTGTACACACGATCACACTCCCCAAGCGTACTCTACGAACCGGGTCTAGGTACCCTTGCCCCTGGAGGGGGAAACTGCACCAAGACCCAGGTAGTGTTTCCCTTTTCCCTGCAGTGGAGAGAAGCAGACTGCCCCGGCTCGGCAGCAGCAGGGAGGCCCCACATTCCAGACCCCAATCGGACGGCCAACTTCTCCTCCCAGCCCCCCTGCTCCAGCAGGCCGCAGAGAACGGGGGTGTGAGAAGACTCCAAAGTTTAGAGCTAAAGTTTAGCTTTTAATTGTTTTGAAGGGGTTTCTGGAGTTAAAACAGGCTAAAATCATTAACAGAGAACTCTGTTACTTTAACTACATTAACTCATAAACACACAGCTCTGTGATCTCCTTTGGTTTCCTATGCTTCATAGCGCCCTCCAGTGGCAGTGTGACCTCTGAGATGAAGCACCTCGGGTCCTCTTATGTCCATATTGAACTGCAGCAGCAGCAGATGGGAATGACCACACTGGAACAGCAGGACTGGGACATGGACCCCTTCAGACAGGGCCTGACCCCGCCTCAGATGCCAGGGGATCACATGCATCCTTATGGTAAAAGATCTCAACGCAGTCAAATCCTCAGCTTATTTTAAGCCTTTTGTAAAACAAACATGAAATAAACATAATTTTAAAAGTAAAAAAATGTACTTTTGATATTGCTGGTATTAGTTTAAACTTCAAATAATAATTTATATCTTTTTAAGGTTTCAAGAGCCTGTATGGCGATGTGGACAGAGACCCGCTGTGTCATATGGCTGACGGCGACTGCCTCTCTCTTGGCGACTCCTCGCCACTCACTCCTATTGACCGCCTCTACTCCATGCAGGACTCATACTTCACCTCGTGAGGGTGGCTATCAGATTCAGACAGACTGAATTTATCTCAGAAATGTGGTAATTTGGTACGTGGACGTAAAATGTTAGAAGGGGACAGGGGTACACTCACAGTGATACCATGCAATACTATACCATGTTCACCTCTATACAAACCCAATTACACTCCTGCCTCTTATGCTTTAAAATCTCTTCGGAGTCTCCTGTACGTGCATGACACTGAACTCTCATTATGTTTGAATGCTAGATTATGAGAGCGTAACTGCATCTACTCATGTAAATAGTTGACTGGGTGTGTATTTGTATTTATTCTCCAAATGTGTGTGTATGCTGTTCATCTCGATCGAATTAACAATAATCAGAAAATAATAAACATGAAACGGTGATTGTTCACTATGGTGTTGCTACAAACCACGGGGTGATTTGTCCATATGAAAATGGGATATTCATGCTGAGGGTTAGAGGCAGGTCAGTCCATCCTCAGTGCTTATCAGTCCGATCTAGGTGACGGGTCAGTGAGACATCTTCTCCTGGCTGTTGAATGGATCGTCAGATTGTAAAATGCTGGGCTATGACAGCCGTATGGGTCAGTGGCAGGTAAGCATCACATCCACGCCGCCATCATCAACGCTCACATTGTGCTTTTCTTGGTCAAAGCCCTTTGCTGCATTTTTCTGCCTTTTCCTTCCTTCAGTCAAAGAGGATGGGAGGAGGGGGAGGTGGGGGACCACCCAGGCGCTGTGCCCAGCTGGAATGCACCAATCATGGGAAGGGAGGTTGCGAAAACCCACGGAGGGGGCTTCAGACAACGGAGTGGCTGAAAGCTGTGTCAGGGGAGAATGCCCAGGGTGACACGGAGATATGAAGCCCTACTGTATGGAGTGCCTCCTTGCCCCAGCCGTGAACCCTCTCCTGGACCCATCTCATATTTCCCACTATGAAATCAGACCTTGCAAAGCAGAGAGCTCAAGTCAATGGTCAGGAACAATCTAACTGTCTGTCACCATAGTACACTACTGCCAACCAGAGCTAAAGAAGCAAGCAGCAGAGTATACCTACAGTACGTCTGTGTTTCGCAGTCCCTCAGTATCTGTTTCTGTATCTGCTCTGAGCGTCTGCTGGCATGTGCATGTGTTCATTCTCATGTGTTAGATGGAACAACACTCTTTGTTGTAGGGCCTAACATAACATAATGTATTCCTTGTATCTATAGGTGAATGAAAAGAGGGGGGAAAAAAGGCTTAAATATCGGGGAAGAAAGCCAAGGTGGTCACCTGGGGGAGCCTTTTACCTTCTTGTCTGTGTGCAGTTGGCATACGTAGCAGGTGAGAAGACCAAAAAAAAAGTTCACACTGTGATCATACGGTCACAGCGGGTAGCAATAACCTCATTATTATTCCGATGGTAGCCAAACAGTTTCCTGTCAACAGTGCGGTTATTTATTGCACACTCCATGCCAACCACAGGCCACAAACCCTCTGTCTTTTAACTGCTATAATTGGCTTCATGCTGTTGCAGTGCCAAGACAGATGCACACGCTTTGCTGAACGTACTCCAAAGGATGCTTGCAGATTATAAATAAAGTCTGTTTGCACACATAGACCAGCAAGGTTTAATGCAGTAGATACAGTCATACCATGGAAATGTATCATTTCAGCCACTGGACTTACATATTCACAAATATGACACACATTTCAATAATCAGTGTAATGGGTGGGGGTAGTCATTGTGGGATCAGTGCCCAGTTTGACACTGAGTTGATCACCTCCTCACCATATCCTATGATGGGAGCTTTCTGGTCACCAAATGTGCTAAATTGACAGTTAACGGCATTTCGGCAAGCCTAGAGATTTCTGGGAACATTCCCAATTGACCCCACAGCATTCAAATGGCAAATGTGTAAAATATGAATTTCTGATGACGACCTGACAGGACAGGGTTATTCCAGATTGTACCACATGATACTGGACATAGCTGAAAGAATGCCAGCAGTAAAATGGGACTGAATGAGTCAGGGAAGAGTAAACATAAAACAATGAAAAAGCAAATGAAACAACAGTTTTCTGAGATTTTTTTAAATTTTATTGACTTTTGGAAATTTTCAGGGAGGACCTATTGCAACAGCTGTAGACATACTTTATGTATCGTGGATGAAGTCTGTCATATGAATTGCTATTGCTTAAGCGAGAGCAAGTAGATGCAGTAACTACCAAGCTTCTTAGAATAATAATAATAACAAGCAAAAAGTAAAATCACATCTCAAAAAAAGAACAAGAGGTCAAAACTCAAACGCTGGATTCTCTCTTTCACCCCATGTCGGGACATCAGAAGTGATCATATTTCCTACAAAGATGAAAAGATGGGATTAGAAGTGTGCTCACCCTGCTACACCACACTGTATGTGTAAATGTGCATCACTACAGTAAGTTTCACCTGTTTTCTTAAATTGTTTCATGATCAACACAGTCAGAAGTATCACAACAGCAATTCCCGCCCCTGCGCCAGTGTACAGCAACATGGCAGACCCTATCGACATACCTGGCGTGGGATCACATAAAGATTTTAATGAAGCTTTAGGGAACTGTTCTCAGTGTATACTTCATGGCCAGCAGAAGTCATTGTTTTATAGTGTATGTTGATATTAGTTTGGGTTTTGCCTGTATCACACCACACAGTGTGCAAGAGAAGACTCCTATCTTAGAAAATGGTGTCATTTATAAATTACGGGGGAAATAACATTTTAAACTACAGAGAATAATTTACCTGTGCAGCTGGGCAGGCTGTCATTCCAGATCCCAGTGGCAGAGCAAAGCATCACTGCTGTGCCATTGAGGGTGAATCCATCTTTACAGCTGAAAACGCATTCAGAGCTAAAGCTGAAATTCCCCAGAGGATGAGAGCAATTCATAGACAGGTCTGAGGAGAAGGCACGGATGGCCTTACACTGCACAGCTAAAAAGGACAGCAACTACAATTACATAAGATCAATGAATATGTAATAACATTCAAAGTATTGCTATGCACTTACGTCGACAGGTGGGTGGATCCTGATTCCAGTGGCCGGAGGTGTTGCACATCATAGAAGATCTTCCTTTCAGCCAGAAACCTTTATTACATTTAAAGTCACACTGTGAGCCATAACTGAAAGGAGAGTTCAGATGGCTGCAGTTCATCCTCCCATGCTGTGGTGATTTGGCCAGCAGGGGGCATTGGCGTGCTGTGGATAACATAAAAACAGTATAGGCTCAGTACAGCTTCACTTTTGACTTTCCGGGTGGTGTAGAGTTTGGAACTATTTAATGTATGGACACAGATTAAGAAGGACTTTATGTGGATGGCAACCGTATCATGTTTTGGTTTATTACCCTGACAGCCTGGTATTTCTGTGCTCCATGTGCCCGCAGAGGTGCATTCAGTGTCAGGAATCCCAGTTAGCAGAAAGCCGTCCTCACAGGTTGATGTGCACCTAGAGCCAAAACTGAACTCGCCATGAGAATGAGAGCAGTCTAAAGTCCCATGAGAAGGAGGAGTGAGAATAGGACACCTTTCAGCTATAAAGGAAAAAAACTCACAGCACATAGAGAGGAACAGAGCAGATTATTAGCTTTTTTTAAGAAAAAAGTGTAGCTGTGCAATTTAAATTATGGAAAAAGGAGTTTATCGGTCTGTTTCTGATACACTGGATATTGATACAAAGAGTGTTTTTACCTAAGCAATGGGGAACAGCTCTGTTCCACATGCCCATGGAGGTGCACTCTGTGATAGCTGTACCATTTAGCACAAAACCTTCTGCACATGTTGATGTGCACACAGAAGCAAAACTGTACTCTCTGTGGGGATTAGAGCAGACTAAGGACCCATGAGAGGGTGAGTTCAGAGTGGGACAC